TGGGATAATTAGAGAACAGGTGACTTTCTAGGTGTCTGTCTCAGTGAAATACTTTGTACGCTTCGAATATTGGCCTTTCATTCTCAGTACTCAACGCATTTGTGACAATTTCCCCTGGGCATTTATTCACTTACAAGCTGTAAAAAATTATAATGATCAAAAAAAAAAAACACCCATTAAAATTACAGATCATCCAGTCTGAGTGATTCAAGGAACGTCAGAGACAAACAGCACAGACATCTGGACGACACATACCTGCACGTCGAATCCCATCACAAGAAATGGCAACTTACCGTTCAGACAAAACCAAGGTCAAGTAGAGAATTTAAAGTTCCAAGCTAGCATATACCTCTATAGAGAAATACGCACAGCACTGGTTGTTGCCAAATGAAATAAAACTAACTTAACAGGCTCAAAATCTCTTTACTTAGGATATTATGAAATTAAAAGCACTAACTGGAAATTAAAATTTTATTAAAATGTTTTTTTTTAAAAAGATAAAATTTACAAATGTTTTCAAATATTTCCAATTATAACTCCACACTGTTAGTTAACAAATTATGACCAGTGCTAAAAGCAAAAAAATCGGATATTTATTTATAAGGGGCATTCTAAGCAATATAATCACTACAGCTCGTTGTAGTGTTTTTGGTACAAGACTCTCTTTCCCCTGGTGTCAAGCTGTTTAGAAGGAGTTTGACAAACAAAACAGGTCTTCAGTGGACTTCAGAATGAGTTATTAAATATTCCGCATTATCAATATAAATTCCACCCATCCTGGACAGCAGTGGTAGGCTGCTCAAAGAACGTTAGCCCATAAAAACGTAGTCTGACCACTAATTCCCCCTCCCCAAAAATTTTTTTGAAAAAATAAATAAATAGATAAAGCTGAAGCGTTTGGAAATAGTGTTATGAACAAGTGAACACATTATAATGTAGTCAAATATATACAATCAAAAGTTTCAGTATGCCAGCTGCCTAGTCATGAATATATTTAAGTATTATAGTAAGTATCTGTCCTCTTACCATCATTGTAATATTTATGAAAACGCAAATTTCATACACTTTGTACATTTTGAAGGTCGGTCAGGAAGGGTGCATTAGCAGAAATTTTAATGCAGTTTTTGTTTCTAAAACATCGAGAGCATTTCTCGGCCGGCTAGATTTGATCATGTTGGAACATATGTTGTAATAATCGCGCTCCTTTAAAAAAATTTATGGCTCTGATACAACTACATAATTTTGAGTTTCTCTGGAAACACTAAAGCGAGGGCAATTTAGGGGAAAAACGCAATAAGATACTTTCACCGAGATAAATTCATAATGAGGCAGCCGGATCATTATTTTTTGACAGATCTATTTGGTAAGTGAGAATCTTTAACACTAGAATTCTAAATATAAATGTGATAGATTGCACATTGAGCTTGGTTTTATAGCTCAAGTAATAGGACATTTTATACTGCATGAAATTATAACAGTCAGTTGTAATAATTAAGGCGAGAATTCTGACAATTCGTTTTCTCTTATCCAGATATCTCTTTTGTGAGTGTCAATGACTCGGGTCAAGTGAACATTATAACGTTTATTGATATAATTTGGATTTAAATCAAACGCCTTGAGATGGATTGCATTGGGTGTGCTCAGCAAGTTCCTGTCAATGTGTGACGTTGTTCCCCCAGTCCAAATCCACCAGGAAGTGTGTTCCCCGCATGTTGAATTGTATCCAGTAGCTGTGCAAGTCAGCTGCCGAACTGATGTTTTTGATAACGCTTCGCGCTGAAATGCAAGGCATTAATAGAAATTAGGAAGAAACACACAAAAGGAAAAAACAGTGCAAGAAAGGACATGAAATGGAGATATATAGAAAGAGAACAGGAATATAAAAATAGTCAGAAGTAGCGTGCACATTGAAGAACGAGGAGCCAAATAAGGTTGTTCACTAAACTGTGAATCAGGTTGAATTAGGTTGAAATAGCTAAACTGAACAACTAGCTGAAAGTGTTTCCAAATGAGCTATTTTGGCCTATAATCTGAAAAGCACTTTAATTTCACCTCGTATTGCCAACAATTCACACTTTAGAAAACAGTCCTGTAATATAGAAATCACAGCTTAATGCATTGTGCTCAATGGCTGTCAACCAATATTCCTCCAATTAAGCCTATGGTTTTATCCCCCCTAGCATTGGCATCTGGAGAAACTGGACCAAGCAAGTGACATGATCGTGTCCCTGATTCTACCCAAAGGTTAGCGTTCCCATACAGAAAGGGAGCGGATCCTCACAAATTACTGGAAGGTCAATCTGACCTGAATCCCTGAAACTAGGAAACCAAGTCAGTATAGCAGAACAGACCCAATAATCAGGACTATCCCACAGAAATTGGGATAGTTGGAAGACATGTGGTTGGGGGAACCAGGGCAAACCCTAAATACTTAAACTGTCCTTTGTAGAGAATACAATTCTGCTTTCTTTTAAATCACTCAGTTTTGTTGCTCTAATTCCCTATAATCAGTTTTTTTCACCAAAGACTGAATTGAGAATCAAAATTCAACATTCAGGCTACAATGGCCAAGCTTAAACGCATACCAGGTTAAATGGCACCCGGGCAGAATTACTAGCAACCTCTGTCCCCACCCCACCTCCACCCCATTAGTGCACCTCTGACCAAACTGTGACTGTAGCTATAGTTTTTTACGTTAACTGTATTCAAATGAGTTATTCTAGTCTTCATTAGACCCTTTATTTTTCCATTTAAAACAATTGAATAAATCCCTTTGTGTGAACCTTTTTTGTGGTGCAGGATTCCTAGTATAATGCTATGTAATTACTTACACCGATCAACCACAACAGTAAAGTCACCTGCCTAATATTGTGCAGGTCCCCCTCATGCTGCCAAAACATCTAGGCATGAATTCCACAAGATCTCTGACCATGTTCTGTGGTATCTGGCACCAAGATATTAGCAGCAGATCATTTAAGTTCTACAAGTTGAGAGGTGGGGCATCAATGGCTCGGGTTTGTTATTCCAGCACATTCTAAAGATGCTGAGGACAACACCTTGAACTCTTTGTCATGTTTCTCAAACCATTCCTGAACAATTTTTGCAGTGTGGCAGGGTATCATTCTGAAAAAGACCACTACTGTCATAAAACACCTTTGCTGTGAAAGTGTGTATGTTGTCTGCAACAATCTCTAGATAGGTGGTGTATATTAAAGTAACATCCACATGAATGCCAGGACCCACGTTTTCCGAGCAGAACATTTCCCAGAGCATAACACTGCCTCTGCTGACCTGTCTTCGTGCATCCTGCTGCCTTTTCCTCCCCAGGCAAACAACGCACATGCACCCTACCATCCATCTGATCTAAAAGAAAACCAGGCAACCTTCTTCCATTGCTCCATGGTCCGGTTCTGCTGCGCACATCTCCATTGAAGGCACTTTTGGTGGAGAGGTGTCATCATAGGGACTCTGACTTGTCACAGCCCCATATGCTGCTAACTGTGATGCACTGTGTGTTCTAACACCTCTCTACTATGGCCAGCATTAGTTTTTTTCACTAATTTTAGCTACATTAGCTTTTCTGTGTGATTAGACCAGATAAGCTAGCCTTTTGTCCCAGCATGCTTCAATGAGCTTTGGGCACCCATGAGGCTGGTTCACTTTTGGTACAAGACTTGCCATTTTGGAGATGCTCTGACCCAGTTGTCTAGCCATCACTATTTGTCAAAGTCACTCAGATCTTTCCGCTTCCCACATTTTTTTTTTGCTTCTAACACATGAAATTCAAGGACTGACTGTTCACTTGCCGTCTAATATATCCCACCACTTAACGGTACCATTGTAACAATGTAATCAACGTTGTTCACTTCACTTGTCAGTGGTTTTAATGTTGTGGCTGATCAGTGTATGTTCTTGTTGCCAAAATGAAAAACAGTTTCTTTATTTGGTGCTCTTTTCCGAATATCATGAAATATTTGGATGGTGTTGATCGTATATAATTATCTGCACGTCCGCCTCTGGGAAAGTTATTGAATAGGTGACAATGACAATCTTTGCAATCCAAATCATATGTCGGGATTGAGAAAAGCTGTCAAAAGCATTGAATCCCTAACAATGGCAAAGATTTATGGCATTTATCCAGAGCCGGTGGAAGTTTGACTGCTGTGACATTGTGTCTCGGCAAATAGAAACCAACCTTAAGAAGGTAGAAAAACATACTAATTGGAATGACTTTTTTTTTGTCTTTCTTTTTTTTTTTTAAACCATTGAATTCTTTTATTGCTAGTGTTGTCATCTAATTATTTGACATATCTGGCAGGACTGTTGGATCACGATAAAATGATAATGTAAACGTGCCTTCAGAAAGGGATGAGAGATCTAATGAGATCAGTTCTTTCTCATAGCTAGTTGCCTCTCAAATTTAGATTGTTATGTCTTCTAATTTGTGGTGTCAAAAGGACCTGCCTCTTTTAGTGTTCAAATAAACTGCTTATTTCTGGAGCAGCATATTAATACTTTGAAACATGGCAATTCTCACGCTACTGAAAAGGTGTCTGAGGCTGTCACAATTTTTTTTTTAGATGAGTTGTTTTACGTTCGAAACTCAACATTCATCACATGATTTTATGCCACCTAGCAATTATGTGTTTCTTTTGATAGAATATTTTAACCTCTGCTGTGCAAAAAGCATAAACTACGTATGTAGCGCTTTGAAATATAGACCTACTGGGTAACTCAGGGTAACATTTAGAAGAACTATTCAGAAAAGTTACATACGCAATAAAATCAGCTTGTAACTATACATCAGCTAGTAAGATCATAATGAAGGTGGTTTAGCAGAATAGATATTATTTGTATGTTCTTTCACTTCGGAGACTTGCTCGGTTCCCAAGTGTTGGAGGGTGGGTGCTGGTTACTGTTAAGGAAGGGGAGAGGAGAGATTTTAAAAGAAAAAAATGGGAGAAGGAGGACGAGTTGCCTAGCTAGCGTCTTTCTCCCTGATGGCGGAAATACATCCAGTCGAGCAAGGGAAAAAATTTAGTGTTGTGCTAGGGTTGTCAGGTATATAGAAATCTACAAACCCCTGGTGACCCAGGGGTCCCACAGGGGTCCCACACTTTGTGAAATGCTCTGGGAGAATCTTGGATTTGTGCAGTCAATTTATCTAGTTCGTATGTTTCGTTAATTTTGCGTATTACCGTAGCTATGGTGGGAACGCGTTGATCTGCCCATAGAGGTTCTGAAAGGCCAGAGGAATCCTCACTTACCTGGGCATCAAACAACTTGCAGAACTCTCCCAATTGATTTAATTCAATTATGCCCCCATCTCTGCGATACAATTCTCAAGACTTTCAACAATGAAAGACTTTCAACAATGAAATAATTTCTTGAACTGAAAGACATCAAGTACTAAAGATGATGACTCTTCCTAAACTATTGTATTTATTTCCATCCTTACCTCTTACCCCTATAACCAGCTTTCTTTTCCACTCTCTATATTCTATTGTGTCTCATATTGTGTAGGCCAGTAGGATACCCTTGATGAAATGTTAAATACTCATCATACCCGTTAAAGAAGTGGAGCTTGATCTACCTGACTTTTATACATATCTTACCCTCACACCAAACTGGCAATCAACCTCTTACTAAATTAATTTTTATAATTTTTATGAATTGACCCCAAAGGAAGGTTTTCAGAAATCCGGTTTTCCCAAGAGAATTACTAAAAAGCTGTTTTAATGCAAGTTTAAAACCTCAGCTGTACTTGTAGAGAATGAAATCCCTGGAAGTAGATCAACATCTTCCTATGCTAACATTAGTATAAATCAAGAGTTAGCAGAGACAAATAGTTAATTTGTGAAATAGTTAATTTGTTAAGTCAAGGAAGATAGGTCATGATACCTCTATCTCTCAAATAGCAAAATATCTAGATATTACATTTATAAAATAATGCCAGAGGTTTATTCAGTAAATATCAGGTGGTGTGACATTGAAAACCAGAAACTGTGACTGTATGTGGCATAAAGTCCATATGCTGATTTTATTTTGACATTCCAGCAACACAGAATTTTTATGAACTCCGTCAAGTAATAATGCATATCATATACAATACTAAAAGGAGTGATCACAGTTTTGGTGTATAGATCATGACGCTGCAGTTTCACTGCTCATTTCTCTACTATTTAGAAGGTAAATAAATCACTTATATTTCTGTTTATGCTGCCCTAGCCATACATCTCCTGGCTGTGACACAAAATTTAACTGCACAGTAGATCATAATCATAATTTATTAAATATACTTTCTAAGTATATAATTCTAGCCTTGCTACACCTAAGAGGTCAGTGGATAATGGGGTTACTCTTTAGCATGGAACCTGGTATAATTCTTACAGTAACCACAGTTCTCAAGAGGGCGGACTTATTAAATAGCTCTGAGTAATTGTTATTAAGCATATCTTACCGTCTGTGGTGCCAAGGGGTGATCTGTATATCCTTAGTATTACACTACAATTGATTACTTGTCGTCTGCGACAGTAGCCTACAATTCCTAGCATTGTACAGACATCTGTAGTCAGCATTCTGGCAGCATTGAATTTTTAGGTAGTATGGCAAATAATGCAGATCATATACAATATTAAAAAATGAAAGTACATCACTCAAGCATTTTGTAGTCTGAGGCTGTTTTTAATAAAGATTGCATTTGTCTGTGTCAAATACATTGTTTTTGCAAAATCAAGACAAATCGGAGGGTATATGTGAGGATCAATTAAATGGTGCAAAATAAACATTGTTTGAATGTAATCTCATTTAGTGATTAGCTGCTTTTAGAATATTCTGTAAAGCCGTTTTTCACGGCGAAACGCGTCTCGGCAACAAGTGGTTCATCATTTTGACCACCATCTATAATTTATACCTGTTTTTACTATATATTGTTACTATTATTATTTTTTAATTTTGTTCTAGTAAGATAGCTATTTTTAATAATAGATTTATTTAATTATTTATTTTTTGTGTGAGGCTTTTCATCTAAACTGATTACCCGGTCCCTTGTTCTCTGGGGACCCTGTGCCTCTTCTCTCCCCCTTACCTCGTTTACACTACCTTCCTGTCATTCGGACACTAGGGGAACTGGAACTTAGATGCTAGCTAGTACTCCAGACAACTGATCCTCTGGGCACCGTTTAGTAGATCTCCCTTTTTTTCAAGTTATACTTTTTGTTTGCATATCCCTTTTTATCCTTAGATTGATTAAAGGTAGGGCCTCCCTTCCTCATTTCTTATACAGTGGAGCTCTCCTGATGTTGGTTTCCCCTTGTGGGACGCTACACATCACCTACTCCTATTACCTACATATTTTGGAAGGTTACCCCCTCATTGGAGCTCCCCATTAGGTGGTTACAGTGGTGCAGCTCATGAGCTGTTGACTTGTATCCGGACTCCTGACCTGCACTCTGTTTACTTTATTTCTCCATTTTGTATTTTTAATAATACTTTGTAATAAATCTTTTTAACCTTTCTACTGCATCCTGCCCTGTGATTCCGGTCAGGGGAGTGTCACCCCAGAAATTGACACTAGGCCTACATACTTAGATCCAGTTTCCAAAAAGCTCTTTACAAGGTGAGCATTTCTATGCCTTATTCCTGTTCACATTAATCATTGAAGACACTGCACTTAGATTATCACTCTTTCTCTGCATCTATTCACTATATATGACGTGGAGAGGAACGTAACTATCGTTGAACTAAAAGAAGGTTGTGTGATCTACCTTAAAGATACAGACACCTGGAAGTTTAGAGCCTTAAATCTGTAATAGGCTCTAAAATATGTGAGTTTATCCATATTTATAACTCACACACCAATTTTGATATAACATACAATATTGCACTATTATTTGTATCTTGTCTTTCTGTTTTTTCTATGTACTTATCACAAAGTGCTATATAGAGGGTAAGTGTATTTTCATACACCCCATATAGAAATATTTATCTCAAATATAAATACAGCGCTGCACTCAAACTAACAGCCTGAAGGGTAGAAATACCAATCAGACTGAAAGCGTTTTGTTTCTTGGTGATTACTTTTGTTTAGTGGGGTATCGGGAGTACCCACAGAGTGTATACAGCAGCTACATAGATACGTTCTTTTTATTAGTTAACTTAGCGCCACCATCTCCACACTTTTGTTGTATTTTGCCTTTGTAAATTGTCTGAATGTACGGTAATCTCATTTAGTGATTAGCTGCCTTTGGAATATTCTGTAAAACCTGAAGAATTGTGTAATAATTACTATTTATTTATTTATGCATATTTACAGAGAATTATTTAGAAGAGTACTCTGGGAAATATAAAATGTACCTATAATTCCACATTTGACTTTGCTTATGCAAAGCATCCATATTATTTTGACTCATAAAGGAAATCAAAGAAAGAATTTCATTATATTCAAACCCTACATTGTTTCCAAATGGCAAAACAATAAATGTCATGCAACAATGCCACATATTTCTGCGTATCAACACCCACACGCATGCAAGAAGACACCTTAACTCCTTCACTTCCTAAATCAGGTATACACGTTCCTTCTTTCATTTCCTTTGCAAAATAATATTTAATCCATATTGCCTCACTCAACCACATTTGTAATCAGAAAATGATTACCAGCCTGCAGAAGAATTAATTTATCTGCCAGGAACCAATACCACTCATTTAATGTCTGCAAAAGAGCTAAAAATTAAAGTCTCATTACTACTTCTAAACAGTAAAGTGAGTTTACATGGGTCATATCAGTTGTACAGTCAGGGAGGGGGGAAAGAGTTTTCTATAGCACTTTTTAAACCTCTTTATTTTAGAAACATCATTTTTAGCTGAATTTATTAAATGGGGGCATTTGCATTCTTTTGCCATTTTAGTAAGCTGCACTGTTTTTAATTTCTTCAGGGTTCTTACAACTAACTACTGGCGTGGTATTAGAAGTAGTTAATAAGCGTGGGCATTGGTTTCATATTTCAAATCATTTAATCTTTTTGGATAAACTTTTAAAATATATTTTTAAAAATATTTAAATATTTTTAAAAAATCATATATAAAAATATGTAAAAATAGATTAAAAAAAATTTAAATCTTTGTCAAAATATTTTAACATTTTAAGAGTTAAGCTGTGGTTTTAAAAAAAGCATTTAGACCAACCCAGTGTGTATTATAATAACATATATAATGTCTGTGGTATAACATGCAGAAATGGGGCCAATGCAGTGTTTTCAGCATCAGGCTATCTTTATGGCTGTGCAAGGAATAATTGTTCTTATGCAGAGTGAGCACGTTTATGCCTAATCTTGACAAAGAACCAGACAAAGAGGAGGTGCACTTTCAATGCTTTTTTGCTGTCCCCATGACAGATCAATTGGACAGTCACCCTCCCCCAAGGAGGAGAAGGTTATTAGAGGGTGGCTAAGGCTAAAAAAGCATTTAGAAGAGCTGGCTGAGGGCAACAGGCAGCAAGCACACCCTTCCCTGCTCCTTATTACTTGAAGTTACACTACACATTATAATGAAGCAGGCAAGCATCATGGTGGCTGCTGTCAGGAGGGACAGCACACTATCACCACTACACCACCATGGTAACTGTGTGTGGTGTGTGTTTTTAACAGTGTATCTGTCTGCATGTATATGTGTCTGACAGTGTGTTACTTGCAGTGTATGTTTGTAACAGTCTGTGTGTTTGTGTGTATGTGTCTGGCAATGCTCGTGTGTGTGGCAGTGTCTATGTCTGTGCACGTGTCTGACAGTGCATTCTGGTGTCTGTGTGAGTGTATACATGTATCAGACATTGTGTATATGTGTCTGTCTGCCAACATATGTAAGTGTGGCAGCAGTGAATATATATGTGTGTTTGCCTTTCTTGCAGTTGTAGCAGCAATTCACTGATACACGTGTGCACGTGAACATGTGTATATGTGTCCATGTATCAGAGTGCGTATATACATGAATAATTTAGTGTACATATTTATGTGCATACATTAGTAGTTATGTCCAAAGAAACAACATTGCTGTAATAAGGGCGACATGGTATGGGCAACATCATGGGAATGTGACAATATATATTATAATTATACAATATGGATATGTTTATTTACAACACTGTTTTCTTACCTGTTACTTCATTATTTGGTAAATGATTTTTTAAAAGTTTTTATGTCTAACAAAAATATCCATTAATGTTTCTATTTAATAATATGCTATTTGTGCATATTGATATTAAAATATATTTGAACATTACTTCCCAGGAAACCCAAATTTCTCGGATTATACAGGTGCTTTTTTTTTTTTGTGCAAACCGCTTGAGGTGAAGGGATTAATGGTGGTGGAATAAATCTTGCCGATATATTTTGAGTTCTTAACTTCTTATTCACATATGTTAAGTAGTTTGTGGGTTGTTCCATTGTGTGGGAGGAAACTATCTACCATGGATTTATATAATATATGTCTAATGTTTCATATTATGTTTACAAAAAGTTAGAAATTCTCTTTTTAGTATGTATAAAATAATCCATAGAAACCAAACTGATATTTGTAACAAAGAAGGCATGGTCTGCCTATGATATTTCATTTTATGCTAGAGCATAATTAGCGGTACCCCTTTTATAAGCTAACAACAGGCTGTGGGGGCGACTGGCCTATCGACGGCACGAACGCATGCTGACTACAATCATAAATGCATTAAGAACATTGACGAACGCCTTTCAATTACTGCCTAAAGATAGCCTACTTTGAAAAGTGCATTGTAACTGCAACACAATCAAATCTCTTAATGTATAATCATTTTAAAGCTTTTTAATCCTTAATTTATAATTTCATTACAAGGTTTTATATGTATTGGCTGTGTGGGAGAAGAGTGGTTACATAAAATTCTTTAAACTGTTGAAAACAAACTTATAATATATGCAGGAATTATTAAAGGGATAATGTTGGGTGTGAGAGCTCTTAACAGTCAGTAGGCAGAGGAAGATACAATATGAGTGCAATGTGATATTGTGCTGCAGAGTAAGTTAATACTTAATGTATATAGTAGTGCCTCTTATTTCGTGAACATGGACCCAAAATGGGGTGTCTATGCGATTTTATTGGCCTCCCTCTGGGTGGAACAGGAGTCTGTAATTAGTCTCCAGGTAAGCTTTCATCAGTACAATGGAAGGCCCTTAATGTATATAGTAGTGCCTCTTATTTCGTGAACATGGACCCAAAATGGGGTGTTTATGCGATTTTATTGGCCTCCCTCTGGGTGGAACAGGAGTTTGTAATTAGTCTCCAGGTAAGCTTTCACCAGTACAATGGCAGGCCCTCTGATGCAAGAAATAGTCTAATAAAAGTGTTATTGTTATACTAATGATGTGACTGAGCTTTTCGTGTGCACAAAATTATGTCAGACAGCCCGATAGATAAGATTCCAGGTGCCAGCAAAATGAATAGGGATGTACTCATCTTTCTCGCCGAGGTTATTTTATTTTCACTGGCGTAGATTACAAAACCTGATGATCTCAGCCAATCCAACGCTTGGGAGGCTAGTGCGCATGCATATCTGTGCAGCACCAATCAGCATCTTCTCATAGAGATGCATTGATTCAATATGGGGAGCATTCAGCCCCTCCGTGCAGAGCGAACTCATGAAGTCCCTGTAGTGGCTGTCACAGTGATGTGTCATAGAGGTGGCATTAGGCAGCAGTGTAAACACTGCCCTTTCTCAGAAAAGGTGGTGTTTACACTGCTCACCCAGCTGGGTCAAGCTGTTTGCCCCAGAACCACTACATTAAGCTATAGTGGTTCTAGTACATGTAGTGTCTCTTTAATACCCCACCTTGAACAAACTTAAACAAACACTCAGAGCTTTTCGCGGCGTGTGCTGCAAGCTTGACTTGTCCTGACAGAATCTGCCATTAAGTTGTGCCAGGCAAAGTAAAATTAAAAAAATAAACGGTGGGGAGCCTTCATCTGTTTGAGACAACTCAAAAGTAAGTGTCCTTGGGTAAGACACCTAATGATATATATAAACACCTACCTCAAATCCTTATGGATTGTCGATCTTTTGAGCAGGATAATGTTTATCATTAGAAAGCTTTAGACTAATGGTGACTATTAGCTTGAGGAGATTTAATCCTAAATCCATTCATATTAGCTGATTTCTCTTGAAATGGGCCCTTGTATGAACTGAGGGAAAGGAGACCCCTTGTTAAAGGACACTATAGACACCCAGACCACATCAGCTTATTGAAGTGGACTGGATGCAGTGTCCCAGGTCCCTTAACCCTGCAATGGTAATTATTGTAGTTTTTAATAAATTGCAATAATTACCTTTTGAGGGTTAACTCCACCTCTAGTGGCTTTCTTTCAGACAGTCACTTGAGAGACTTCTGGGTGGTTAGGCAACTTTTGGTCACCTAACTGATGCCGAACATCCTCAAGCTATGAATGAGGACATCGAGCATCACCCAAAATCCCATAGGAAAACATTACACGTGCTTTCCTATGGAGGAAGTCCAAATGCTGTCGCCACACATGCGCATTAGGTACCCCCTGCTGGCTGACGTTGGTGGAGGAGTGGAGGTGGAGCCTGACCCAGCACCATGGGTCATCATGGGAGTGAACTTTGTTTCCTAGCACTATAGTTTCCTTTTAAACCGTAAAGCACTGGACTGAAAACTGAATTGCTTTTGGGGTCTAGAGTGCCCCTTCAATGTATTTGTTCCAGGTAATGCGAAAATGTCCACGCATTTAATAAACTCTGTGAATTCTAATGTTGGTTACACATGGGGTTTTGTTCACAATCTTGGTGTCGAACACTTCATACTGAAATTAGAATCAAGAGGCCAGTTCGCTGTTTGTAAAAGTCATTGTCTTTAAATAATTAAAAAATAATAATAAAATAAAAAAACCTATAATGGTAACTGACACCCATTCTGATACTGGAAATTCTTCAGTTGATAAAGGCAAGGATTTCTATAACTGGAAAGAGGCAGGAAATAAAGGTGGCCTTCTTTTTTAATGCCTTGGAAAAAGAGAAAATTATTAAGAAGGTTACACAAGCAGTCATTTTTCTTGTCTTTAAGATTTTTTGATAATAGTATAATGCAAATAAAATACCTTCATTGAAGTGCTTTCATGTCAATGTTAACGATAATGCCATACGTTGAGATGTAAATTAACCTGCTCTTATTATAAGAAGAGAATGAATCTTTCTGTAGTTCAAACTTTGATTTGCGAAGCAGTATTGTTACGTTTAGAAAAGGTCCCTTTATCATTACGAAGACTCTCGATGATTAACAAAGGTCAAGCGTAGGACGCTGCGTCCATATCGAGCATTGACAGCAATGTGGAATGTTGTGTCTGAATCTGCAAAGATCTTCTTACAATTAAATCTAATTCCTCTGCCATGAAATTGTCTTTGTCCGTGAATTGTAGTTGAGAGATTTAATTAAGAAAAGAAACTGGAAATAAAGAGGGAAATGTATCACGTCAAAACAAGTGCTATTCTTTGTGCAAAGTGTAAAAATGTTGAGATACATCTATTGGTTTCCAAAGTGATGGGACCTTATTTAGCAGTGCGCCCTTGATTTAGCCCTTGTTTTTGCCTTGTTGAAAAAATGCCTATACTATTAAATATAGCCAGATATCGACAAATTCCCAGCTTCATATTTGTCATGTTTTATAAACAAATATGTCTTAGTGTCTTGGATGAATTTAGTCTTAACTGCATCATTAAATGGATGAAATTCAATTTGGATGAACCAAAATTAATTTTAGCCCAAATCTATTCAAACAAACCAATTTTTCCCGACGTGCACAACTCTACTTTATTATTTATTGTGTGATTTGATCCATTAAATATTCTTAATTTAATATGTGTGGAAATATAGAGATCCAGGAAAATAATCAAACTGGCTGAATGGGTTTCCACATAATATTAATCTCTAATCAACATAATGGCGTTTATTCACTAAACTTCAAATTGTATTCAATGGAAATCCAAAAATCTAAGCAGAAATAGCTGTTTCAGAAATTTCATATATTGGATATTGTAATCAATGTTTGATTTGAGTTTAAATTCACTAATTCGTGAAAAAAATAAAATACATTTTCAATAACAAAACTCTGAATTGTTATGAAATTAAAGCCAGATTGCAAGACCTAGGTTAAAATAGCCAAGCTATCACTGGCTGAGTTGAATCAGGTATTTTCCCCACAAATTTTGCCATTTGGTGTTCAATTCACTACAAATTACTGTTTAGTGAATAAAGGGGACACTATAAGCACTGAAACAACTTTATCTTAATGAAGCAATTTCGGTGTATAGATCATGTCCCTGCAGTCTCACTGCTCAATTCTCTGTCATTTATGAGTAATTATTTTATGAAGCCCTAGCCACACCTCCCTTCATGGGACCTACAAAGTCTCCCTAAACATTTCCTGTAAAGAGATCTAATTTTCAAACTTTCTTATTGTACAGTCTGTTTAATTTAGAATTTCTCCTACTCTGTTAATAGCCTAAAAGAGCCTCCAGTATGTGATTTAAGTTAAATTAACAGAGCAGGAGATATGCACTTCTAATGGAAACACGCTAGACACTGAATTGTACTGCCTTGACAACAAACAAGTAAAGAATACCCATATTAAACAGAAACTCATCTTTAACTCAGATCAGATACAGATGTTTGTGAGTTCATCTATTGATCTAAAATTTGCAAACCTTGTGCCAATTCATTGTTTGATGGATATGATCTCACTGTTTTACTGATGGGTTGGCTTTGCTGTTGTTAAGAATGTGTTAGAATACAACACAATAATGTGTTAATACAATACGATACTTCAGCTCATTGCCTCTCTTTCCTTCAGGGGAGCAACTTCCATTGTATACAGATGTCGACAAAAAGGAACACAGAAGCCATTTGCTGTCAAAATGCTGAAGAAAACTGTAAGTTGACATTTTGTTTCATTATTATTTTTTTACATTTCTCGCCATTTAACTTTTTGTTTTTACATGAAGTAGCAGTATTTGACTGCTTATGGTTATAAAAGTATGGAATAAAATAAACAAGGAAAGCTGATAATACTTGTAAAACTCCTGCTGTGGTCAAACATTAAACCACTACTGTATGGAACTACACCTTGACACACTAAGCACCAAATCCACTACATCTTAACCTAGTGGTTTTAGTATGTAAATATTGTAGACATGTGCAATTCGTTTCATTCCGAATGTACATTCGGACAAATTTCGTGAAATTCAGACATTCGGATATTTACGAATGTCCGAAGTTCAAATTGCCGAATTGCTGAATTTCCAAATTGCCGAAGTGCCAAATTTCCAAAGTGCCGATCCTCACTAAATTGCCTTGACACATTCGGACAAATTTTGTGAAATTCAGACATTCGGATACTTACGAATGTCCGAAGTTCAAATTGCTGAATTTCCAAATTGCGAATTGCTGAAGTTCCGAAATGCCGAAGTGGGTTAGGTGTAAGGTTTAGGGGTTTTGGTGATAGGGGTTTGGAGTTAGAGGTAGGGTTAGGGGTAGGGTTAGGGTCCCAATTTACCGAAGTTCCAAATTGCCAAAGTGCTGAATTGTTGAAGTTCCGAATTGCCAAAGTGTCGAATTTCCGAAGTCCCGAACTGAACCAAATGCCATTGGTCCGAATTGCTGAAATGTGAAGGAATGCACCTTTATTCCAAGGCTATGGGGAAGCAGCAGTATCTTGTGAAGGAGGGATAAGTGGGGGCCCTGCTGCTGCATTCTGACTGTAGACTACTTTCACAAGACATTCCACCAGAACATATTTAAAGGGACATACCCTACGCCATCGAAATGTATATGCTTTTAAATCCAGGGGGAGTAATGTAGATGGATTTAATACCATGCACCTTTTTAAAGTGACATTTGGAAGCATGAGGAGAGCACACTCCATCATGAGATGCCTCAGTATGTATGTGTTTGGGCTGAACTTGTGTTAGAATGCTGTTAATGTCATGCGGGGTGTAAATGTTGACGGGATCTAGAACAATATCAGTGGCTTTGTATACAACACAGTAATGTGTTAACACAATACAATAAGACAAAAAAAATCTTACCCTAATTTCCAATTCTGAATTTTTCTATTTTCAAATGTAAATTGAAAAAGTAACACTTTTATCTTAAGAAGAATTGTATTTGTTTTAACTTTAGAGTAATGGGTAGTGTAGTCCAACAACATACAGAGACCGTGTGTTGGCCGCCCTGATCTACATAAAACCAGCTTTGCTTGCATTCAGGAGAAGGGGCAGACATCTTTACCAAATTACAAAATGAAAAGTTAAAGCTGCCTATCTTTGGTTGCTGTGCTTAAAGGAACACACCCCAGGCACCATAAATGCTATTGTGCAATTTTTGGCTGTTCATTTACCCTTCGCATGCCAGTTGCCCACCCCCACAACAAAAAAACAAAACAAAAACATAATATTCCTTTTTTTTCCTTTGGCCTGTCCAGTCTTTCTACTTCTCTACTCTGCCCAGAAGATTGTCAGTGACAAGGGTAAACCGAAATGTAAGTGGTCAAATAATTGTAAAATGGTTTGACTTCTTACCTGTGGTTTGCCTTTTGCCTTGTGCCACTCCCCACCTCCACTTCAGCCTACAGGAGAGCCAGATGCACTCTGTTTGAGCTAAGCCCTGCAGTGCATGGCTTAATTTATAGGCTGAGTGAGAACAGCTGACACTCTCAGCCAACAGACAAGCCCTGCACTGAAGGGTCTAGCTCAGGGGAACTAATGGAAGCTCTTAAGCTCCTGGCTGCCTGAATTCTAAACCAGTTTAACTACTTACAATGGGAAAGGGGTGTTAGAGTAATCCTGATATCATAACTATTATAGAGCGCTTTAGTGGTGGTTACAGGATATATAGGATATGTGGCGGACCGCCTGGCACCCTGACTGGGTACCTCCACCAATCGCTGCTTCCTAGTGCTCACTGAGTACTCCACCAGACACTATCAGTACTGTAGGCCCTTAGCTGCCGCAGCTTGTGCTGGGGTCTCGCCATTCCTTCCCACCCTGGACGACCTAGTGGCATAGCCTGTATAGCCTGTATAACCTTCTCCCACAGACATGAGACAAGGCACTATGCTGGGGATGAACTGGAACTGGTTTAATGGGAGCTACATGCGGCCTTTCGTGCAACTCCTCATTCATGGGGTTTTCTTAATCCCATTCCAGGGGCATTCCCCACTGGACCTGAGAGGAGAGTAATTACGAGCAAATATTCCACACATTCCTCCCATCTCTCAGGTACAAAAACATACAATTTAACAAACCCCAAAAGCACCCTCAAAACGCATGAAAACCCCACAAAAGTCACATCCCCTGATAACCACGATCTGGGTGACCAACATATCCAAAAATCACCAAGTTTGGTTCAGGAGTTCGGGATTTTCATAGAAGTCACTTATTTGACCAACCGTGCACATGCTCTTATGCCCACAATAGTTCCAGGGAATCAGGGCTAATGGTTTGTCTCTTTTCAGGAGCACAAAAGTACATAAAACAACGAATGGAATACTTAAATTACTTGTGTAGCCTGTTCCCCTTGTTCGTGGAAACAAGAACAGTGACTTTCTAAGTGGGGTAGAACCGAACGCCGGCGATGATGGAAGTCAAGCGGTGTTCAGGAGTTTCTGTGTCCGATTCTAGTTCCATGAGATTCATGCCCAAACACCACTGCTTGCATTCGCAGGAACAAGATGGCCCCCACCTCATGGTTGTTCATATGAAATGCAGCCACACAGACGAACACTTAGAACACTGCGGTGGAAATTGCTACAAAGTATCAATTGGGCTTAACAATTGGGCTCCCGGGTGGTCTCTGGTTCGTGCGGCTGTTTGGTTCCCGAAGCATATAATTAGAGTTGAGCGAACCCGAACTGATAAGTTCGGGTTCATACCGAACATTACGTGTTTTGGACCCCAGACCCGGACACGGACACGGACATATCACTGTATGTTCGGGTTGGAGTTCAGAGTTCGGCGATTTAATGACGCGTTTTGAAAGGCCGCAGGGCAGCCAATCAACAAGCGTTTGACTCGTGTGCCCTTAGAAGCCATCACAGCCATGCCTACTAATGGCATGGCTGTGATTGGCCAGTGTAGCATGTGACCCAGCTAGTAGGGTCATGTCTATTAAATTTTCCCATGCTGTGTAAAATGACACAGAGCACTCTGATTGGTTAGCTTTTTTTTTTTTAAAGTGCAGTGGTTATTCTGGATTTTTATTTGTCCTTTTTTGGGGCTGAAAAAAGAAGATTTTTGAAGAAAGAAGACATCAAATGGTAAGTCTATTTTTTTTTTTACAGGTATTTAGACAAGGGTCCCCCCTCATTATTTTTAGGATGAGGGGGGTAGGTAGGGGTAATTTTTTTTGGGGGGAGGGGGGTGACTAGGGATTTGGGAACCCCTAGTTGCTCAGGGGTGGGGGCCGGGGGGAGGACATTAGGTCCCCCCCTTATTGTTATTTAGGACCTGCTGTGCATGGGTGGGGGCTGGGGGGAGGACATTAGGTCCCCCCTTATTGTTATTTAGGGCCCTCACCCGTTGCGCAGGGGTGGAGGCCGGGGGGGAGGACATTAGGTCCCCCCCAATTTTTATTTATGGACCCCAACCACCGCTCAGGGGTGAGGGCCGGGGGGAGAACATTAGGTCCCCCCCCTATTTTTATATATGGCCCCCACCCACTGCTAAGGGTTGGGATCCGGAGGGGAGGACAGTAGGTGTCCCCCCTTATTGTTATTTAGGGCCCCCACCTGCCGCATAGGGGTGAGGGCCGGGGGGGAGGACAGTAGGTCCCCCCCTCCACATTCTTATTTAGGGCCCCCACCCGTCGCACAGGGGTGGGGGTAATAGGTTTTTTTTGTTTTTTTTTACAGTGAGCAGCCACTGGCTGCTCACTGTTTACTAGACACGCCCCTACTTGCGGTATAGCGAGTAAGGGCTGAATTTACTAATACTAAGTAATCTTTACTTAGTATTAGTAAATGTGGCTGAAAGACCAATTTAGGTGACCAATTTAGGTCTTTCAGCCTTTTGGTAGATAGCTCCCTAATACCGTGTAAATTAGGGAGTTATCTACTAAGTGGCTGCTTATTTTATGTTATTTTTAAGTGATTCCCCTATCCACATTTGTTTGCAGGGCACTTGTCCTACTCTTATCCCCATTTGACTTCCTTTTGCAGCCCTCTAGCCCTTTCCAGGAGTTTTTTAGAACCAATTTGGTGGCCAAAAGTTCGGGTCCCCATTGACTTCAATGGTGTTCGGGGTCAAGTTCGGGGTCAAGTTTGAGCCCGAACCCGGACTTTTTTTCAAAGTTCGGCCGAACCCGCCGGACCCGAACATCCAGGTGTCCGCTCAACTCTACATATAATTCCAATTGCACAAACAGAGCCTTTTTAAAGTATATTACCCAAGGTCTATTGCAGGGGCCATAGTCCTGAGGCAGGAGGCTGGCAAGCAGGCTCCTCCAGGAACCCGTGGCGAGGTTCTGTTCGCCACAGGATATATTCAGCAAACATGAATCTGAGATAAATTGAAATTTGCTCAGATATTTGGTCACTAAGAATAATCTCAATACAGATGTTTTTTTTTTCACTAATAAGCGAATATTAGTTAATTGTAAATAGAATTGTGTTATCTAGGGGAAGACTGCAGATTTGGGAAGATTCTATAACCCAGCTATAATCACAGTTTGGCTGTTTTTGCAATTCAGTTTTCAGTTTGTTAAAATGGTGTGTTTAGTGAATTAATCCCAGATGAGTTAGTGCCTATTTAGTTTCAGATTATGTGAGTTGTTGTTTTGGGGGGGTTTTTGTGATCATGTTGTCACAATGTTGCAGTTCATAGTTCATGGATTTTCACACTGTATTATCATTGGCAATGAAATGAATTCTGGCAAACTAAATTTGCAAGGTTACCTACCACATAGCAGCAATCTGTCATTACAGACTCGGTTTACATTTATAGCTGATATAACTTTGATGCAAACTATAAATTAATACATCAAATTGAGTTCATATTATTGCACAAATCCTTTATCTAGACAGATATTCATTCTTGAGAAACAATGATCCAGCATTTTTTCTTAGTGATGAAAGAAACCCCAGTTATTACAACTTCAATACAAGGTCTTTATTAAAGGGACACTATAGTCACCAGAACAACTACAGCTTATTAAATTTGTTCTGGTGAGTAGAATCGTTACCTTCAGGCTTTTTGCTGTAAATACTGTCTTTTCAGAGAAAATGCAGTGTTTACATTACAGCCTAGTGATAACTTCACTGGCCACTCCTTAGATAACTGTTAGAGATCCTTCCTGGGTCACGGCTGCCTAAAATGCATCCAAACATTCACTGTCTCCTCCCTCTGCATGCAGACACTGAACTTTCCTCATAGAGATTCATTGATTCAATTCATCACTATGAGGAGATGCTGATTGGCCAGGGCTGTGTTTGAATTGTGCTGGCTCTGCCCCTGATCTGCCTCTGTGTCAGTGTCAGTCAATCCTATGGGGAAGCATTGTGATTGGATCAGGCCATCACTTCTGATGATGTCAGAGAAAGTTCACAGACAGAGGCAGCAGCTTCAGATTTTACTATATTTAGGGAGGCAAAGGGGGCCAAGGGGGCCAGATAGTGGTTTTCACACTATATGGTCAGGAATACATGTTTGTGTTCCTGACCCTATTTTGCTCCTTTAACCCATTAAAGACACATGACATATGTGAGATGTCATGATTCCCTTTTCTTCCAGAAGTTTGGTCCTTAAGGGGTTAAGCTGGGTGTTACACAAAAAGCCTATTTGATAAGCATCGTGCTAAGGTTCTTTATGTCATAAAGAATTATTTTAACCCACCACAATAAAGGAGCCATGTAATGCTTGTGTAAATATCTAAAACCCTGTTTAAGGGTTAGGCCATTTGTTTTGACCATACTGTTATGACGACCTCCAGGCATTGATGGAGATGCTAATGTTATCAATGTCAGAATCCAAGGTTAAAAAAACCCTGTCTGATAGGATCTGAGGCCCTGATTCATCAGAATGAGAGACATATAAATTAACTTCTTATAACTCATTTGAACCTAATGAAGCTGTGCCATAGGAACAGCTGGATATCTCAGGTGGGACAGGTCATAGTGTCATTATGAGCTGAAGTGTGGCTCAGAGGCACAACAGCAGAACTAAGGCAGAAAGAGTCCAGAGTGCAAATCCCCTTGTAGCCCCTTGGACCACACCTGGCCTTTCATATGACACCTGGCCTTTCATATGACACAGTCTCTGTATGTATTTATTCAATATGTGGTCTTACCAGTGATTTGTAAAGCAAAAATTGATATTCTCATCCATTAGAATGAATGCACTTTTTTTTCTTACAAGGAAAGGTTAAAGGAACTTAACATGTATGGATTGGAGGAAAAATGAGAAGGGGGGATATGACAGAAACATTTCAATACATAAAGGGAATCAACGCAGTAAAGGAGGAAACTATATTTAAAAGAAGAAGAGCTACCACAACAAGAGTACATAGTCTTAAATTAGAGGGGCAAAGGTTTAAAAATAATATCAGGAAGTATTACTTTACTGAAAGGGTAGTGGATGCATGGAATAGCCTTCCAGCTGAAGTGGTAGAAGTTAACACAGTAAAGGAGTTTAAGCATGCATGGGATATGCATAATGCTATCCTAACTATAAGATAAGGCCGGGGAATCAAAAAAGTATTTAAAAATAATTGGGCAGACTAGATGGACCGAATGGTTCTTATCTGCCGTCACATTCTATGTTTCTGTGTTTGGAAGTACCCTATTTGATTAGATTTGAAGCTTTTGGCAACTCCTTAAATACTTATTCCAAACACCATGACTAATTCAGTGATCCTCTCTGCTGCTGGAGGTTTATTTAAATCTCTGGCAGCGTCATTATGGTGTCATCAACCAGCCTGGAACGAGAGTTACTGACTGGTGAAAGTCAATTCCGTGCAAATCTTTATGTATTTGGAATCGCATTTAATTCTCTCAGACAATGAAGGGTGATGGTCGTGGCTTCAGCTACTCTACAGAAGCCTGATGAACTTCACCAGACCTCCAGGGATCGAAAAAAACAAAGTGGAGGTATACATCTAGGCTATCTCTTGAGGTGTCCAATGAGTTTATTCCAGGAATGCATTATTAATTAGCTCTACGCTCTAATTGGACAAATTATTAATGTATTGTTTATCCTATCATACACATCTGAAGCATTATGCTCCATGAGGGCTGGTGAACCAATGAACATACAGGGATCAAACACTCTCTAGTCTAGGATACTACAGAAGCAGAGTTTTACTTCAGATGTCACCAGTTATGATTGGACAACGTAATAGTCTTAGCTGTTAATGTTACTACCAAAGATGGTAGATATTTGTCCACTGAGTCATATCTTGATGATGACCAGAAAAATAGCCTGGATGGAGTTACTTAATACTCAATAAATGAGCCCACCACACTACCTTTTAAATTGTATGATTCTAACATGATGGTGAAATAAAAGATTAAATGGATGCTTCATGAATAATCAACAAACAAGCTGTATGAATCCACCAAGTTCAGGAACAGGTCCAGATCAATATCTTCCAATATCTTTGATGACTCTGCCATATTTATGTTCATTCCTAATATGAGACATTTCCACTTGAGTCTTGGAACCACAGGCGCATATGACTCTGTTCATTAATGGGTGGCCACCCTTTCTCATGCTGCATTTAATTGTTTCAATCAAGAATGCAAATAATACTGTTAGTTTATTTGTTCTTTGTATCCTCCCTTGAGAAAGGCTCATAGCTGAAACGTTGGGGGGCTTCTTTGTTGGTGTTCGCTCACTTTTCACTGTTCCTCGTTTTGCCAGTATTTTCTGGTATGTTGTCTATTTTTCTTCTTCTGCTTCATGAATTTATATATCACTTTATTTTGGTTGTTTAACTTTATGTAAGAGGTAGGACAGGCTTCTGCTTGAATGTTTTGTCTCACAGATTGCTTGTACTATATTTTTTGCATGTCTTTTATATATTTTGTGTGTATTTTCATATGATATATTTTAGCATGAATTAAATACAATAGATTTTTCATTTAGTGTGCTCCTCTTCGTTTTGTATGTACTATTAATGTTTTAACTCCATGGGGAATGGAGTTATAATAGATCACCTAGTTTGTAGGTAGCACTTTTTCTCTTTAGCTAGCTTTTCATGTTTTTGACCTTGATTTACACTGTGTTCCTTACATGGTAATTGTTTATATCTACATATTTGCCTGGAAGAAAACTATTAATCAGAGAACCATACAATCCCATCCTTCATTGTATTTTTATGAAATTATAAGATGAAGAAAAGACAGCTTTCATTATTCCACTGGATTTGTACTTTCTATCCAGAATGGATTATGTTATCACCAGAGAAATGTTTGATAGAAAATAATTACTGACAAATTTCAAACAATGATTGAAGTTTTTGAATAACCTGATGAGACATATCACAACAGGAACACTTAAAGTTTTCTCTGCTAAATGGCAAATATACTGAAGGGTTAAGTGTGGTGAATATGTTGTATCATCAGCTTGAGAGACCAGGTATATAGCTAATAGTATTAGAAGACGACGTATAGTTGTGGTCTACATATCAGATGTCTATTAAAGTAATATTGTAATAGCATATTCTGCTCAATACTATTTAAATTATTAAATGGACACTATAGTCACCTGAACAACTTTAGCTTAATGAAGCAGTTTTGGTGTATAGAACATGCCCCTTCAGCCTCACTGCTCAATCCTCTGCCATTTAGTTGTTAAATCCCTTTGTTTATGAACCCTAGTCACACCTCCCTGCATGTGACTTGCACAGCCTTCCATAAACACTTCCTGTAAAGAGAGCCCTATTTAGGCTTTCTTTATTGCAAGTTCTGTTTAATTAAGATTTTCTTATTCCATGTTAATAGCTTGCTAGACCCTGCAAGAGCCTCCTGTATGTGATTAAAGTTCAATTTAGAGATTGAGATACAATTATTTAAGGTAAATTACATGTTTGAAAGTGAAACCAGTTTTTTTTTTCATGCAGGCTGTCAATCATAGCCAGGGGAGGTGTGGCTAGGGCTGCATAAACAGAAACAAAGTGATTTAACTCCTAAATGACAGTGAATTGAGCAGTGAAATTGCAGGGGAATGATCTATACACTAAAACCGCTTTATTTAGCTAAAGTAATTTAGGGGACTATAGTGTTCCTTTAATGGTTATATTCATATTTAATTGTGTTTTACTTCCTAGACCTCAATTTCGTATTGCTGGGTACACATTTCAAATGATTTGATATTTTTGGATACAATTGTAAAATAATTTTTTCAAAGTATAAAAACAACAAAAATATATAATATATAAAACCTTAGAAATTAAAACATTTTTTATAATATTAAATCATTAAAAAAAACATGTATACAGGTCTCAGATCAATATTGTGTTTTCCATTTTATAATTTTACTCTAGCACAGTGTGTTTTATATGCAGGCCTCAAGGTCAAATAAAACCTTTTTGTTTCTGTTCATACTGAATAACCAATAGATAAATGATACGTTTGCTGAGAATGTAGTACAATTGGTCAGCCTCTCCCAGTGTTGAAAAGGTTAAAACACCCTTTAAACACTTACCTTTTTAAAGCTAACCACTGACACCATTTTCGCCTTTTCCGACAACACGGCGATGGGGAAACCAGATGCGCATGCGCGGCAAGCATTAGACATTTTCCATAGGAGAGCATTGAATCAATGCTTTCCTGTAAGGGATTTAAAGAAACTGGAAGCCCTCATTCAGACAGCCACTAGAGCAGGAGTTAAAGGACCACGCACTATAGTGCCCTGAGGGTGCCCCCACCCTCAGGGTCCCCCTCCCGCCGGGCACAAGGGGGTGGTTAAACACTTACCTCCTTCGGTCGTCATCGGCTGAATGCGCATGCGCGGCAAGAGCCGTGCGCGCATTCAGCCAGTCCATAGGAAAGCATTCTCAATGCTTTCCAATGAACGCTGGCGACTTCTCACTTCTGAGAAGCGCGGAAGCGCCTCTAGCGGCTGTCAATGACACAGCCACTAGAGGCTGGATTAACCCATATGTAAACATAGTAGTTTCTCTGAAACTGCTATGTTTACAGCAGAAAGGGTTAATCCTAGATGGACCTGGCACCCAGACCACTTCATTGAGCTGAAGTGGTCTGAGTGCCTATAGTGGTCCTTTAACCCTGCAATATAATTATTGCATTTTAAATAATGCAGTTTCTCTAAAATGGCAGTGTTTTACATTGCAAGGTTAAGGGGACAGGGACACTGCACCCAGACCCCTTCATTGAGATAAAGTAATTCAAGTACCTATAGTGTCCATTTAATTTAGAAATGTCAAGTCTAAAATGCATACATAAAGATTTTTTTTTAATGATTTAATGATTTTTATTCACTGTGTTACTCTATATCATATTTTGAGTTTGACAAGAACAACAGTAGATGGATTTATTCCGTGAGCAGTTTTTATTGTAAGAACACCTGTAAGGTGTGTTTGCTGAGCGACACCTAACACGTTACTTTGGATAACATATGTTGGGTTGTCATCCTCCTAAATTCAGACTTTTCATGTATTTCTGATAATGAAATTCAGAGATGCAAATTGATCATATCTAAGGAAGAAAATAGAGTGACATAATAAAAAATGGAAGAGCAGATGGTAGTGTAATAATCATAGCACAAATGAAGAAAACTATTGCTTAGAAAACTCTGACTATTTTTGTTCAAGCGTGATTGCTTTGGTTTCGCAATATCCAGTGAAATTGTAATTCTGCACTCACAGCGGGTTTGAAAGAGCTCGTATACATAAAATTCATCTCCTCACAAGTACTAATCAGAAAATTCAAGGGCTGTTTTCAACTTGCATCAAAAGGTTTGTAATGTTTGCGATTTGAAACCACAGATCATTGTATTAATTTATTTATTTTTGTTAAGTATATTGAATCCATTTGCATTCTTATCTTAAATCTTAGGCATTTAGATCTGAAATGGGTATGCCGGCTAGCAAGGATCAGGAGGTTTAAATATGACTTTTCTGTTGTGTGTTAAGGTAGAACTGATGGCTGTAGATTGTACAAATGAATGTTACAAAAACCTTGCAGTAAATGTGTTTGGCTGATAAATTGCTTCAGCAATTTGATAACATTAAAGCCCTAGGGCTAAATGAGATAAACCCATGTATACTCAGTGAGCTTAATCTAGTTATAGCAAGACTATAATTTTTACTCTTCCACAACTCTTTCTTTTTAACCTATCAATAATTAGCAGTGATTTACAATTATTAAGTACTGTAGATATTTGAGAGGTGAAGAAGGTCCTGCTCAAACTGGCTTACAATTTATGAAGCTGAACCATTAGGATCCAAAATTACTAAATTACGTAATCACTTGGCTTTAACCAAAAGCAAAATGCAATATCCCCTGTGTCACGGCTGAAGCCAAGATCAATCTCCAATGCCATCCTCTAACTCTACTTATCCTCATCTCTCTGTATTATGTCTCTGTCCATACATAAACAGAAAGAGTGCTGCTCGTACATCCCAGTATAGACTTAGGAGGAAAAGGTACCCAGTGGTGCTTCAGCCATGTCCCCTGGACTATCTACCAGAGTAAAGGAAAAGATCACTATAGAGTACTGTGACCTTGCTCCCATCATCTACAGCCCATCACTTTGGGAAGAAATTGCTCCCTTTCCTCTACCAGCTCCAAAGTCCAAATACTAGTGCTTATCATTTCAGATGGACAGCTACATTGATAGGAATCTACCCTATATAAAAATATTAAATAACTAGTATTCTCACTACAAGAATAATCTGGGGCTAAAGATCCCTACATCCCAAGCTATAGCCATTAAAGTCGACCCTTATTGACACTGATGGTCAGAGGCAAAATATGGTACATTTTATAATAATGTTGGGTTTGTGTGTAATAAGTAATAGTACTGAAGGAAGAGATGTTTATGATACTGACAAAAATAATTTACGAGTTTTGTTGGTCTTTCCCATTCAACCAGGTAGACAAGAAAATTGTAAGAACAGAAATTGGAGTACTACTGAGACTTTCTCATCCAAATATTGTAAGTCACGCATTTTATTGTAATCATTTTGATAAATCTGATGTCTAATTTACTTTAATGACATTTTGTGTAACTGTATCCTTACTTTAGTTGGACTCAATTCACCTGCTCCCTGCTCACGCTCAGTTACGATACATCTCAACTTAAAGGGGCTTATTCAATAAACACCTTATTGTAGTGTAATACCAGATTGCGAAATGTTTGTGGCTATGGCTGAGTTGGAAAATTTTGTGATTCATTTTTCAATTCACTGCGATTATATATTGAGCAAAATCCAATTCACATAATGCAACCATACAAAAACAGATTTGAAGAGGAATCGTCACTTCTAAGGAAATTACACAATATCTTTGAAGAAAACATTGAAAATAATCTATATCTCATGCTAACCTTGTTTTCATGGGATGCTCCATTTCCCATGTGTTTTAAAGATTAAAGGACCACTCCACACTTCCAAACCCCCCCCACCAAAAAAACACAGGTTAGTAGATATACCCCCAACAAATACATACATGCATATTTTAATGTATGTATTCATTGGGAATATAGTTTAAGATAGCTTACAAAACATGCAGTTCTTATGACTGCAGCCTTTGTAAGCTCCTCCCCTTTTTGTCCCGGAAGAGACTTTCAGTCTCTTCACAAAGGAGAAGCCTTCATTGAGAAGCCTCTGACTTGGTCCCCACATGCACACACATGCACAATCTGGTCGTGCACGCTCGGCTTTTCGTACACACGCACGCACCTGGTCGCATGTGCAGGGATGAAGCTGTTGAGCTGGTCTGAGGTCTTTAAGGGAGCGAGGGGGAGGCAGGCATGCTGCAGTAGAGGATGTCTGCCACTTCCTTTAACTCAGGGGAGCTAATGGAAGTAGGAAGGAATCCTTGCCAGCTGTTTGATTGACAGCCAGGGGGGTGTTCCCTAGTTAATTTATAAAAGTGCTGATTTCTTATAAAAATCAGCACTTTTATAAACTGGGGTTAAATGAGGATACTCTTTACCCATAAAGCATGTCAGCAAACTGAAGTGCTTTTGGGGTGTGGAGTGGTCCTTTAAGCAAATGACACAATCCAGTTCAGTCCTGGCACAGCCAAGGCACACATTAAATTAGAGGAGGAGAATATGTTACACTGTTTCAGTTTCTCCTCCAATCTCTATGCTGTTTGACAGGTGCAAAGGGAATAACAATTATCAACAGGGAGCCAAAATGGAGGCCATCAGTTCTAGGATGGAGATAAATGCCGCAGTGTGGATTTCTCCATTTTATTTTTCAGATTTCGCTAACAAACGATTTTCAAACGATTCAATGCTGTACGAAAAACTTTCCAAATGATTTTTCTAGAAAAACTCCCATAGATTTTAATGGTGACTTCTGTTGATAAATCATTTGGCAAGTCTTTTTTTGACAGTATTGAACTATACCCAGCAAGCGCCCCCAACTACAACCTTGGCACACCAAGCTGACTCTATACCTCCAAAAATGCTCCAGAACTGCAGAAGATCTCACTCCACATCTGACAAACCTAATTGCATTCTACGAAGAAGTAAGTAGAAGTATAGATCAGGGTGTTGCAGTGGATGTGATCTACTAGGATTTTGCCAAGGCATTTAATATGGTTACACACAACAGGTTAGTCTTCAAACTAAAAGAAATTGGTCTAGACGAATATTCTTGTTCTTGGGTAGAACATTGACTTAAAGATAGAGTACAACGAATTGTCATTAATGGTAAATTTTCAGGATGGACAAAAGTGGTAAGTGGTGTCCTTCAATGATCTTGAAATACATTGAAAGCCATGTTTCAGTGTTTGCAGATGACAAAACTTTGTAAAGTAATAAAATGTGAGCAGGAGATTGCTTTGCTGCAGAGGGATTTAGATAGATTGGGGGAATGGACACTAAAATGGCAGATGAAATTTAACGTAGAGAAATGCAAAGTTTTATTAGTCAAGAATGCACAAGCAACTTACACCCTAAATGGTAGTGAATTAGGGATAACCACACACGAGAAGGATTTGGGAATTGTTATAGACAACAATATGCAATGTCAATCTGCAGTTGCTAAGGCCAGTAAGGTTTTGTCATGTATAAATGGGCATAAATTCTCAGGATGAAAATATAATTTTGCCTCTTTATAAATCGCTAGTAAGACCACACCTTGAATATGCTGTGCAATTTTGGGCACCTGTTCTAAAGAAGGATATCGTGGCACTAGAAAAAATGCAGAGAAGAGCTACAAAATTGATAAAAGGAATGGAGCATTTTAGTTATGAAGAAAGGTTAAAAATGTTTAATCTTTTTAGTTTGGAAAAACGGCATCTCAGAAGGGATATGATAACATTATACAAATATATTCAAACAATTATCTGGAAATCTATTCCTAAACGGGGCTATGCATAGGAGACGAGGTCACGCATTTAGGCTGTAAGAAAGGAGATTTCATCTAAGGCAAAGAAAATGTTTTTTTTACAGTAAGAGCAATAAGGATATGGAATTCTCTGCCTGAAGAGGTGGTTTTATTAGAGTCCATACAGATGTTTAAACTGCAATTGGATAAATACTTGCAAAAACATAACATACAGGGATATAATTTCTAATTAGTGGGGCAATAGCTGCTTGATCTAAGGAGATATCTGACTGCCATTGTGGGGTCAAGAAGGATTTTTTTTCCTAGTTTGTTGCAAAATTGGAAGCGCTTCAGACTGGGTTTTCTGCTTTCTTTTCGATTAAAGGACCACTATAGTGCCAGGAAAATATACTCGTTTTCCTGGTACTATAGTGCCCTGAGGGTGCCCCCACCCTCAGGGTACCCCTCCCGCCCGGCTCTGGAAGGGGGAAAGGGGTAAAAACTTACCTTTTTCCAGCGCTGAGCGGGGAGCTCTCTGTCTCCGATCCTCCTGCTCTCCTCCCCGTCGGCTGAATGCGCACGCGCGGCAAGAGCTGCGCGCACATTCAGCCGGTCGCATAGGAAAGCATTATCAATGCTTTCCTATGGACGCTTGCGTGCTCTCACTGTGATTTTCACAGTGAGAAGCACGCAAGCGCCTCTAGCGGCTGTCAATGAGACAGCCGCTAGAGGAAATAGGGGAAGGCTTAACCCATTCATAAACATAGCAGTTTCTCTGAAACTGCTATGTTTATGAAAAAATGGGTTAACCATAGCTGGATCAGGCACCCAGACCACTTCATTAAGCTGAAGTGGTCTGGGTGCCTAGAGTGGTCCTTTAACAGCAAAAACATATGTGAGGAAGGCTGAACTTGATGGACACAAGTCTCTTTTCATCTATGTAAATATGTGACTTTCTCCACTATAAATGTATGCTGCGCTCTTACAGCTTGGCTCTTTCCTCTGCAAAAGTAAATTACTTCAATACCCTCATAACCACTCTTTCCCGCGAACCCAAGCGACTATTCCACACTTTTAACACTTTTTTTTTTCGTCCTGTTGCTGCTCTACCTCCTACCGACTTAACTGCCACAAACTTTGCAGTTCACTTCACTGACAAGATCTCTGCAATCAGGGAAGAGATCTCTCATCTCTCTCTCCCCTTACAATACTTCCCTCTGCTGTTCTATGTTCATTCACACCCGCTACAGTGTTAATCATCAACAGCTTCTTCTCATCCTCCGTAATATTGGTCTAAGAGGTATTGCTCTTTCCTGGTGCTCCTCCTACCTCACCCAGCACTCTTTTAGTGTTTCTTTCTCTGGCTCTGCCTCTACCTCCCAACCTCTCTCTGTTGGTGTCCTCCAAGGTTCAGTCCTTGGTTAGAGATGTCACGAACCGTCCGTGAACTTCTTGCGAACGGTTCGCCACTGGTCAGCTGACACATCCCGGCCAATCTCCAGCAGACCCTCCCTCCCAGACCCTCCTACTTCCTGGACAGCATCCATGTTGAAGGCATTAAATGATTTGAAAAACATATCCAGAAATATTACATGGCGCCCTTTGCTAGCTCATTGACGGTATGCCTTGTTTTTATGCTTTGTATTTGACTTCACTCAATAAATAACATTTAATATAGAGGATAAGTAAATATAATATTGTAAATTGTTAAAAAAGTTACAGTGGACTTGTTACGTTTCATACAGGGAATCTAGGGAAATCAAACAAAAAGTGCATTGTAGCAAACAAAGAAAAAATGTTGATGTAATAATTCAGAAAAAGTAGCTAAATTGATTTTTCCAGCATCATGCACATTCCAACAGAAATATGTTTCCTTGAAGGGGAAATGAAATTGAACAATATTTTATTCCTATAACTGTGTACGTGTGTAGCACTGACTAGTTCTCTTTGCTAGGAGCTATCCGCATGTAATTGGGTTTATAGAGTTGATAAAAAAAATCCACGTGACATATGTTTTTGAAGTTATGAGTTTGTTTTTATCAAACTGGATGAATTATTTAAGAACATGTTAAATCTGCTGACATCTGAAACCATACCCAGACATTGGCAAGGGATTTATTTATATTTCATAAGTAATGCCGCTTTGTCTGTAATTAAATTTTAAAAAAATATGTTCCATACCGATCTACACTTATTTTGCATGTAAAATAAAACCATGAATATTAATATAGATTTAATTTTGCATAAACAATATTTTATTTATTTAAAACATGATGGAAATGTATTGCCTGATTTGATCTGTGTCTGTCAAAACCTTTTGAATTAAAATAATCTCATATTTATTAAAAAAGAAAAATGACAATAATATTTACCCCAATCTGCCAGAAAGCAGTTTCATAAAAATAAATATATGTGACTGTCTCTGTTCATCTACCGTAAAGGTTTTCTTCGAAAGCTCATCCAACCATTATTGTCAAAAAATATCCATGCAATATTGTACAGCATATTTTGAAAATGTTGGGCTTTCGCCTTGGATGGTAATATTTATTAACCAATAGCAGCCAAAAGTCCTGATTTCAGCAGGACTGCTCTACTTTATGACGCACTGTAATTCAGTTCTAGATTGGCACCAGTAAATAGGATCGATCTGAAATTGAACCAGTTGGCTCATTTCTCCTATTTAGGAAGGCAGTGCCGTGGATATGTTAAGGCATGGCACAATTTATGTCACTGACATGCCCCCCAAATTAGACCTGCATCCTTACCTGACACCTAACTAACTATGCTGCTACAGGTATGCTATTAACAATCTAAAGTATTTTAAGATTGGGGTAAAAATGTACGACAAATTGCCAGCATGGTTGATGAATACATACAGATCATGGGTCAAGTGCACAAGTTAAATTAAACATTTAAAGTAATTAGTCTATACATCTCTTTAAGCACATAGAGATGCTCTTATAGTCAAATTAATACTTCTACAACACACGGTTTTCTTTTCATTTGCAGATCAAATTGAAGGAAATATTTGAAACTCCGACAGAAATTAGCCTTGTCCTCGAACTTGTGACTGGAGGCGAACTGTTTGACAGGTGAGACATGTGTAAATTATAGAACATAGCATACCACCTATGACATCCCCTATGGCACACTGATAGAGATAGAGATATCGATATCGATATCGTAGTTACATGGTCTTGAAGAAGTGCTATGTTTGCACAAAATGCATTGACTAGTGGCAGCTACACTATGGGAGCATTTATTGCATTGCAATTGCATGGAATTTTTATAACAAATGTATTGAATAAAGATTGGAATAGTTTTTAAACACACAGCATTGTGTACAATTTTGTCCGGAGAGGCCAAATATTCTACTTCTTTTTCTACTTTTGCAAGAAGCCTTTGTAAAGTACATAGTGTGTCCTGACCCCTTCCCTAAAATGTAAAATCTGTCCGCAGAGACGCAGGGTTGCTTAAAGTAAAAAAGGATTTCAAGGGGCACTATAGTCACAAGAACAACTACAATGTAGTAGTGAGTATAGCCTGTCACTGCAAACATTTTCATGTAAACACTGGCTTTTGAGAGAAAAGGCAGTGTTTACATTGCTGCCTAGGGAAACCTCCAGTGGCAGCCACTCAGACAGCCACGATAAGTGCAGCACTGACATTTAGCGTCTCCACACACTGCATGGAGTTGCTGACCTTTCCCCACTGAGATACATTGATTGATCATCCTATGGAAAAGCATTGGAGATCATTGATTCTGATGATGTCAGCCAAGGAGGCGGACTGGGGGCAGGGCCAGCACTGGCAGATCCGCGCAGCAATGGAATAAAGGAGAGTTTTAACAATTTTTAAGGGGTGCAAGGGGGGGGACAACCTAAATAGTGTTTTTAACACTATAGGGTCAGGAATACACATTTGCATTCCTGACCTTATAGTATTCCTTTAAAGAACCAAGAACTGATAGATTATATATGATACAGGTTTCTATGGGGGAGATATATGGCAATATCAAAATATTCACCAATTTTGCAGTTTAATCTATTTTCATTGTAACAACGCATTTTGTAACCAATCAGGATTTTTATCAATTAACGGGCTCTCTGGTCCAGTTCATCTGATGGTAAATCTGTATGTATTAATAAAGTAAATACCATACTGATACATCCAGTTTTGCTCATTGTTTGGATTAAAATGTTTTTCTAATAGTGTCAACAAGTTGTTTTGTTAATGATGTGATAATGTTGGGGCTTTGTTTGCAGGATTGTGGAGAAGGGTTATTACAGCGAGAGAGATGCAGCTGACGCAGTGAAACAGATCCTGGAGGCAGTTGCAGTAAGTAGTTCAATATCAGATACTTTGTTACATTAAGTGTGTGTAAACATTAATAATCAGTTTGCTAAAAACTAAAACATTTTTTCTTTTCGGCCAAGGTTAAAGGTACACTCCATTGATGATGATGTGGTTTTCTTTTAATAATCTAGCAGATATACCCCCCAAAATATCCATGTATTTCTTTCTGCAGGGTTTCTTTGGGGGTACATGAAAAAAAAAAACAGTTTGCAAAAGCTGCAGATCCGCTGTCTGCAGCCCAGGGTTGTTTTTGCCGCGAAGTTAACAAGACATTTGCCTTGGGCGGCACTTTCCAATTTGCACCTAACTGCCCAGGCAAATGGCTTGTTAGCCTCGTTTTAATTGGGCCCTGAGCTGGCTGGCCAGCTTTGGGTCCCCTTGGGGCGGGCGGCGAGGGAGCTCTGGTCTGTGAGCACCAATGCAAGCGGGCGGGCACGCAAAGCAGGAAGTGAGGGAGCTGAGCTCTCCCTGCTCAACTCCCTTCCACGCAGCAGAGTAATCCCGGGAGCCGGAGTGACATCATATTCCAGCTCCCGGGATTCCTCTGCGGCGCGTGAGGGAGCTGAGCAGGGAGAATGCGTAAGACCAGTGAGAAGCAGATTGCAGTAGTCCAGGCAGGAGTTGATGGCAGCATTGATCAGCACCTTAGCGGCCGAGGACCAGCCACTCCACCACTATAGTGTTAGGAGTAGATGTTCGTATTCCTAAACTATAGTATTTCTTTAAGGATTTCTGTGGCTAATGAAAGATTGTTCTTTTCTGAAATGATCATGTACAAATATAGTGCAATGAGATACTCGAACACGTTGAAAAATGCTGTTTTCACTTTGATCTCACCGCAGGTTTATTAATGCTTTGCTACAACGTGTTCCAAAGTTAAAAGAAAAACTGACTTTTCAGATGATTCTTTACTTGAAAAATTAAGCATAGAAATGTTTTTTAGGTTTTTCAGATGAGTTTTTCTTCCCCTAGAGATAAATCTAACATTATTAAGTTTTCAGTAAAGACTAGAATTATTTATTGGTCTATGTCTCAAATGGATTTACGAGCAAGATATCTATTTACTGGACACGGACCAAATGCCATTTTTATCTAAAAATCCCGTACAGCTTCTCAGTGAGGCGCGTTATAGTCAATTCAATTTCACTGTGGATTTAAGTGTTGTCAAAAAAAGCCATTACAATGTGTTTTGTCTCTTAGTGAGGAGAAATTGCTATTACATTGCTGCTTTGCTCACAACATTTATTCACAGTAACATAATCTGGATGCCACAATATAATTATGCTTCATGCCAACTTACATTATTGACACTACCATCCTGTTTTGTTCAAGTCTAACTTTAATTCTTGTCAGTTGTGCCTGTAAAAGTTCAGAATAAATAATAATGTTTTGCAGAGTTACAAAAACAGTTGGAGGGACACGCTATACATCCTGTGGGCATTTAAATGTCATTTTAGAATAATAAATAAGTAATTTACCTTTAAACGATTCTTCCCAGTGACAAGGAATAACTAACAAAAAATTTAACTCCTTAAGGGCACATGACAGAAATATTCCGTCATGATTCTCTTTTATTTCTGAAGTTGTGTCCTTAAGGGGTTAAATAAACAATGTAATGGACAGCTTGGGTACCATGCTGAGGTGTCTGAGTCACAGCTCTGTATTAACCAGTTAATGTTGTATAGCACAGAATTAAGTATCAACTAGTGTACTGGCGGTGGGGGGGGTGGGGGGGCGGAGAAGGGGGGGGCAGCTAAGGGAGGGCTAAGACTAAAATCAGTAAATGTGTATCTAATCAGGCTTCAGGTACACTAACTGAAATAGAGAAGAAAGAGCAGATATGGGGGAAGGAATCTAAGGGAACAATGGTACGGGGGGTATGTTGTATACAGCATAAAATAAAGTATTTAATAGTGTATGGGGGATACACTATTAAATACTTTATTTTATGCTGTATACAACATTTACCAGTTTTTAGAACCTAGTGTTCCGCCATTTTGTAGTTGTCTAATCTATAGAATAAATGCCCAGGATAGACTGCCACTATCCTAAGTATAATAAGAGCATTTCATTTTCATTTTGTGTTACTGAATGGTTTCATTGGTTGATGTCCAATTTGACACTTCCATTAAAACTATTGCTGCTGGGGTTCCCATGGCTCTTCCTGCTCTGAGTAGAATTTGTGCCTAAAATGTAACTGCTTTGGGCCCAAATCCCACTTTCCCTCTTTCCTATCCTAATTATTATTATTATTATTATTATTATTATGATATTTATAGAGCGCCGTCAAATTCTGCAGCGCTTTACAATGGGTGGACAAACAAACATGTAGTTGTAACCAGACAAGTTGGACACACTGGAACAGAAGGGTTGAGGGCCCTGCTCAATGAGCTTACATGCTAGAGGGAGTGGGGTAAAATGACAGAAAAATGTAAGGATAGTATTAGACTAGTGACAGCTGCAGAAGAGGAATCAGTCAGGAGCTATTAACAGTTTAATTGATACGCTTTTATGAAGAAGTGGGTTTTTAACTATTTTTTGAAGGAGTGGAGACTGGGTGAGCATCTAACAGAGGAGGGAAGCGAGTTCCACAGGAACGGTTCAGCCCTCAAGAAATCTTGAAGGCGAGCATCAGAGGTGGGAGTACGGACAGAAGATAGACATAAGTCTTCAGCAGATCGTAAGGGCCTAGACGGGACATACTTGTGTATAAGGGAGGATAGATAGGTGGGAGCAGCATTATGTAGATATTTGAAAGCAAGAACTAGAATTTTAAATTGAGCTCTATATCTTATAGGAAGCCAATGTAAGGACTGACAGAAGGGTGAGGCATGGGAGGTGCGGGCGGACAGGAAGATGAGCCTCGCCGTCGCATTCATTATGGACTGTAACGGCGCAAGTTGGGAGCACATAAGACCACTGAGAAGCGGATTACAGTAGTCAAGGCGAGAAAGGACAGTGGAATGGACCAACACCTTAGTCGCATCTGGCGTTAAGTAGGGGCGGATGCGCGCAATGTTTTTGAGATGGAAATGACAGGATTTGGCGATAGATTGAACATGAGGCTTGAAGGAGAGGTCGGAGTCAAAGAGAACACCTAGGCAGCGAGCCTGCGTGGTGGAGCTGATGGTAGCACTGTTGACTTGGAGGGAGACAGACACACGAGTAACAACACTTGAGGGAGGAAAGACCAGAAGTTCAGTTTTGGTCAAGTTTAGTTTAAAGGACCACTCTAGGCACCCAGACCACTTCAGCTTAATGAAGTGGTCTGGGTGCCAGGTCCTTCTAGGGTTAACCCATTTTTTCATAAACACAGCAGTTTCAGAGACAGCCACTAGAGGCGCTTGCGTGCTTCTCACTGTGATTTTCACAGTGAGAGCATGCAAGCGTCCATAGGAAAGCATTATGAATGCTTTCCTATGTGACCGGCTGAATGCGCGCGCAGCTCTTGCCGCGCGTGCACATTCAGCCGACGGGGAGGAGAAGAGGAGGATCGGAGGAGGGGAGCTCCCCGCCCAGCGTTGGAAAAAGGTAAGTTTTAACCATTTTCCCCTTTCAAGAGCCAGGCAGGAGGGGGTCCCCTCAGGGCACTATAGTGTCAGGAAAACAAGTATGTTTTCCTGGCACTATAGTGGTCCTTTAAGGAAGTGGGCAGCCATCCAGTTAGAGACAGCAGAGAGGCAGTCAGAGACACTAGTCAAGAGGGACGGGGAGAGATCAGGAGAGGACAGGTAGGTTTGTGTGTCATCTGCGTAGAAATGATATTGGAAGCCAAAGGAGGTAATGAGTTTACCAAGGGAGGCAGTATAGTTGGAGAACAGTAGGGGACCAAGGACTGAACCTTGGGGAACACCAACAGAGAGGAGTTGGGGAGAAGAAGCAGAGCCAGAGAAAGAAACACTGAAAGAGCTCTGGGAGGGGTAGGAGGAGCACCAGGAGAGAGCAATATCTTGTACACCGATATTGCGGAGGATGAGAAGAAACTGTTGATGATCAACAGTGTCAAAAGCCGCAGACAGGTCAAGGAGAATTAGGATAGAGTAGTGACCACGAGATTTTGCAGCAAGTAGATCATTGGATACTTTGGTCAGTGCCGTTTCCACAGAGTGCTTAGCGCGGAAACCAGACTGAAGCTGGTCTAGCAGAGCGTTGGACTCGAGGAAGTCTGTCAATCTCGCATACACAATTTTTTCAAGGATCTTGGATGCAAAAGGCAGTAGCGAGATAGGACGATAGTTGGATGGGGAGTTGGAGTTAAGATTGGGCTTCTTTAGAATTGGGGTTACAGTTGTCTAATGTCCCTCTTTTCTAGGAGCTCCATAATGTTGCTGTGTCTGCATATCTAACAGAGCTCCACAGCAATAATACTCCAAGTAATGTGTCATTAAACTACGATAAATGTGTTTATAAATTAGTCTATATAAATAAGACACATTGCCCTTGTTCTAAATTACATTGTATAAACCTGTTATTAGTAAGTCCCCTATAATTTCTTAGACCAACGATGCCTGTGGCCGCACCCCCTCTCGTTGCTCATATGAAATGTTGGGAGATACTTTATAAGTCTCCTTTGTCTGATAGTAATGATGCTTGAGCTATTATAGCGGCTTTAGAAACGATCTGAAGGGAGCTGAAGAAAAAGCTATTATTGGTCACACATCGTTCATCCAGATATTATAAGATTTAATTAAAGCAAACATTCTCTTCTCAAGACTGTAATATAAAGTTATGATACATCTGATCTTATATTCATCTGTATTGGACTCAGAACAAGTTACACTGTATATGGTCTCAGATTGAGATTGTAGATCTCATCAACTGATATCATCAGCTCTGTAACATGTACACAAGCCTGGCGTTCTATTGATTTCATACTTTTTGAAATGTTAAATGTTTGAGATTTTGTAGAACTGGGGCAGTGTAAATGCATCTCTTGCAGCAGAATAATATCTTGTATAACAGGGGAGCCTTGTATAATCTGTCCTTAATTTGTTCACGAAAATACAAATGTTTCCAGTGAGTGCAGACATGTTTGTAGTAGTTATTCAATGCACCACTTAGCCCGCTGCCTCCCAGTATGAAGCTTCAGCTCACTGTTTGTTCTCTCGGGGATTTATATAGCCGTGCTTTGTATTTCTTACATTAAGACTGAAAACATAAATTCAAACTGTATGCCCAAGGGGTGTTTTTGTTGTTTTTTAAATTCGTAATTTTTCTGTTAATAAAAATGCCATTTTCTGTACATGGAGTTTTATGTTGGAGTCTTAACCAGAATAAAATAATCATCTGTGTGTAAAAGGTTCCCATGGAGTAATAAAATATAACTTTGTCCTTGGGCGTCTGTCCATTATTTTCTAAACTTTAGGTAAATATACATTAGATCAGGTGAATTATTCTATGAGTACTCTAGAACCGACTTCAAATTTACTGGGGATAAACTATGTTGGCAGTGTATTTGCCCTTTAAAGATTGTATATTAATATAATTTAAAATTATGGTATATGCTTACAAATCTCTACATAATGCTGCTCCAACTTACCTATCCTCACTGATACACAAGTATGTCCCGTCTAAATTCCTACGCTCTGCCGAAGACCTATGTCTAACCTCTGTTCGTACTCCTACCTCTGACGCCCACATTCAAGACTTCTGTAGGGCTGCACCGTTCCTGTGGAACTCCCTTCACTGCTCCATTAGACTCTCACCCAGTCCCAGTTCCTTCAAAAGATCATTATAAACTCACTTATTTAGGAAAGCATATCAATACAACTGTTAACAGTCTCCCTCCCTGCACCTTGATAACCCACCCTGCTTCCCGTCCTGTAACTGTGTCTTCCAATAAACTAACCGTTCACTATAAACTATTCTAGTAACCTCCTTTTTCCTCTACATAAAACACATCCTTCCCTTATCTCTTGTGTCACTTTACCCCACTCCCTCTAGAATGTATGCGTGTTTGTACCAGGGCCCTCAGCACCCTTTGTACCTGTGCGTCCAACTCGTCTTGTCTTGGCTTTATAAATAATAAAAATAATAATCATATAGGCTGCAAAAAAGTCTTGCATCCATCAAGTTCACCCGTCCTCACATCTGGTTTTGACTGTTGCTCCTGAATTTTATTGATTGGGGAAAAAAATAACCAACTGTTTGAAGCAGCACCCTAAATCATGGTACCGTATACTTAGTATTGTTTAAGCTTTTTATCTATAGTAGCTAAATACCAGTTTTATGTGTCACATGTTCATCCTCACCTTGTGATGTCCTTAATGGCAAATGCCTTTCTGGCATTAACAGAGGTGCTACACAGCAGCCCTGTGCTGGTGTATCTGACTCCTGCAGCATATTGAAAGACGCCGGCCACTGCGGATCCATTCCAATTAGTAACTCCACGTCCGCAAAGGACGCGCACGCACATTCTGGGGTCAAAGTCTGAAGGAGACTTCTTTAAACGCCTCTTTCCTTTTCCTCATTGCTCTGTCATGGTTTCCCTTATTGGTTGTCCGAGAGTGTGTTCCCCAGCTTTTATTTCTGATTATTGACTTTGGCTTTGTTTGACTTCCCTGTATTCTGGTATCCTTGACTTTTGGCTTTCCCTCATCGTTGTGTCTCATTATGTGTCCTCGACCTTGGCAAGTATTCTGACTATTCTCTGGTACGTTGAGTCCGGCCATTCTAATGCCGGAAGGACATTACCTTTAGTCCTAGGTGTGATACAGTTCTACGTGCTGGATCAGCTAGTAATCCTGACATTATGTTAGTTGTAGACATGCTCCTTTATTGGATAGAAAGAAAAATCATTTTAGCTAAATGCATCAAATTGGAGATTATATTTCAAATAATTTTGCAACGGAAGTTGGGAAGAAGAGCTTTGTGAAGTTTGGCTCGTTGTGTCTATTAATGAATTGAATGTATCTTTAAAAAAAACACCTCTAGCCTCCACTCTGAAAAGGCTGTTTTTTCCCTCATTCTTAAAGCAGTGTGATCGCGCCAGCTAAATGTATTTTGTACGATCTGCCATCACAAGACTCCTTAATCATTGTTATTTGACACACATTTTACTGGCCTGTCTGAAATGTCACCATCGGTGCACATGGAATACACATCTGATGATTGAGAATAAAATGGACTTTTCAAAGCATTTCTCTACTGCATTTTCTAAATCTAAAAGTTTATTGTAATTATTATAATCTGTCTGCATTATTGTACGAAGAAGGAAAATACAAAGGACAGGAGTATTCATTTGAGACTTAAATGTTAACTTCTGGGACTTTTCTGCTAAGACACAGTAACTATAGAACTTAAAGCAAAAACACACTATTGTAAAAAAATATTATGCTATACTACAAAATCCATAAAGATTGAAAAATTATATTTGTACTAATACAGATGTGAATTTACCTGACTGATGATGCCGTGTTTACTATCAATGTTTTCTTTATATTCCATAATGCTTTTTTTGTCACAATTAAACCCAATCCGAATGATATACAGGGTACCTGTGCAGAGTATCGGATTCAGCTGTAGAAGTACTTCTACATTTTACATAAAAAGACACCAAGGGTAGAGACATATATTTTAATTCTGGAAAACTATTGGCTCTGGCTGATGAAGTGGTCCTATAAGAGTCCGTACAGATGTTTAAACAACAACTCGATGCATAATTGTAAAAACATAATAGTTAAATATTGAATTTTTCAATTATAGAGAAATAGCTTCTTGATCCAAGGAGATATCTGACTGCGATTCTAGGGTCAAGATGGATGTTTTTTTTTGGTTTGTTGCAAAATTGGAAGTGTTTCAAACTAGGCTTTTTGTCTTTGTTTGGATCAACAGCAAAAAACAAATGTGAGGAAGGTTGAACTCGAGGGACACATGTCTCTTTTCAGCCTATGGAACTATGTAACTATATGTGTTTTTTATCACTGGAATTGGCAAAATACAAATCTGCACTAATCACTTGTATATTCAAGTTAATACAGTAATATGCACATTTACATAATAGGGTCTGATTTTCTGAATTCCTGTCATCGCTATGACAACTAGGTTGGGAGTTTTGTATAAACGAAAACCAAACATGGTGCGTCAGTCTTGAGTGGTCCAAATACAGGATATGACGTGTGTAGCAGTTACTGAAACTCCTGGTTATATGGTCTTCTAACGATCCATTGAAACTCTTGATTTGTAAAAGATAAATATGAATTTGTTGACTTTTTCACTCAATGCTTTGAGGCCATCTACAATGTATGATTTAGATTAGGTTACTCGGTGGGATTCCAAAAAGTTTTTTGACAAAGATCTTGACAAAGTTGCCATTAAATGTGTTAATGACATAATTTGCAAAAACAATATAGCTGTATTATGGAGTATTACATTGTTAAAAACACAATGCTTTGTGCAGTTTCTTTCTATGTCATATGGTTCATTTAAGACTACGTTAAGAGGCTGTAGAACTTCATTCCGACCGATAAGAAACTTGCGTATTGCTGCTATTATCGTAAGATAGTTTGAATGGGACCATAATGTCTCCATGATAATGGTATCTGGAAGAACTTGTGTTTGAATTTAAACTCTATTGATCCAAACCTAAGCCAGATATTAATTTGTTTTAGAAAACATCTGAAAACAACAGTAACTAATAGAATGCATGATATCTGATTCTAGTATCTGCATGAAAATGGGATTGTCCACCGAGATTTGAAGCCAGAAAATCTTCTTTATGCTACTCCTGCACCGGATGCTTGCCTCAAAATCGGTATGTACCAAGCCATAAGATTTCAGTGAAATGCCATTTAAATTCTTAGTCCAGTTACTAAATCTGACACATCTTGATATGCTTTTAAAATGATTTATCCTTTTTATATTTTTTTATATATTGAGATTTCATATTTTTGGATGTGCTTTTTAAATTATTTTTAAATTATTTAATATTCTAGGATGCATTTTTAATTTAAAAAACAAAAAACAAACAATAAAATATAAAAAAATCCTACTTTTAAAAATGTATCCAAAAATATTAGATCATTTGAAAAGCGTATCCAAAAATATTAAATCAAGGCCATAGTGAGGTAGCAGGGGCTCCATGCCAAAAACATCGGCCACCCCCTCCCCCCTAGTTTTGCATCCTGTGCAGCTATGTCTAGTGCCACACTCTATGAGAGGTATGTCCCATGCCTGCATTCCAATGATTTTTATTAATGTAAGACTGCTGTGGAAATTATTGCAAAAAATAGATCTACCCCTCCAAAAGAAATTATTTATAGGCCCCAAACACTGGAACTCTGAGGTTCCAAAAGTATCCTAGTAACAAGTTCGATCATTTGATGTCTCAAAAACTCTCTTGCCTATGGGAAAATGGGTACCACTAAAACATTACCAGGGCTAATACTGAATAGAGTGTACTCCATAACAAATCCAAACGGAGAGACACAGAGTATTCAAAGAACCAATGTCCTAGCACTCTACAAAAATAAATACAGTCTAATACTGAAAATGTATTTTGCTGAATTTAGAACAGTGTACACTAATTACTTTAGCACTGAACAGGAAAGAAATGTTCCCTAATTGTAGAAGCCTGCACTTGGAGAGAATGTCATATCTCATGACAGATGAGTGAGGGCAGTAAATAATGGAAGCAGATGTAGGGATAATGCTCATTTCTAAGGACGTGGATTGGTATTTTTTTTTTCTCTTCATTTCTATGAGAACTTAAAACCACACGAACGATCACAAATGACTAATTGTCTATCGAAGCCTCCAGAACACAATTATTACAACATCCTGCGTTCATGAGATGGGGAACTCAATCTATGGAGACCCAATGACTTCAACAACAGATAAATTATTGTTTTATTTCTAAGCTTACACGGTTCTTATTTATGAAATTATTGAAAAGATTTTGTTTATTTTAGAGGCAGATTATTTGGGTTTCAACTAATATATATTTATTTAGTGTTTGACTTGGGTTATATTTATTATGGAGTTTAATCACTGAACGTCAAATTGTATTGCATTATTAAACAAATTTCTGAATTTTGGTAAAAAATAAACTGATTTTGGAAAAAAAAAATCAACCAACTCAATAGTAGTCGCAATTATCTTACCCTTAATTTAGCAATTTTGTGTTTACTTCACTTATATTCAGTGTTCAGCGGCTATTTCTCAGCTAATCAATAATAAAATATCATGACCATAAATTGCAAAAGTTCTCCGGATCAGTCACCTCAAATATTTGTCTACCTGGTATTATCTACCCTCCCCCATCTTCGATAATAGCAGACGTCTCTGGAGAGCTGTACTGACAGAACCCTTGATACTTCAATTTATCGCTTCCCTTTCCTATTATTATATATTTTTCTCTCCCTTTTCTTTCCTGCACTCTCCCTTTTTCATCTCTTTTTTTTTACTTCCCCTCAACTCTCAACCTATTTTATGTTGTTTATAAACTTTTTCAGAGACAATGTGTTTTCAATAGTGATGTCGCGCACTTGCCGCGAACGGTTCGCCACGGTTCGCTGCCTTCAACATGGATGCTGTCCAGGAAGTAGGAGAGTCTGGGAGGGAGGGTCTGCCGGAGATTGACAGGGATGTGTCAGCTGACCGGAGTTCGCCACGAACGGTTCGACACGAACCACAGCGAACCGTTCGCGGCAAGTTCGCGAACCGTTCGCGACATCACTAGTTTTCAATTTCAATATTTTACTGCTTGCTTTTGATATTTCTTAATTTTTTTTTATGGAAAAAAAAGTAATAAACAAAGATTTAAAAAAAAAAAAGAAATGAAAAATATATCTGAAACTCGCTATCTGTGAATACTTGTTATTTTTTTGTTGCTCTTAGTATTTTACACAAGTCACCCATTCGAGTAATGGCTATTGAATAATTATTGTCGGATGTCATGTTTCCATGAAATATAGAACAATTACAGCAAAATATAATCTTTCTAAATTTATTAATTTTTGTTCATGTTTTTCAGCTGATTTCGGTTTGTCTAAGATTGTCGATGATCAAGTGACAATGAAGACTGTATGTGGTACTCCAGGGTATTGTGGTAAGAGTCAGCAATGTTTGCAGAAACCGAAAAAAATTGTATAAATATTTTATTTCTTCTTTAAAGTGCGACTCTCTCATTTTATGCTATATGGCTTAATAATTAATTCCCTCCAGAATATTAAGGCTTTTAGATTTTCATATAAAATTATTTATAAAGCATGATTTAAGCTTCCAGACCTTTTGCCTTGCAATTTCTTTTTAAAACATCTTTGAACATCTTGGAGTACGTCACCTTGTATTAATATATAAGAACTGTGTGTGGTGGCGGGGAAATAGATTAATTTAATTGGATAGATCAGGTTTTAGGATTCAATACTTTCAATTATTTTTCAGCATGATAATTGTTGTCTGGCTTTCAATATTGAAATATTTTGTTTCTTTTGAATTTCTTTTTTTCTATGACACTTTTTCCTTAGAGATTTGATCAATAAACTAGAAAAGGTGGAAAATTGAGGAAATTAAAATCATATTTTTGCTTTCTGTTTTTTTTTTTTTTTTCATTTTTTTTATCCCCTAACATTTCACAAAAAAATGTTTGGAATAATCTAAATATTCCCTAGATTCCCTTGTGATTCCCTTGAGATTAATGGCTAGATAAATCTGTAACCTACAGAGTGCTTTGTTGCAAGACAGACAATTCTACGAGATACACTACTTTGAACTTTTATTGCTTTTGTAGTTTTGATATGCTTTTGTGATGACGGACATTAGAAAAGACAGAAAGATGTTTTTGGTCCAGAAGAGGGAATGGCTCATACAAGGGTATCACTCCACACTTGTAAGCAAAATATATATCCTGTGATCTCAACATGTATACAACAGTGGGTAACGTTACACCTCAGCTGTTTCCAAACTATATTTGCCAGGATGCTCAGCCTGTCTTAAGAGGATAGCTCACCTCTTATCTGATGGTGGAATGATTGCCCAATAAATTACTGGAAATGAGGCGGCTCTTTTTCATGAACTTCTCTGAGTAACATAATAAGATGATAATTCCAGTATAAGACTACCGGCCATGGTCGCATCCTTTCACACTCTCTTCCCCTCCCAATTAATGGCATCCACCATCGTCCTCAGGTACCAAGTCGCTCATTGAGTGGTATTTCTATTCAATATTGTAACATGTACGTCTTTAGTTGACACAATTATGACACATCAAGTTTTCACAATTTTTGTCATAGTCTGTATTTGCCTAATAATGCCTTTTGGATTCTGACAGATCTCCTGGTTATGGTTTGTATGGTATACCCTTGGCTACTGTTCTTTATTGTCCTTACTTGGTTTAGGTATAAAATTAGCATCCATTTTTATGTTTTGATCTCAGCTTTTTCATAATTATCTGAATGACTGCGCTTTTCACTCCTCTGGGGTACCCACGTTACCTCCAACCTCTCTAATGATCCTTAATACCTATCTATCTTTCATTTGTTTTTCTTGGTTTGACTTCGTCTCTGTAAGAGACCATTGTGACCATTACCTTTTAAAACTTTCCAAACTCCCAACGTGTTTCAAAAAGTCTTATGAACTAAAAGGAAGAAAAATGTCATGATGACCCAAAAGTCTTCTCACAAAATATCTTCAAAGTTAGGTTCAGCAAGAACCACCTTATTCTGACCACCTTATAGAATACTGTGTCCTTGCCATTTATTACGTACTGTGATTTTCACAAGGAACCAAGCATTAACATTGCAATGTCCCTCTAAATATCATGTAAGTATCTCACCCTGTATTATTTATTACTTTGGGTGGGTGTGCCAGCCTTTAAATGTATATCGATTAGGAACCCCTGATTTTGTCTGGTCTGGTATGTTGGAATTGATTATACTTTCCTCCTACTTATATCACCTGTAGTTGTTAATTCTCAAGCATGCCAGTGTTAGAAGGATCTACAATCTACAAGAAGAACCAGACTGGTCATCTGTCTACTGAAATGGATCTCATGTTCTCTTCTTCTCCTGTATGTGTTTCGGTCCTATAAAGCCATTTGAACCCAAAATATAAAATGTTTTGTGTTCACTACTGAAAGATTTACTCTGTCTTCCAATAGAGATTTTCTGTCTGCACTCGTCTTGTTTGCATTCTCTAAGGTCTTCATTGTCAGTGCGTCAGGACAGTGCGTCCTGGAAAAATTACAGCTTGTTGCATATATGTTGGTCTTGCACTGTTTCCTCTGTGGTCATAATGCAGTCACACCAATCAACCATCTGGTACCTTCAGAGTTGGCCTCATTGGCACATTATCCTCATCTATTGCCTACTGTCTTGACTGGTTCCTTCACTTGGTATGGTTATAGCTTGCATAAATTATATTACATTTTGGGAAAGAATGTCTCAGAAGATTGGATATAAACTCAAAACGTGGCAAATCCTGCTCTGATGCTGTTTTTAAAAAAAAAAATGTTTTCTCTATTTTATACCACATCCCCTTGAGGCAAAAAACTTTCAAAAAAAATACCCCACAGAAACTAGTCTAAGAATTAGAGGGAAATTGAAGTAAAACCATCAGCACGTGCTTTGAGTCAGTTAGACTTGATTGGCATCACAGGAGAAGAGCAGGAGACCTGGACTTTACATACAACCTACAGCAGCCTGATGAGGAAGCCAAGATCTTCAGCTGAAGCTAGAAGATAACAAAAAATTTTCATTTTTAAAATGTCCCCAGCTCAGCTACAGGCACAGCAATTTACGACAATTTGCTATTTAGCGAATAATTCTGTAATTGATGGCCAAATAGACTTCTTTTTTTTTTTTTTCTTTTTTTTTTTTCAATCACCAATGAGTTACTGACTTCACTTGTTTCTGTTTCCTGGCTTGTATTATTTATTCCCGTCAGAGAAATGCTGATATAATTTTGTTAAGCCCAAGATAATTTAATATTTTTTTCTCTTTGTTAAATAGAACAGATCATACAGTATTATCCCGAGAAGTGGATTTTATAATGAGTGCATTGCTCAGTCACAGCAATTGTTAGCGTGACTTATATTAGAGTTTTAAATCACTGAGAGATTACAAGTACATGCAGAGGACAAATACAGTCTGCTTTGACAGTGCTCGTTTAATGAAGCTCTCTTCAAATTTCCTGTCTTATCAGGCTCGTCTACTGCTGGGGAAAATGCACTGACAGGATTATTTACCAAAGTGAAATTTGAAAGTCAATTTCATTTTTAAGGCCAGACAGCTAAACTTAAAAAATTCCCAGTACAACTACCTTGGCCTTAAATGTGAAATTTACTTTGAATTCTCAGTTTAGTGAATAGTAAATAGCCTGGTTATAACTTGTCTCATGGTCAGGTCACTCACTAAAGTGTGTAGTTTCAGGAATTCAAAGTAAGTTACATAGTTACATTACATAGTTACATAGTTACATAGCTGAAAAGATACTTGCGTCCATCAAGTTCAGCCTTCCTCACAAATGTTGTTGCTGTTGATCCAAAAGAAGGCAAAAAAAACCAGTTTGAAGCACAATTTTGCAACAAGCTTGGAAAAAATGCCTTATTGACACCAGAATGGCAGTCAGATTTATCCTTGGATCAAGCAGTTATTGCCCTACATTGAAAGATTATATCCTTGAATATTCTGTTTTTGCAAGTATGCATCTAGTAGCTGTTTGAACATCTGTATGGACTCTGATAAAACCACTTCTTCAGGCAGAGAATTCCACATCCTGATTGTTCTTACAGTAAAAAAACCTTTCCTTTGCCTTAGACGAAATCTTCTTTCTTCCAGTCTAAACGCATGGCCTCGTGTCCTATGTAAGTAAAGTCCGGTTTGTGAATAGATTTCCACACAATGGTTTGTATTGGCCCCGAATATATTTGTATAATGTTATCATATCCCCTCTCAGGCGACGTTTTTCTAAACTAAATAGGTTTAAATTTGTTAACCTTTCTTCATAGCTGATATGTTCCATTCCTTTTATTGATTTCAGTCAAAAGTATCTAAACCTAAGAACATAGCTGGCTTGGATAGTTTGTCCAAGTTGTCCATTTTAGGGTAAAATGTGAAATTCACTTCTAATTCACTTTGCATTCCTAACAGTTTCAATCCTCATGGACTCTTTACTAAAGCAGGAACTGACATGAAAATTAGACCTTTTAGGTTAAAACTGTTAAAATCGGAAAACTATCAAATTTGGGCTTGAGCACAATCGATCATTTCTGCACAAGTCTGGCCGTTATGGTGGCTCTGTCACATCAAACTTGCCTTTCCTCGATTGGTTCTTCTTTCCTTCCTACCTGTCAGTCTGTTCTTTGTTTCTTCTTATCTCTTCCATTTTTCTTTAAAAAACCACAAAGCAAAGTAGGGACTATACAGAAAGGACTGCTTCACTTTATGTACTTTCCTCCACTTGACAAAACATGACCTTAAGCTTAAGGCAAGCTTCACTTTATCAAGTTATATTTACCCATAAGGCTCACCTGTCCTCCACGTCCCAAAGCGTCAAACATGCGAGTCTGCGCATGCTCATCTTGCGACTATTTGATGCAAATTGGAGCATGCGCGAGAATTGAGAAATGTCAGACAATGGTCCAAAATCACTCCCAGATGGTGAAAAATGGCTGCATCTGGAATAAAGACCCGACAGAAAAGAAAAGACATATTGCCAGGACAGGGACGGTATATTCCCGGGATAGTGTAGAGGTGGATAAAATAAAAAAATCACAGACTGTAATAGAGCCGCCTTATTGATGCTCATGTGATTACAATACCATCATTCTAATTATTTTCCACTGCACAAGAATTGTGATATCTTATGTGACCACTGACCACTTTTGAGCAGTTTGACATCACTTAGAATCCTCAATATAATATTCACATTGATAACTTGACATTTATTTTCCTTAATTTAAATAAAGCTAAAGTGCAATTTACATTATTATTTATGGTTGAAGCCCAGTCTTGATTGTAACAGATATGTAACTAGGTGCCTTTCTCGATATGATAAATAACGCTCTTAAGAACAATGGAGACAGACATTTATCAAAGTGAGCTTATTAGTTCAAAGCCATTACTTGTTGTTACAATCTTAATCACACACATATCTTTTATCCCATTAGTATCCATCTTGATCTTTGATCTTAATGTATTACTTACCCATAATTATCAAAGCAACTCACACAACTTGTATCCTTCAAATATAGAAGCTGCAGTTTCTAAAACCCTTATTTAATGCTAACGGTGCCATATGTGCAGGCCCGGAGTTTTACTTGCAATAAACTGATTCAATGTATTACAGTTATTCACAAGTAGTTGTTAAATACATTATAAGTCAGGCCTTTTGAAGTCAGAAGAACCCATCTGCCAACTGTGTTTCTTTGTTTCATTGTTTTTTTCAATTTTTTTACATTTATTTCTTTACATATAGTTGATTAATATATATATATTTTTTTATTTACCAAAGGAGCCTATTAAGAAACAACCAGTAACCTCTCTGTATTTTTACAGCTCAGGGTAATGGTTATGGTGTCAAAAGTCCCCCAGCTTTTTGTCAAACCATGCGAGTGGCACCTGGAGACTGCTCCTCCTTCAGCCACTTCCACATTGTCAGTCTCATTCCTGTCCATCCTGAACGTCAGTGATAAGCTGAGATCACTGGGGTAGGATGTACTGAATTTTTAGGAAAGTTATTTTCTGTAGCAATATAAATATATTCAAACATTGTGTAACTAGTTGTCTTGAGCCCTGCTGCACACCTAACAGCACAAAATAACCAGTTACTAATAGCTGGCTCCGACCCTGACCAGCTAACACATGGTAAAACTATACTGATCTTGATATGTTTTTTTCTTTTTAGTTATAGATATTTTAATCTTTTTTTTTTCTTCTTCTTGTATTCCAGCTCCTGAAATTCTCAGAGGCTGCGCTTATGGTCCTGAAGTGGACATGTGGTCTGTGGGCATAATAACCTACATATTGTAAGTATAGATCCATTAAAAAAAGACATTTATGTAGTGGTTTTTCAAAAATTCTTTCAAGGAAAGAAGAAAGCAGAACTGGCAAAGATGGCAAGGGGTGACTTCTGCCATGGATTAAAATAGCAGTATGTCTTTTGGGATGTCTGTTGGCACAGTACTTCAGGAGTAAGACAGCTGGCTGGAATTGGGCATGAGGTGTATTGCTGGAGGCCCAATCAATGCACTCGAGGCCTGGCCCAGTTGGATATTCATGGTGGACTGCAGTATCTGAGTTTGTTAGCACAAGCTTCTAGAACATGAGGTCAAGCTTCTAGAACATGATGTCAGGCTTCTAGAACATGATGTCAGGCTTCGAGAACATGATGTCAGGCTTCGAGAACATGATGTCAGGCTTCGAGAACATGATATCAGGCTTCGAGAACGTGATGTGTATGTTCTAGAAGGTGTTACCAGGGGCAGGTAATACAGTGCTCACAGTATTGTTATTGGTGGCATTAGAATCGGTCTCTCATAGACGTGCATAGATCTCTATGAATACGTGTACAGGTCATTCTGATAATGGTTACAGGGATAGATGATGTCACACCGTCCAATTCACAAAGAAATGTCATGGCTAAGAGACATAAATGTTATTAGTACTGTCTCTTTCTGTCCAGGGGTCACTTGTAACAATCTCCTGCATACCACCCAACGGTGCCACCAGAATAATGGACATGTCAGTGGTGTGTGAATGCACACCAGGCCTACCCCATTAATGACTGAGCAAGCGGAAATTGCTGTTATGGAAATCTGTGCAAAAAGCAGGGATAGGCAACCTTTGGCACTACAACTGTTGAGAACTACATCTCCCATGATGCACTTACAGTCATAATGCTGGCAAAGCATTAGGGGAGATGTAGTCCACAACTCAGCATGGCGGGATAGTTATTTTAATGGTCAAATGAATGGTACTATGAGGCTACAGACCACAACCACTGTATGCAAGTAGCCCAGAGGGCAGTCACCTCACTGCCCCCTTTCAGTCTTCTCATGCATATCACCCAACTCATAAATGGATCAATGATAATAATCATCTTAAATTATTATTTGTTTTTAAGTGTTGAAAGGAGTATTAATCGCTCTTTAGAATTGCTACTTCTTTGCTTCAGGTTCCATTACCAACATGAGGTAACTAAGATAAATAAGGAATGTCTTAAAGGAACACTTCAGACACATAATGCAGTTAAACTTTCTGCCATGTTTGTATCAGTTTATAAAAGTGACAATTTCAATAGAAATCAGCACCTTTATAAATTGGGGGCAGAAACACCCATCTGGCTGTCACTGAGGAGTGGAGGAGGAAGTTTTATTCCAAGTCCTTTAGCTCCACAGAGCTAACGAAAGCAGCAGATACATTAGGACAGAGCGCTCGTGGCTCCAGCACAGAGGGTTCTCAGTGTGAAGGCTCTGATTGGACAGAAACAGAGGGTTCTCAGTGTGAAGGCTCTGATTGGACAGAAAGTGAGGGATTGCAGTGGTTGCAGACTGCAAGCTATTATTTTTTTATACCTCCAAAGAAAACATGCAGAAAAATTACATTTACTAAACTGTTGAAAAAAATTTAACTAAATTCGGCAGTGTGCTCCTTTAAATAACGTGGGTGATGCTAGATTCAGAATTTTAAAAAAAACTGGGTACTATAATTACTTACCTTTGCTGATTTGACCTAATTTCCAGAAAATATACATACATGCATGTTCATTTTTTCAGAACATTTCTTTTTACTGTTTTCACTATTAGCTAGTTTCAAAGCACGTCTGGAACCATCTGTTTGATTAATTTTATCTACTTCCAGATATTGTTTGCTTCCTTTTTATTCTTCATCCCATTCCGTAATTGTATTCATTGGCTAAAAGCTTCCTTTCCCCATAAAATATGATAACAATATGCAGTAATAAATAAAACAGTGAGAAATTGTAATGTTTGTCTCAAACACCTGCCATGTAACAAACTAACAGGAGGATTGCAGTATGCAGATACCTTTTAATGGAATAACAATACAAATTGAAAGACACGTTTCAGAGACTTTCTTCTTCTCTTTAAGTAAGGATATAAACTAACCAGGTTATACACTTAACACCAGAATTTGTGACGATGTAAAAATCCTGGTGAAAGATGACCGAATTCCAACCACAGTAGCAATTCTCATATTTACTGCAGCAATCGTCTGGTTGCATTCGGTGTCCAGATTAAATTCAGTGCTTTCCAACCCGAATCCTATACAAAGTATAGGATTCAGAATATTCACAAAGCTCCGGTTTAAAACTAAAGAGGGACGAATGCATCCAGTGTGGGGCCTAATAAAAATAATCATGCACTTTGTTCCCCCCTGCCCCCACCTATTTGCGGCAGGTAGGGAACATAATATTAATATTTGGATGGAGTAGGCTAGCCCCTACCCTTGGGTAGTGGGTAGGAGTTCTAATTAATAGAACATAATATTATTATCTGGGGGAAGTAGGCCAGCCCCTACCCTTGGGTAGTGGGTAGGGGTTCTAATTAATTAACAACAGGGTGGGGTTGCACAATAGAATGTCCACTCCTACATTGTTTAATTAATTAGTGCTCCCACTCGCTGAGGGTTTGGGGGTGGGTGGGGATAGTAGGCCCTCTCTCCTAATACTAATAGTGCCCCAACCCACCATCAATGGGTGAGATTCAGGGATAGGACACTATATTCCCCCCTTATTATGTAATAGCCCTCAGTCACTGTTGGGGGACACATTAGGTGGGTGGACAATGTCCCTCTCCGTTATTTCACAGGCTGCCCAGTCGCTAATTTTAGCCATTTATTAAATATGCCCTCACCTGCCACATGGCACATAGCAGGTGAGGCAATAGGAAGGTTTTAAACCTTACTTATAGTAATATGGGGGTCTTATTGACCACCAAAGGCTTTATTTATTTATTTTTAACTATTTTAGATGGCTGGAAAGCAGCCAGTGGGCAAATTTAAAAAAAAAATTTTTTAAATCCGAACTCAGATTTGAAGTCTCTACGCCCAGATTTGATGCATGCTGTCCTCTGACCAAACTCCGGTCGCATTTGGGGCCTTATTTGCAAAATCTGTACGTTATTAAATAGCCTGAACAATGTCCGGAATTTGCAGTTCAAATTGCACCGTATGCAGCCAGATTGTTTTGCCCCATTCATTACCAGTCCATTTGGACTTGAGTGAATAGCCCTGAATAAAATATACCGTACATCTTGTATACATCTAATTCCAGCACACTGTATTGTTCACACTAACACTTTGCGTTAGAAGGAAGCATGCAGAGACCCTGTGTCAAAGTGAGTTGGGAAGACTCCACTAATTTTTTTACATCATTGACCACTGACTACAATATTGGGGCAAGAGTATAAAGTATCCATTCATGATCATTTAACAAGGATAACCGGGTGTGAAAATAGGATGTGTCATTTTTTTCAGATATCCCTATTTAATACCAGGTTTGGGGAATCCCTACATATATGTCTTTAAGTATTTTTCTTTAGCAGTTTACCTGCTCAGTGCTGTCAGTTGACGTACTGAGAGTCTGGAGATGGTTACAAGTCAGTGCTTACTGACTACACCCATGGCAGTCTGGTGGAATAAGTGATTTGCGTTTGGTGAAAATTCCACCCGGATATTTTTTTTACGAAGACCTCATGCAAGCCATATACATTGTCAGTGTAAATCGAAATTTGTGAATGGACTCCTTCAGTATCAGTAAATAACATTTGAAGAATTTATTTCTGTCTACACTGTGGAACAAGTGGTGTGTTTTCTTCCCAAATCTTGTGCTTGCTAAAGTAGACTGATCATTAATTATTTACATAAATTCTTCAATTCTCACCAATAGTAACAAACCAAATAATGTGATCATGGAGGCTGTAAGAAATGAGACATAGAGACATCTTGGAGAAGAACATAGGCACAAAAGCTCGCTGTAGTAGTTATAGTGGCAGGAGTACCTTGATATCGTTTCAGAGTAAGTTGTAAAACTGTTGAAGAACTTACCACTACTTCCCCAGTATAAACAGTATTGACACATCTTAATGAGACAAGTTTTTATTGTTTTGGGGGGATGGGGAGGGGGGAGTTATTGATTGATATTGAATGGTTCATTCACTAAACTGTCATTTGAGATGGAATCACTGCAAAATATGGATCAAAATCATCTAGTTAGCAAAAAAGTTAACTTTAGATGAGTTAATATATCACTCAAATCACTTCTGAACTAAAAACATCTCACTGTATAATGTCACGAGAATGGTTTCACTGTTTAGTGAACAGACTCTTGTTTAAAGCCCCCAAATGAGAGCGTAAGAGCTGGTCTCGGGTAGATGGAGCACACATTGTGTAGTCCTCAGCTATTGTGGTTTTCCAGCAGTAGAAGTTTAATTAAAATTATACAATAGTGCAATACAGTATTGATAAAAAAGCTTGAAAAGTAAAATACAAGAGTGGTGTCACTCACAAGCCTGGCGTCATACCCTCATATGACTCGGATAGTATGCGCCTTTGGACCATTCCAGGACGTCCAGATCCTTCTTCTCCAGAGTGTTCTGTGCTTTATTAAGCCTTAACCGGCTCAAAAATATGCAGATGCCAGGTCAAAGAGATTACTTTAAGAAAAAGTGCTTTATTGATCCAAATAAAAATTCCACAATATAAAAACAATAAAAGTGTACCAGATAAGCTTCTGGATAGGCTGTATAGTCCGTAACAGTGTCCAAAACATAATAAACATATGAATAGTTGCAACAAAAATTATAATTAAAATTATACGTACCGGCACTCTTTCACCTATATTTGGTGCAAAGTATCAGGGTGGCCCAATACCTAATAATGTAAACTACCAAAAATGATACTGCACTCCAAACATTTTGGAAGGAAAGAAGGAAAGAAGGAAAGAAGGAAAGAAGGAAAGAAGGAAAAAATAAATAAAATTATTTGGTATATACACACTAGAATCAAACAATATATCCAAATGGGAACAATTCATTGCAAGACTATATACATAACTCCATGTTGCTAAAAAAGCCTAATCACAGATTTATATTGTCCAGATGATGCTGTTTAAATAGTATCCAAGAGTCCAGAGGTCCCATCCCAAAAAAGGGAAAAGGGAAAAAAAGGGAAAAAGAAAAAAAGAGAAAAAAAAATGTTGAAAAAATAAAAATGCAATACAAAGAAAAAAAGAGGTATATACAGTCCCAGTGTGCACACTATAATATATGGGTGGATCTCACCATATTTTCCAAGGTTGTAAGTCCTATTATGAATTATACATTTTTATTATAGTGGATCCCAGTAGTTTTCCTTGTGTTGTGTATAAGTGTGTGCTGAAGGAAATCCTCCTGCCTTCCTGAGGGTACTGGACTCTTGTCTCTAGTCTGTAAAAATCCGGGTCTTCGTGATGGGCTGCGCGCTCGGGCCCTGGAACATCCCTTCAATGGCCCTATCGAAGATAAAAAGATATTGAAATATCTCACTTATATGCTTCATGGCGCGTGAGATATTTCAATATCTTTTTATCTTCGATAGGGCCATTGAAGGGATGTTCCAGGGCCCGAGCGCGCAGCCCATCACGAAGACCCGAAATTTACAGACTAGAGACAAAAGTTGTATTTTACTTTTCAAGCTTTTTTTTATCAATACTGTATTGCACTATTGTTGTATAATTTTATTTTACAGAATATCTGTTGAACTATTATTCAGAAGCTCCATCTTTTGTATGTATGCACATTATCTATTTTTAAGTGGTAAAGGGGATACCACTTTAAGGTGTTAGAGCTTCTTGTTCACCCTTATCCATATTGTGCACATATCTCTTTGTATTAGAAGTTTAATTAAAGCTAAGATGTCAAGGGAATGTTACATCAAAACAGTTCATGCATGTAGCAACACGAAATTAAATCTTACTTACTGTAACCCTCTAGACCCTGAGGTTAAAGGTCCACAGAACAGACAGCAGGAAGAGATATATTAACATCTTATATCAACTTAATGAGAATTAAACAGAATATTTCTCTATATCAGTATTTCCAGATAAAGAAACAAGTAATAGCTGGGTTCAGGGTTACAACATTTTATCAATTTATTTTTATATCTGTTTTCAAGTCACACCGCATAAAATATTGTAACTTTTATTAAAAAATGGATTCGAAAATGAGACTTATAAATTGAGATCACGTTTGGGGACTTGGACTCAGTTTTGAATTTTTATCTCATAAAATAAAATAGTTAAATTAATGATTTCTTCTAAAGACGTGTTTCATTTATATCCCCAATTGTCATTAACGGTCCCTACGGCCATATCCATGAGACAGCCAGTGTTGACTCCTTTATGAGCTGGACACTAAGTATCACTGCTGTACGTCAGTATTTTATCGTCAACTGTGTCAATCTGTTTCCATGCAGGCTTTGTGGCTTTGAACCTTTCTACGATGAGCGGGGGGATCAATACATGTTTAAAAGAATTCTTAACTGTCATTATGACTTTGTCTCCCCCTGGTGGGACGATGTATCTTTGAACGCCAAGGACTTGGTGAGTAGATGTTTCTTTCCTGAAATCACTTTTATTGTTATTGGGGTAAAATGTACACAGCACTGATCACTGTAAGGTGACTTTAGGTGACTTTATATTGACTAAAATAGCCATAGAAAAAATAAACACCCGATCTTATTTCCACTATAGCTCTATTTCTTATACAATACTAGTCATGGTATGTTGCAAAACGTTATTAAATTATTTCTAAAGACTAGTCTCTAATAATCCAATTTAATTAAGGAAAAATTTAATAAAAAAGAAACACAAACTACTATAATGAGAAAAAAAAAAACATCTAAATCAATGAGCAAAACACTTAAAATGAAAGTGAAGTGTATTAGAATGCAGGGGAATTAACTGTACTTAGGCTACTAAGAATAACATATTGTTTACTCAAGATAGGTATTATTAAAGGAACACTATAGTGTCAGGAATGCGAACATCGATTTCCGACACTATAGTCCTGGTGTGGCATTTTAGATGACCTCCAATCGCGCTGAATAGGTCATTTTTCTCCCATGCCTGGCTGGTCTTGTTACAGCTGTACATGTGCGTCAAAATGCTGTGCCAATCAGTAAGATATACATATATTAATAAATATATATGAAACAAGGGGGGTTGGCTGCACTCACCTGAACATGCATAAATGGGGGTGCTGCTGGGGGCCAAATTATACCATACACAAGATCCAGCGCACTCACCTATCCACTAAACAGCAACTTCAATGTTGAAAGAATTTATTAGTTTTTTTTTTTAAGAACACCTAATCTAGGCAAAAATAATGGGGGTTTAGTTACATTATATGATCATACATTGCATAAGCCTGCCACAACGTCAATGTACCCCATCTTTGGCAGGTCCTACACTAACAGCCTAATGTCTGCTCTTATGAGATTAACCACTTACTTGAGGAAAAAAAATCCATCTGGGGCTCTCTGCAGTACAAGGCTAAATAGGGCCCTGGGATGAGGCACCTGTGACAGGGAGGGGTGCAAAACCAAGGAGTTGGCTAGACTCCCAAATATATATAAAACAAGAGGGGTTGGCTGCACTCACCTTAACATGCATAAATGGGGGTGCTGCTGGGGGCCAAATAATACAATACACAAGATCCAGCGCACTCACTAAACAGCAACTTCAATGTTGAAAGATTTTGTTTGTTTTTTTTAAAAACACCTAATCTAGGCAAAAATTAATGGGGGTTTAGTTACATTATATGATCATACAGTGCATAAGCCTGCCACAACGTCAATGTACCCCATCTTTGGCAGGTCCTACACTACACTTATTTTTGCCTAGATTAGGTGTTTTTAAAAAAACTAATAAAATATTTCAACATTGAAGTTGCTGTTTAGTGGATAGGTGAGTGCGCTGGATCTTGTGTTTTGTATTAATAAATATAAGTGTACACACAGATCATGCCATCATTATAGTATTTTGTGCTTTTTTTTTGCGTCTATTTGTCCTTAACTAAATTGCATTATTAATGACTAGTTTTATAAAGGTTTTGTACTATATTCAATGACTAGTATTGTATTTGAAATAACTGCATGTACGAAATAAGTGTGTATCTTAGTCTGTATATCTGTTAATTGATTAGGGTTATGCTCTGCATACACTTCCAATATTATTAGTTGCACAGATCACTTAAGTGTTTAGTGAAACCTATTACTTAGACTGCATTCTACACTCTCTCTTTTGACTTTAGGTGACTGGCTAGGGCCCAGAGTTAAAATAAAGGCCCCCGAATCATGAATTTGCTTACCCTCATTCACCATCCCTATCTAAAGAATACAAAGGAGGGCAACATGCTAACCTGCAACACCAGTTAGCCTTTTACATTTTTCAAAGATTTCTCAAACTAACATAAGATTTAGTGCACTAACTCATTCACTAGACAGCAACATCAAAGAGTTCTCTAAGTAACGCGAAGCAACTAAGAGAAGACTTCATCTGGTATATGTCAGAATGTCAGGTGCAGCGGTCATTAAACTAATAGATTTTAATGTGAGGAACTGTCTCTAAAGTAATGACGGCATACGTCTCACATAGACCATCTTTATTGACACAGCAACATTTGTCACGTTGCAGTTATTTTATACAAAATGTAATCAGGCCCCCAGTATCAATATAAAACAAAAGCTGTACATCGTGCCATTTACAAAGCTGACATGATATTTGACATGACAGGAACAAACGACTTGGATCTCTAAGCAATATGATCAGTTGTTGGCCGCTTTAGTTATATTCCATTAAATCCTCTCGCTGGCTTATTTTATCAATGTTCTTTCAGTCGGCAATTACATAGGGAATTTGCTTTATTTGTATTACTTGAATATATATTTCACATTTTGTGGTTTCTTGGAAGGAAGTCAAATTCTTTAACACAAAAAAAAATTGTATTTTATTTATTATTTTATAAAATATTTTACCAGGAAAGATACATTGAGATTTCCCTCATTTTCAAGTATGTCCTGGGTCCACAAAACATTGCATTGTTACATTAGGGTACAATAAAATACAAAAACAATATTAATACACAATATATATAAAATTTTTACACAGAACAGGTAGGAAATATATAATCAACCATGACACGTGCATTCTGTTTTGAGGTATGTAGAGGGGGATCTCTTAAAAGACTTTAGGCTTGGGGAAGATTTGAAAGTGTGCAGGAGGTCGTTCCATAATTGAAGAATACAATAATAATTTCAAGTTCATAGGGTCGTGCAGATTGCATTAATATATCTCAATGCTGTAATCTCGTGCATGCATATAGATGTATTTAATGCATGCGTATAGATCTATCTCGCGTACTTAGCAGTGACGTCGGCTGAGGAGCAGCACGACTGAGATAGTTGCCACCTCAAAAGACAGATTCAGGTAAGTAATCTCACCTTTACCGCCCCCCCCCCCCCGACTCCCATATCACCAGTGGTAATGTCACCATTGGGGGATTTTGCAAAGTCACCGAACAGTGACAGTGTCGTTCATTAATCTCTCTTTACTTATATCCTTTAAAAGTGGATAGTCATCCTTCCTTTTCATTGCTTATCTACCAAAAGAGCAATGAAAATAAAAATGCTGTCATTAAATGATCATATGACCAGGTACCAAAACTGAAATCTCCTATTATTAAATCAGAATTATCATGCGTGCGATTTTTTCCCAAAATGATAGCCAACTGAAACTTAGCCCTGTGTTGTGCTGTTTATTTTGAAAATAAAAAATAAAAAATGAACTATATTGTTCTGTTGGGTATACCAGGTGTGGCTTGTAAATAAAATTAACTTCACTCGTGTTTGTACGGCATTTCTGTGTAGATACCCAATCTAGCGTGAGCTACTGGATGTAAACATTTTCAAACTATCTTAAAATCAGGTGTAATTTGTATTTTTTTGTTGCACTGTATTTCCTTAATAACAGGTAAAAAAGTTAATAGTGTTTGATCCGAAAAAGCGTCTCACCACTCAGCAAGCGTTACAGCACCCGTGGGTAACAGGAAAAGCGGCAAACTTTGCTCATATGGACACAGCTCAAAAGAAACTTCAAGAGTTTAATGCTCGACGCAAGCTCAAAGTACGTCAAAATCAAAGATGTTGCCTTTGTATTAGTAGATACTTAGGTTATTAACAGTCTACAAAGAGGCAACAGCCGAGAAATAGCGTTTAATGGGAAAATATGCTCCTTATGATAAAAAGTTTATAACTGATAATAACAGGGTTTTGGTGCATCAAGTTAAGGTGGTGTTCTGATGAGATCGGTGGAATGTCAATGGAACATGTCCCCATGACACTGACCTTATAGGCATCATGATGAGGTACCCACCTGATTAATATCTATAAACAGGATATACATTATCAGAGATGAGTTACTTGACTTCGCACATTTCTCATTTCATTCCTATTTATCATTCTGACACATGGCGCGTTCTAGTGATACACATTCTATATGTAACATAACTTAATATTACTGTATCACTCCAGAGCTAGACCTTCTGTCTATCTGAGTTCATATTTTCATGAGCATAATAATATGACTGTTGAGAATTAACAAAATATTTAATGACATCAATTCTTTCCCATAACTGAACATTTCTTCCATGTGGTCATCAAGCATCCATACTCAACAGATTTTTCTATTAGAACAGTTCTTTTAATCATTGAATTACCACATTATAACCACTAATGTTGTATCGATGGTGTGTTTGATGTTTTGGTTGAGGACAACCTTCCACGTTGTGAACTGTTTTTTTTCTCCGCAGGCAGCAGTTAAAGCAGTAGTGGCTTCGACCCGCCTAGGAAGTGCTGGCAGCCATAGCAGTCACGACAGCAACAAGACCAGTCGAAATCAATCTCCAGTACAAGAGAGTGGTCATGAAGAAGTTCCCACTCAGGAATCTAAACAGGATGAGGATGGTGGGTCATGAATATACCATCTCCATGTTTCGGTCAAGGTCTATGCCATTTCATGCACCAGCAAAATCAACTTGTCTCCCAGAAAGAAAAAAAAAAGATTCTTTAGCATGGCCTTGCGGCATTTTTTATTTATTTTACTTGAGGAGGTGCAACAAAGTGTGCAAGATGGCTATACTACAGAATATCCAGTGCATGTGACTGCTTCTAGAAAATGGCCGACCTCAAACATGGATGATACAACTCTCAATAATCTACCGACATGTGAACTATGACATGAGTAAACATTATTTTAATTATAACCTTGATATGCATAGAATCTACATGATAGACAACATATGAAGTGTGAAGTCTTTTTATTTCGAAAAATTTTATAAAGCTCTGGAACTTAATAGGGATTATGCTAAATAGTTTTAGTTTTCATTTCATATTATTATGATGTCGTTTTGGATTGACATTGATTCTCAAGATGTGTACCACTTTTGAGTTTTATCACTTATATCTAACAACTGTTTACATGAAAATAGTATGTGCATTTATGCAAAAAAAAACAACCACAAAAACAAAAACAAAAAACATTCCACAGATACGATGGTTCCGTGTATAGTGTTGCGACTCTCGACTGCACTCATAGGTTTAAGAATGCCTTACAGTAACACTTTATATACAGTATTTTATTAACCAAAAGAGCACTTTCATAGATTTTTTCTGCCATTGCATTATATAGAATTGGAAATATGTAACATGTGTACCTAAGCAAAATAATACATTATAGCTTGCACGCTGTATGTAGTTTGGATTTGGTATTTTTTATTTATTTTATTTTTATTGTACAAACTAATAGATTGAATGAAAAGATGCCTGAGTGAAGATTGGGTTTGGGAAGCATTTATGTCACAAACAAATATGATGACACAGCATACAACAAACAGTTTGTCCCAAGGTGATCCATTGGGATTGTCCATTATTTATAAATGGTTGTACCAATAGTTTGCATGATTTCATTTTGGAGTCACTATATATACACATATTTTATTTTTATTTTTTCTTAAGTATGGATTCATCTTACCACAAGAATATTCATTCAAAGTAAATAATTGTAATAATTCATCAAATATGTAAGCTAAAATTTATGACATTACAATGAGTTGTAATGACTTCAAAATCTTTTCCCAACATGGGTTTAGTTTAGATCCCTGAAGAGAGAATTGTGGTGAAGTGACAACCATCATTCCAAAATGTAGGCCACATTACACCTTTGTAATCCACAAACAATAAACTAGGGTTCAAAGGACCTACTGTCCTACACATGGACGTCTATAATATGATTAGGACCCTGGGCAATGCATTTTCTTGTGCCCCCTGGGCCCTGCCCCTCCCACCGCCTCACCCCCCAATTACGCCCAACCCGCAATCACACTGACAGACGTACTGGCACATGCACACACAGACAGACATTAAAACATTCACAGATGCATACTGACACACACAGTCACTGACACACAAATATATACTGGCAGACATACTGACACACACACAGACATACATACATACACAGACACATACACTAACATATATACTGACACACACACAAACACATCCACTGACAGATATACTGACACACAGACACATACACTGACAGACACATTGACACACACACACACAGGCATACTGACATACACACTGACACACACACACACACAGGCATACTGACATACACACAGACAGACGTACTGGCAGATACAGACAGACATTAAAACATTCACAGATAATGACACACACATACACTGACATACAAATATATCCTGGCAGACATACTGACACACACACACACACACACACACACACAGACATACATACACAGACACATACACTGACAGACATACTGACACACACACAGGCCTACTGACACACACATACACACACACAGACATACTTACATACACACACAGACATACTGACACACACAGACATACTGACATACACACAGACAGACGTACTGGCACATACACACAGACAGACATTAAAACATTCACAGATACATACTGACACACACATACACTGACACACAAATATATCCTGGCAGACATACTGACACACACACAGGCCTACTGACACACACACAGACATACACACAGACAAACTGACACACACACACACTGACGTCACTTCCTCCCAGCCGGCTGCAGAACAGGAAGAGGGTCCCGGTCACGCTGTTTAAGCGCCACAGCGCCCGACCGGGCCCCTGCTGACACATGCTCCCCTGGTGGCCTTTAGTGCATGGGGAGCCTCCTCAGTGTGTGGGAGCCGCACCGCCCGGTCCATAGGGGCTGCGCAAATCGTGGGGCCCACAGAGCAGCTGCTCTGGGCCCCCAGGAGCAACTGGGCCCGGGGCAGCTGCCCCGTTTGCCTCGCGTTAAAGACGGCCCTGGTCCTGCATGGGAAAAAACAAAAACAAAAGACTTAGGATATGGAAGACTGGAGTAGGTGTTTATAGTTTCTTAATCAATGTTCTTGACAATTTCAGGAAACTGCAGGAGCTAACCTTTCATTGCTCTGCCCTAGACATGGTCAAGAAAGAAATGTTAATAACGCCATTGCAAGTGCTCAAAGTCCACAGGAGGTTTAACCCCTTAAGGACCAAACTTCAGGAATAAAAGGGAATCATGACATGTCACACATGTCATGTGTCCTTAAGGGGTTAATCGGCTCCCAGGAGACCTATGTCTAAGGACCTGTAGGTTCAAAACGCGTTAGGTGTTTAATGTGACCTTTCCCTTTGTTTGTTACCTTTTGTTTTGTGAAGATTAAACCTGCAGTGGACTTTGAGCGCTATTTATTCTTTCTGTTTCATTACTGAAGTTGGGGTTCCTATGTTTGGCAACCTGTCTTCCACTCGGGTAAGTAAGTTTAACATATCCAGTCCATACAATTTTACATTTGCTAAATCAGTTGCGAGTTGGATAGCTGTACGGTTCTAGTGTTTAATGTGAGTGAAATACAAAATAATTAATGCTTCCTCCATGCGAAAAAACAAACAAACCATATGATAATTGTATTTGTTAATTCTTTAAAGATATAAAATGAGTCACACACCAAATGCCAAGATTGACATGGTTTACTTTAGGGTTATATTAAATATTAAAATACAAAAGTAAAGGAATTTAAGTAAAATCAATCAAATGGTTTTGTCAGGTTCCCTGCCCCCGCGCTGCTCGCGGCGACCTTGCTTACCTCATCCCAGTGAGCAGCGTCATCTGGTCCCTGTCTCCAGACTGGCAGTGTGTCTGACGCTGCACTCATAGACATATATATATTATTAGATGTCGCATTGATTTCTGGGGGGGGCGAGAAATGCGGGCGCCATTTTGGGCCAGTCGTACTTCTAGTTGTGTGAAAGTAATGAAAAGGGATGAAAGATTGTCGGGGGAGCGGGGGCTGGAAAATATTTGGGGGGGAGCAGGCGATGAAGGAGATTGTCGGGGGAGGAGGGAGAGTGTAGCGGAGAGGTAGTATAATCCACGGTATCTCCGCTGGGTAACAGGAACAGCATAAAATAATCCAGGCAAATAAACACAGCATACAATAATTCCGGTAGCGTTGTATGAATCCTTTCTTCCCAAGAACTAGACGACACATAGGCTGGGAGTCAACTGTGCTTTTAATCACAGGTCACCGCATTTATGGGATTCCCCATGCAAGGGGTTTCCTTACTGACATTCCAGGGGTTGTACAGTAGGGGACTACATGGGGAACTTAACAACCCGGACATTTCTCCCACCATGCACTGCTGCACGAGAGGGATACTCCCACTAGAATACCCAGTTAAGTGGATTATCCCTCCGTCCAGCAGAACTGACATTTTACATAAAAATACATATTATTCACGTTATTTTACCGAATGACTGTTCGGCATATAGCTGGGGTCTGAGCACACCTTTCGTGAAAGTGGCGCTCAGATCCCAGCATAAATAACCGAACGCCGCACGAAAATACATATTACTTTATATTCACCTTAAAATACCGAATGGATATAGGGGAACAAACCACCGAAGGACCGGTGCTCCCGAACGGCCTGGAAGTCCAGTGGTATTCGTGCCGTCGAGTAGCCGATTTTAGTTCCAGGCGCTCGACGACCAAATACCGCTGGGCTAACAAAGGATCCAAGATGGCCGACCGCTGCGTGGTCGGTAGCCGAACAGCGGCCACCCTGAAACCCAATAATCACTGAAGGAAACATTGTTGCAATATTTAATGGGAGACACACAACCTCCTGTGTGTGGTCTCCCATTTGGTAGTTAGTTCGTTTCACGAACAGTGTTGAAATACACTGTTCGTGAAACTATTGTACGAATGCTGGTGGCTTTCTCGCCGCCAGCATACGAATGCTCTCGTTCGCACAATATACACATACAGTTATCAACTTGGTTCTAACAGTCTTTAAAGGGATAGTATCCCACACATAAAAATACACGCTGAAGTGGCTGGTTTTGCCACAGAGAGCATATGGTTACCCTGGGAATTCTTGCGCAGATTGTCTGACAACTGGTAGTTCTGAGTCCGAAACTCAAGGAGCTGAGCCTGTCACAGAAGGGGAAAAAACATATGGATGTAGCAGAGTATCGTCCTTATTCAACTCCATGTACCTCCTGCCATCTCCATGCACCTCCTGATGTCTTCAAATAACACCATATACCTCCTATCTCCAAATAACCCCAGGTACTCTCATTTAACTCCAGGTAGTAACTGCATATACCCCCTAATACTCCCAGACATCCACTAATTGTCCAGACACCCCATCACTACTTCCACACAGTTCCTCATTGCCTCCAGACACCCACACCCTCATTACCTCCACACATATCCTCATTGCCCCAATCTTCCCCAGACTCCCCTTCATTGCCTCCACACACACGCTTATTGTCTCCAGTCACCTCCTCATTGCTCCTGACAACCCCTCATTGTTCTGACACCCCCTCATTGCTGCATACACCCCCAGAATGCTCCAGTTACCCCCAGATTAGTCCAGTCACCCTCTCATTGCCTCCTGTCACCTCCTCATTGACTCCAGTCACTCCAGGTTGCCTCCTGTCAGCTCCTCATTTACTCCATACACCCCCTCATTGCTCCAGTCACCCCCTCATTGCTCCAGGTATGATTAATTAAATGCACTGACAGCTTACACTGAGTAGAGCGGGTGACCGATTCAAGATGACGGCCCCGCGGCTCATCAGCGCCAGTAGGCAGTAGCGGTCAATGCAGCATCTATAATATATATGTCTATGGCTGCACGCTCCAGAGCAGCTTCCTTATATGTGTGCTGCAGTCAGTCATGTGACCCAGCACACAGTGATGACCTCAGAGACCACAAGGGAGGGAAGAAACTCCTCCCACGTGTTGTGGTTAACACTAATTGGAGGTTAGCCAATCAGACACACCCTGTGTGTATATAAGCTAACCCCTCCCTTGCCTCAGTGCCCTGTTGTGGTCTTTGGTTTACCATTGAGTGTTGCACTTGTTATTTAGATTTCCTGATTACTGATATTTGGCTTTGTCTCTCGTTATTCCGTCTCTCTGTTTCCCTTGACCTCTGCTCGTGTTTTGACTATCCCTTTTTGCATAACCCGACCATTCTAAGGATCGGTATTGCAATTCTCTCTACTCTGTCCTGTCTGTGTGTTAGGGTTCCCTAGTGAACATTACAGGTTTATGTTTTAAATATCAGGATAATAAACTTAAAACATTTGCAAATATTAATATATCCCAATCTGTGGGTTGCAAAGAAAAAAATTGGAAGACAAAAAATATCTGAAACAATTCAATACAAAAAAAAATGAAGAAAAAATGTAATTTAAATGAACACTCCAACCACCATAACAACTTACAAATAGATATGCCATTTCTCAAAAATTCTTAATAAAGTTTGATTTTTCAAAAAATTGCCAAATTAAAGTGAAAATCAATCTGTTGCCTGCCCTAGTCTAACACTAAAGGTAAGTGGCAGCGTAATGTTTACTTTATTAAATATCTCCTGTCATACCCAAAATAACTTTAAAGGACCACTCTAGGCACCCAGACCACTTCAGCTTAATGAAGTGGTCTGGGTGCCAGGTCCTTCTAGGGTTAACCCATTTTTTCATAATTATAGCAGTTTCAGAGAAACTGCTATAATGAATGGGTTGTTTCTCCCCCCAGTGGCTGCCCATTGACAGTACTAGAGCGCTATGCGTTTCTCACTGTGATTTTCAGAGCACGCTAGTGCCCATAGGAAAGCATTGTAAATGCTTTCTATGAGACGTTGAATGCTAGCCTTGCCGCTTATTCAGCCGGGCGGGCTGAACGGAGGCGGAGAGGAGGAGGAGGGCTCTCCGCCCAGCGCTGGAAAAGGTAAGTTATTACCCCTTCCAGAGCCGGGCGGGAGGGGGTCCCTGAGGGTGGGGGCACCCTCAGGGCACTATAGTGCCAGGAAAACGAGTATGTTTTCCTGGCACTATAGTGGTCCTTTAAATGGATACTATAGTCACAAAAACAAATTTAGCTTAATGAAGCAGCTTTGGTGTATAGATCATGCCCCTGTACTCTCGCTGCTCAAATCTCTGTAATTTAGGGGTAAATCACTTTGTTTATACAGCCCTAATCACACCTCCCTGCATGTGACTTGCACAGCCTTCCTAAACACTTCCTGTAAAGAGTTATGTAATGTTTACACTTCCTTTATTGCAAATTCTGTTAAAGTTTGCATTTAAAATGGCAGAAAATTAAGCAGTGAGACTTCACAAGCATGATCTAAACACACAACCCTATAAAAAGAAATGTCATCTATGCACTGTAATAGCAGTTTTGCTAGTATAGAGTGAGAGAAAAACTTATTTATTAAGAGGTTTTTGTTACACCTGTCAATCAATTTTTCAGCATTGACTCTTTGCCGAAGAATTGATTGATAAAGGAGAGCAGAATAGTTCTCTTCCCTTTGCATGAAAACTCCTGGGCAGTCAGTCAAACCGTTAGGATCAGTATTGTAAGTAGAATAATGTGGCTGCTACAAGATAATAGAGCAACTCAGTGATCAGTAGGCATGTGCATGGGGAAAATTTTCGGTTCAGTTCGGCATTCCGAAATTCGGGATTTTCGCAATTCGGGACTTCGGCAATTCGGCACTTCAAGACTTCGGAACTTCAGAAACTTCGGCACTTTGACACTTCGGAAATTCGGCAACTTCGACACTTCGGCACTTCAGCACTTCGACACCTCGGAATTTCAGAACTTTGACATTTCGGGACTTCGGCACCTCGGGACTTCTATTGCAGCCGCTTAGTAGATAACTCCCTAATTCCCACGGTATTAGGGAGTTATCTACCAAAAGGCTGAAAGACCTAAATTGGTCTTTCAGCCAAATTTACTAATACTAAGTAAAAATTACTTAGTATTAGTAAATTTTGCCCCTACTGACAGGTAAGTCTCTACATTTACCTGTCACAGCACTCTGATTGGTTGATTTGAAATCCACCAATCAGAGTGCTCTGTGTCATTTTACAAAGTGTGGGAAAGTTCTTTGGAATTTCCCCACGCTGTGTAATTTGACTCATAACACTCTGATTGGTTACTTAATCCACCAATCAGAGTGCTATGAGTCAAATTACACAGCGTGGGGAAATTCCAAAGAACTTTCCCACGCTGTGTAAAATGACACAGAGCACTCTGATTGGTGGATTTCAAATCAACCAATCAGAGTGCTGTGACAGGTAACTGTAGAGACTTACCTGTCAGTCTCTTCGTTTACCTGTCAGAGCACTCTGATTGGATGGCTTAAACCCACCAATCAGAGTGCTCTGAGACTAATTGCAGGGCGGGGCCTTCCCCCGTCCTGCAGAGCCTAGTCTGCAGAGCCTCCCTCCATGGGTGAAGATATTTTTTTGCACCTTTTTTTTTTTTTTTTTTATAATTGCGTTGGTTATTATGGCTTTTCATTTGGCCTTTTTTGGGGCTGAAAAAATAAGATTTTAGAAGAAAGAAAACATTGAATGGTAAGTTTTATTTTCTTTTACAGGTACTTAGTTAAAGGTCCCCCCCCCTCATTATTTTTAGGGTGAGGGGGATAGGTAGGGGGTTAATTTTTTTTTTGGGGGTGGAGTGGGTGACTAGGGGTTTGGGGACCCCTAGTCACCTGGGAGGGGGGTTAATATTTTTTTAGGGACAATGGGTCTCCCCCCTATTGGTATTTAGGGCCCCACCCGCCGCTCAGGGGTGGGGACCAGGGGGGGAGGACATTAGGGGCCCCACCCACCGCTCAGGGGTGGGGGCCAGGGGGGAGGACATTAGGTCCCCCCCCCTTATTTTACTGTAGGGCCCCCACCCACCGCTCACGGGTGGGGGCCAGGGGGAGGACATTAAGTCCCCCCCTTATTCTGATTTAGGGCCCCCACCCACTCAGGGGTGGGTGCCGGGGGGGCAATAGGTCCCCCCCTTTAGTTTGACGCTCGGGAGGTGGGATCTTTTTTTTTTTTTTTTTACAGTGAGCAGCCACAGGCTGAGTAGGGGCATAATTTGCTAATACTAAGTAATCTTTACTTAGTATTAGTAAATTTGGCTGAAAGACCAATTTAGGTCTGCACCGGGCCATGTAATAGCATGACCGGCTCACTTCGTGCGGGAAGAGAGAAAGCGTGGAGGGATTGAAGAGGGAGAGCCACGTTGACTCCCATCAGCACCAACCACCCTCCTGTAGGAAAAGGTAAGAAACAAGAGGGTATGCATGTATGTCTGTGAGTATGTATGTATGTCAGTTTGCATGTATGTCTGTCTGTATGTCAGTATACATGTATGTATGTCTCAATGTCAGTATGCATGTATGTCCATCAGTATGTATGTCTGTATGTCAGTGTGTATGTGTGTCTGTCAGTATGTATGTCTGTATGTCAGTATGCATGCAGTATCCCCTGTCTGCAATCTTGCAAGCACACATACTGCCTTTTTTCTCCAATAAGATAGCCTTCTTTTGATAGTTTAGAGAAGACGTGCTAGACATGCGCAGTAAATTTTCTGTAATACGTAATGTTATATGAATAATAAAAATTTTGCACTAAATGTCTATGATTGGTTGATTTTGTCTTCTGTTGGATACACTCCTATGAAAATGGTGTTTGTTTCATATACACACTGTACCCGCATTAAAAAAGGCCATTACTATTTTTCTGGAACTTCATCATGACTGTTGTACATTAATTGTTCTCTGCAGTGAACATACATAAAGAGATTAAGGAAAGCAGGATGTGTTAACAGCATAAGTCCATGGCAGCTTTAAGGTTTCCAGACCCTGTGTTAATTTTGCAGCCTAACAGTGTCCCCCGGGGCCCAGACCCTGAGCTGAGTTAGGGGCCCCAAAATTTCTGATGTCGGCCCTGGGTATAATACCTTGTCTTGTGCAAATATATGGTGTAGCAGTGCTCACTGCATTAAACCTACATACTTTGTTTCCTAGAAAATAAGCCCTAAGCCCTAAGCCCTAAGCCCTAGTCGGTTGCTAATTTATGTTCAGGGAACGTTCCCCGAGCATAGATTCGCAGGATTCCATTCACGAGTAAGCCTATCTATGTTTGGGAAAGTTTCCCTGAACATAGATTTGCAGGATTCCATGCCCTAATGAACTGATCTATGTTCAGCCCTAGTGCGTTTTTCGGGAGAACAATTAATATGAGAACCGATCTTTTCTTCAGGGAAAGACATAGACGGTATTTATGTGTTATTTGTACATTACAGTGGGTTTGCAAGAATTGCATTCTTAAGAACCCCATCAAGATCTTTACAAATGCCCCACAAATGTGACAAAACAGTTCATTGTTTGTTTTTAATGAAAACACATAGTAGCTAGAGGGTCAATAATACGGACAGCAAAATCCTGCTACCTCTTGCTGTGTTCAACAGACATTGAGAAAGTCACCTCTGAAGGTGTTTTCTGTATTTGTCTGTGAGACATGATTCTCTAACAGAAACCTGATAATGTGTCCAAAGACCTAATGTTTTAAAGGAAAACTAGAGTCAAGCTGAAAGATTCTGGCTTTCACAGGTCTATATTAAACACTAAATATTTGTCCAGATGGGCAGAAATTTGTGAAAATGGCTGAACTCCTACCTGGTTGGTGTTTGTCATATCTCTTAAAGCTAATTCCGTTCAGAATTCAGGCAACCTGACTAAATCTGCATCGTTCGGCCAGATGCATTCGGTGTCAGCTTTTAAACCAGTGTTTTCTGCAATTTAATTGCTTTTGGCAAGTAAACAATCATGTTAAGTACTATTTCCCTGCTGTCAGCACTATCAACCTGCGAGCAAATTGTTAAAAACCCTTGACAGCAGGAGGGCTAAGTGATGTTGCAGCTGGTCAACGCTTGCTAGCCAGACGCAACAGTAAAATGTTGAAAATCAATTTAAAAAAAGCATACTGACCCCATATTACTATAGGGAGATTTCTAACCCAATAAATCCTGCAGCTGCTCGCTGGAACTAAAACTATCGACTTAATGGCTATCGATCCTATTCTGTGGTGGAACTAATGTAGAGATGGCCCTGGTGAAAGAATTATTTTGGGACCCCTATCGCAAGGGTGGCCAAAAGGTAGATCCCCATCTGTTGTACAACTCTCACAAAGCTTTGCCAGCTGGAGACCTACCATTTGCCTTGGCGTGGCAGGTGGGCTTATACTTAATGGCATTTGGAGTGAAACAAAACCCCTCTATTTATTTAAATATGCGCAGGGATTTGGCATAGAGCGCAGGTAACTCATTTCTTTATTGTATGTATCGGGGCTGAGCTGTACTATGGTCATTGCTGCCACACAGGAGTAGAGGGAATCTGAGCACAGGACTTATTTTTGTGTATTTAGAGATACTATTTCCCTATCCTTACAGTGTTGTATTTAGCACTGAGCAGTGTTTGCATATTTGAATAGAAGCATGTTTTTGTATGGAGTATGTGTGAGTGAATGTAGGGGTGTGTTTGTATGTATTGTTGGCATTTGAGTTCAAGTATTCATGTGTGTGCTTTTTGCATACAAGGGTGTGTTTATATATAATGTTGGTGTATTAATACAGAATTGTGTATGTAGTGTTAACGCTTGAATGGAGGTGTTTATTTGTATGTGGTGTTGGCATTTGAATGGTGAGATGTATGCACAAATACACATATACTGCCACACACACACACTGATACAAACACACACACTGACACACACGCAGATACACAGACATACAGATACATTGACACACATACAGATCTAGAGACACCGATAAACACTGACACACATGCAGATATATAGACACACAGATACACACACTGACACAAATACAGACACACATACACACACTGACTCACATACAGATACACAGTGACACGCATATAGATACACACAATGACACACTTACAGACACACCGATACATACACTGACACACATACTAACACATTAATACACATACACACACACAGATACACAAACTGACACGCATGCAGATACACAGACACACAGATACATACACTGACACACTTGCAGATATAGAGACACACCGATAAACACTGACACACATGCAGATATATAGACACAGAGATACACACACTGACACAAATACAGATACACGTTGACACGCATAAAGATACACACACTGACACACATACGGACACACCGATGCATACACTGACACAAATACAAACATAGAGATACACACATCAATACACATACAGATACACCAGCATACAGACACACATGCTGGTCAAAATGTACACTTTTTTTAGCCACCCACCAGTTTCCTACCTTTGGTCAGGAGGGTGGCTTTTTTGGGGGTCCAGTCTACAGGCTGAAGCTGTTGGTAGTAATAGACTGGCTCCCTGGTGCCGTCACACTGGCTGTACTGGTGTTAGTTCCATCGCTGATGCTAGTTCTGCCTATTGATCCATCATTGCTGACTGACATGACAAGTCGGGTGGTTAAGCGATTGGGGTCCCCTGGTCACTCGGGGGGACAAGGAAGGGGATGGTCATGTCACTTTTTCATGGGGTGGATAATAACATGTCCACCCCTATTGTTTAATTAATTAGAGTCCCTTCGGGTGGGACTGGGAGGGACATTGAATCCTCACCCAAATACTAGTATTAGGGTCCCTAACCACTATCAGTGGTTAGTGTGCAGGCATTAGGTCCTTCAAGCTTGAATATTAATATTAGGGCCCCACAAGTCACCAATGGGTGGAGCATGGGGTGATACAAGGTCCACCCCTCATTATAATAGCCCCACATCAGACCACAGGCGGGGGGGAACATAAAGATGCCCCCTCCCTGTTTATTTTACTAAATAGCCCCCATCTGCTGATCATGGGTGGGGTTAGCTGGCTGGACAGTGATCTGTCCAAACCCACAGCTTTCCAGTCGCTAATTTTAGTCATTTAGTACACAAGCCATGGCAGGTGAGGGCATTGGGAGGAGAAATACATCCTTTATAATAATCTGGGGATCTTACTTACCCCATAGGCTTTTTATTTATTTATTGGCCAGCCAGTACTTAATTAATCCTCACATTGCAAAGGGTTCACCTGATTTTTTAATAATTTTTCACTTGCATAAAAGGAAGCCGCTATTCAGTTTAAATTCTATGCTTTGTTGTAATAAACATTTTAAGGTTGATTGGAATATAGCTTTTTATGTATATACTCTCTTCTTTAACTGGCTTGCCGTAATATACTTCAAGATCACCTAATAATATTAATACACAATCTGACGTTCATTATAAAAAACATACATTGAATCTACTCTCAAAGCAAATATCAATACACACATAAAACATCTTTACAGATGGTACAGCTTAACAATGTTACAGAGAGAGAGATCTTCGATGGAGTGTAAGAATCTTTGTCCAGAAAGTCAGGAGAACAGAACATGGTTCTATTACAGACCTGACTATTATGACGACCAAATTCCAACCATATTTGGCTTTAGTAAATTGAGATTATGGTTGGCATTCAATCATTTTTAACGGATTGTGTTCATTATCTTAGTGATTATGGTGCAAAACGTCTATGGGTACATCCCTCCTGTTTTTGACAAACAAATTACACAAGGAATCTTTCGCAATCCAGTGGTACTTAAGGGGTAAACAGCAACTCGGCACAGACCTTGCTAATCCTTACAAATATTTTGACCACTTAATGAGGAAGTTAAACTTCCTCATTGACACCTCGAAGTCAGAGAGGGGGAAGATTTGTGTGCAATGAAGACTGTGGTTTTGTGAAAAATTCTTAAACACTGCACCCATTGTCCACTTGTACAATAACAACTTCAGTAAACCGCTGTGGTTATGGTATTCGGGAGAGTTTATATAATGTTAACTGGTTGCATCATAATAGTTGTCTTTTCTACTCACAAACACACACATACATACAAATAATAAGAGTTGTAAAAAAAATCTAAGGTAGCAATGATATCCAAATGAAAAGGTTTTATTGATGACGGAAAAAACATGAACATGTTAATAAATGCGTATGCATAAATAATACATTGTTTTACTAAACATAGATAATGGCGTGTACTTTAAAACTAATATAATCTATACTTTTATAATGAGTAAATACATACATTATGCATTTCATACATCAGCCCATTTTATAATTAAATAAAATATTCCTTATGTTTGTTTAGGTAATGAACACAAACATTTTCCATTGCTGTGAATGCACAAAATGCACCGTGCCATCTGAGGCATCAAAACACAGAATAATTATAAATATAATTAATACATTCATAAATAAATTCAATATTCAAAGTCATAACATATAATGATATTTCTACATTTAAATGGCTGACATTTTATCAGAAATAAAAGATGCAGGTTTTTCTTTTTTTTTTTTTTAGCTATAACAGATGAGTAAAACATTAACAATATAGAGGACTATATATATTTATATTTTCTACTTCTGGAGGTAGATTCAACAGCTGGATGGGAGTGTAAGCTCAGTAATCACATGCACAGCGTCTTAACCCATGCATGCAATATCAGTCCTCCCGGAGTTAAGGACGGCCACTAATAAACAAAATCTAGTAATTGATATCAGTCCTCCCGGAGTTAAGGACAGCCACTAATAAACAAAATCTGGTCATCGATATCAGTCCTCGCGGAGTTAAGGACAGCCACTAATAAACAAAATCTGGTAATCGATATCAGTCCTCCAGGAGTTAAGGACGGCCACTAATAAACAAAATCTGGTTATTGATATCAGTCCTCCCGGAGTTAAGGACAGCTACTAATAAACAAAATCTGGTTATTGATATCAGTCCTCCAGGAGTTAAGGACAGCCACTAATAAACAAAATCTGGTCATCGATATCAGTCCTCCCGGAGTTAAGGACAGCCACTAATAAACAAAATCTGGTCATCGATATCAGTCCTCCCGGAGTTAAGGACAGCCACTAATAAACAAAATCTAGTAATTGATATCAGTCCTGCCGGGGTTAAGGACAGCCACTAATAAACAAAATCTGGTTATTGATATCAGTCCTCCCGGAGTTAAGTACAGCCACTAATAAACAAAATCTGGTAATCGATATCAGTCCTCCCGGAGTTAAGGACGGCCACTAATAAACAAAATCTGGTTATTGATATCAGTCCTCCCAGAGTTAAGGACAGTCACCAATAAACAAAATCTGGTGATCGATATCAGTCCTCCCGGAGTTAAGGACAGCCACTAATAAACAAAATCTAGTAATTGATATCAGTCCTTCCGGAGTTAAGGACAGCCACTAATAAACAAAATCTGGTTATTGATATCAGTCCTCCCGGAGTTAAGGACAGCCACTAATAAACAAAATCTGGTCATCGATATCAGTCCTCCCGGAGTTAAGGACAGCCACTAATAAACAAAATCTAGTAATTGATATCAGTCCTCCCAGAGTTAAGGACAGCCACTAATAAACAAAATCTGGTTATTGATATCAGTCCTCCCGGAGTTAAGGACAGCCACTAATAAACAAAATCTGGTAATCGATATCAGTCCTCCAGGAGTTAAGGACGGCCACTAATAAACAAAATCTGGTTATTGATATCAGTCCTCCCGGAGTTAAGGACAGCTACCAATAAACAAAATCTGGTTATTGATATCAGTCCTCCAGGAGTTAAGGACAGCCACCAATAAACAAAATCTGGTCATCGATATCAGTCCTCCCGGAGTTAAGGACAGCCACTAATAAACAAAATCTGGTCATCGATATCAGTCCTCCCGGAGTTAAGGACAGCCACTAATAAACAAAATCTAGTAATTGATATCAGTCCTGCCGGGGTTAAGGACAGCCACTAATAAACAAAATCTGGTTATTGATATCAGTCCTCCCGGAGTTAAGTACAGCCACTAATAAACAAAATCTGGTAATTGATATCAGTCCTCCCGGAGTTAAGGACAGCCACTAATAAACAAAATCTGGTTATTGATATCAGTCCTCCCAGAGTTAAGGACAGCCACCAATAAACAAAATCTGGTCATTGATATCAGTCCTCCCGGAGTTAAGGACAGCCACTAATAAACAAAATCTAGTAATTGATATCAGTCCTCCCGGAGTTAAGGACAGCCACTAATAAACAAAATCTGGTTATTGATATCAGTCCTCCCGGAGTTAAGGACAGCCACTAATAAACAAAATCTGGTCATCGATATCAGTCCTCCCGGAGTTAAGGACAGCCACTAATAAACAAAATCTAGTAATTGATATCAGTCCTCCAGAGTTAAGGACAGCCACTAATAAACAAAATCTGGTTATTGATATCAGTCCTCCCGGAGTTAAGGACAGCCACTAATAAACAAAATCTGGTAATCGATATCAGTCCTCCAGGAGTTAAGGACGCCACTAATAAACAAAATCTGGTTATTGATATCAGTCCTCCCGAGTTAAGGACAGCTACCAATAAACAAAATCTGGTTATTGATATCAGTCCTCCAGGAGTTAAGGACAGCCACCAATAAACAAAATCTGGTCATCGATATCAGTCCTCCCGAGTTAAGGACAGCCACTAATAAACAAAATCTGGTCATCGATATATCAGTCCTCCCGGAGTTAAGGACAGCCACTAATAAACAAAATCTAGTAATTGATATCAGTCCTCCCGGGGTTAAGGACAGCCACTAATAAACAAAATCTGGTTATTGATATCAGTCCTCCCGGAGTTAAGTACAGCCACTAATAAACAAAATCTGGTAATCGATATCAGTCCTCCAGGAGTTAAGGACGGCCACTAATAAACAAAATCTGGTTATTGATATCAGTCCTCCCGGAGTTAAGGACAGCTACCAATAAACAAAATCTGGTTATTGATATCAGTCCTCCCGGAGTTAAGGACAGCCACCAATAAACAAAATCTGGTCATCGATATCAGTCCTCCAGGAGCTAAGGACAGCCACCAATAAACAAAATCTGGTCATCGATATCAGTCCTCCCGGAGTTAAGGACAGCCACTAATAAACAAAATCTAGTAATTGATATCAGTCCTCCCGGAGTTAAGGACAGCCACTAATAAACAAAATCTGGTTATTGATATCAGTCCTCCCGGAGTTAAGGACAGCCACCAATAAACAAAATCTGGTCATCGATATCAGTCCTCCAGGAGCTAAGGACAGCCACCAATAAACAAAATCTGGTCATCGATATCAGTCCTCCCGGAGTTAAGGACAGCCACTAATAAACAAAATCTAGTAATTGATATCAGTCCTCCCGGAGTTAAGGACAGCCACTAATAAACAAAATCTGGTTATTGATATCAGTCCTCCCGGAGTTAAGGACAGCCACTAATAAACAAAATCTGGTTATTGATATCAGTCCTCCTGGAGTTAAGGACAGCCACCAATAAACAAAATCTGGTTATTGATATCAGTCCTCAAGGACAGCCAATAATAAACACAATACAGTAATCCAGAAATCCTGTGGGGTTTGAGTAGTCTTTCATGGATCATTTTGGTACTTAGTTTTACTGAACTATGGCAAACACACACGATTATAAAAAAATAGCTTTTTAAATTTAAAATTATTTTCGTTCAAGTCATACAGCTTTGTAGGAGGTAGTGATTTGGAAATATGGAGTGAATTTTACAAACGTTCACAGCAATTATATGATAGTTCTCACACTTTCAGTCAAAATCTACAGAAAATTTATTTAATAATAACCAATGGTTAGCAGCAGATCTAGTAAGCTGCCATTCCTTCATCCGTAGATAATGTAGGAAAGGGCAGCCAAAGGCACACAGTCTGGCAGGCAATCATTACAGGTCATACAGCCTGGACACAAGAAGGTCCATCTGTGAATATGGCAGTGAAAAGTACACAACGCTCCTCTTACCACTGAAGGAAAAGCAGACTAAAAACAGACCGCAATATTCACCAAAGTGAGAATTTACAGCAACTTTCAAGTTTAAGGCCAAAGTAACCATATTGGAGAAGTTATTAAAGTCAGCTGTGTTGCTAATGTCCATGTGGCAAATGAGCTGGATCTTTCATTTAAGAAAGAAACAATATTCATATTGTATTCAGCTAGTGATTTTGTAAACGTACACTTACAGCAGGATATCTGGTAAGTATTAGGCATTCCAGCTCCATATAGCGGTTGGCGTTATTGACCCCTTAGTAGATGGGCTTGGAGCCGTGAAACCGCATTTCTATTTAAATAGAACCATAGGCTCTGTTAGAACTGTCTTGGAAAAGTTGTTTGGCTACTTTGGCCTAGAATTTTAAATTCACTTTGAATACTCACTTTAGTGAATAAATATGTAAGACTCCAACAGAGTTATTCACTAAGTTATCATGTGCCGTCTCATTCTATGTTTCTATGTTTCAGTCCCACCGGATCTGGGTCTTTTGGGAGGCATGAAAACACTTGTAAATGCTTTGGGTATACACTGCAAGCATTATTTATTAAACTAGGCAATGCTGAGAACTAATTCTGGAAATACACATTTAGATGACAATAGAGAAAAGACATCCAAAAACATTTCTACAGTCTGGGACAGAGGAAAAGGTAAATAAACAGAATAAAAAATGTTAAAATCCATAAATGAAACATTGGCAAGCAATAGCTTTTAAACTGAAATGCTTACACAGTGATACCGAGGAAATGTTTGCACACAGGGGAGCTGCCAAACTGGCGATTACCTGGCAAGATAGGTTAATCCCTTCATAAAAAATGATGTTCCAGGGTTGTCATGAAGTAAAGGTATTTGCTTAATCATGTCCTGAATTAATTCATGTTAAATGAACAATGCACTTCAGGTATTATAAATGAGGATCAAATCCATGTCCAGGAAATGATAAATACTATAGGTAGAGAGTATTCTGCAACAGAACTAGACAAATGCCAACTACCATGTGTCTTTCTTGGCAGAATACTTAATAAACTGAGGTTATGTAAGGACAGTTTTGCTGCAATCACCATGGGAACCAATGGTATGTCCCTGCTGATTGTTCCAGAATTAGAAGACTGCTCTAAAACAAAATGTTTAAAATGCACCAACTAGGGAGCACTGTCTGTGATATTGTTTTTACAGCCATTCTGTGTGTGTGTGCCTAGCAATTAAAATATGTGTAAACAAATACACTGAAATAAGAAGCATTGCAATTTGCATGCACAATATCAAACATGTCGAAAATAAATGAATTCAAAATCCCTCCCACCCCCTATTCTGTGTCCCCCTATTCTGTGTCCCCCTATTCTGTATTTTTTAGTTAGAATGTGCAATGCAATAACAAGAATACAACGCTTCTATTACAGTTACATTTTCAGATTAAATACATATTTCTAATTTGCTTATTAATAACATATTGATTACAGGGGGTTCTTGGAATCCATAATATAATTACTATATCCCTTATTATATTAAAGGGACACTAAACCTACCCAGGCCACTACATCTCAGTAAAATGATCTGGGTGCCGAGTCCCTGTCGTTAACCCTGCAATGTAAAACAATCTACCTCTGGTAAAACTTGCTCATGGAAGCCCATAGAAAAGCAATGAACACAATGCATTCCTATGTGGGAGCTTGGATGCATGTGCTGAACTCACTGTGAATGTGCATCACATCCCTAGTGCTCCTCTATGACAAGCATTGGATTGGACCATTGGCTTCCGCGTGATGCCTCTGTGAAGACGTCTCAGGAGGTGGAGAGGTGAGCAGCGCCGAGGAAGCCTCAGTGCTGGAAAAAGGTAAGTAATACTTATTGTATAAGGCGAGGAGCTGTATCTACCTAGGGACAGTGCCACTATAGTGTTAGGAATACAGATTTCTATTCCTAACACTATAACGTTCCTTTAAACTTAAAATATCGCCAGAACCAAATAACCTAATAACTAAGGTTTAGGCGACAGATGAGTCTGATTTCAATGGTCTAGTGCAATGTTTCCCAACGCAGTCCTTATAGCGCACCAACAGTTTAGGATGTAGGCATTTCCCAATATTTTTTTCTGTAGGGATACTAACCAAACCTGGGCCACTGGTGTGCTACAAGGACAAGGCTGTGAACCACTAGATTAGTAAAGCTCTTTCAGACGTCTAATCTACTTCCATGTTAACTAGTAAAAATATGTGCTTTTTCTTCTTCATACAATCTAATAAGGGTAAACATGGCATTAAAAAGATTTTTTTCACTGAAAAAAACAAGAAACCTTGGGTCATAGCCTATTAGATGTATTTGGATACGTATTTCCATGGCTAGTAATGTACAGCTAAAATGTATTGTTTGTCCCATATAATGGTGACCCTGAAAGAAGATTCACTCTTTAAGCGCCTTTCTGAGGTCAGTATAAAAATTAACAAGTGAACCTGCCATTGCAAGGTCAACAGTCTTATGAGGAAGCATCCCTCGTAGATCTGTCTGAATGTAGCCAGTCAGCAAGCTGCTTTCAGGATTGTCCGGAAGAGGCACACAAAACCAGCCACATGGGTGATTAAATCCACGGACGCAATTAGGTCGAACAATTTCGTGTTCAGTGCTAACACCTGTTAACAGAGCAGCAGAGCATAAAGTTAAGTTGAGAATAAAATTGATGGGGTTTATTAAGTAAACACTAATTTGCTATAAACTAAAAGCCAATAATATATTAAATTACAGGTTAAAATACCCAATCTACGACTATAGCCAAGATGGAGAATTTTTGATATAAGCTATTTTTGCCTACAATTTCCAATTCGGTTTTCAATACACCACAGCTTGATGTTTATCAAATAAACCCAGATATAATATTTAACAAATTAAATAACGATTTAACAGAAAATAGTAATAACCCAAAAATAAAATTTCGTAATTAAGCCAAAATAGCTAAATTTGAAAAGTTTTCTTCCCAGCAATACAACAAATTAGAAGGTTTACTCATGCATTCCGCAAAATTCACTATGCTATGCTGAACGGAACCAAGATCTATAAAATTCAGCCGAAATGTCTTTGTAAAAGTAAAATTAAAAAAAAAAAATTAAAAGAGACTGCACAATTATTATTTTTTTAAAAATAGATCCATCAAGCACATACGCCTTAAGGCCAACATGTCTCTCCTGTGATCTTGGGCTAATTGAGATGAGCTCAGTATCGGAACATATCCTGATCAAATTGGAGGGAGAGAATTATATAAAATATATAAACATATCAGGCTGGTGTTGTTTCTCATTGTAAATACACTTAACCAATTAGGAGGCAGTATAGTAACATACAGAGGTTAGTAATTACAAGCTATAATGTCCTCTTATCTTCACAGTGTAATCCTGGGTGTTAGTGAGTAATTACAGCTTCTGGCTGGCTGCAGACATCACATACTCGAACACTTTCCATTTCTCAATCACTGACACTGAAAACCTGACAGATCTGCCAGTGGTAACTACAGTAAATATTAATATAGCTTGGGTAGCTTAAATAAAACGAAATAAACTAAGTTTAAATAGCGCTAAACTGTTTGGAATCTTGTTTTAAATTTATTTGTGTTCATTAAAAAATTTAACAAATAGAAAAAGCATCCAATACAAGCTTTGCTTGTGATAAATGACACGCTGTTAAAGCTCACAAAACTGTGACATAACATAAACTCACAATTGCAAAAATTAGTTCAATCAGATCATTTGGAAATTTGTGAGGAGCCTGAGGCCATTTTTGGGAATGTAGTTTTCTGAAAAAAATGTCATCGACATGGAGAGAAAATGTGTGTGTGCATAATACCTCCATATAATAAGTACAGTTACAGTAAGCATCTGTATTATACAGGTCATTGTAAGGCAGTCCTCAAATTATCTCTACAGTGTATTTACTGTTCTCAGAATCATCTTTGATTCTAGAATCCAAGCATGACTTGCTATTCAAATGTTTATATCGATTTTTAAGACGAAGGAGGTAGTGACACAGTTTAAAGTTCCTCTGCAGAAATGCAGAGTTTCTAAATGGAAGAAAATCGTATTTATCTACAGGTTTAATGCTATGTTAACTGGGGCTTTATGGGGTACATTTAATTTGAAAATGAACGTTAGCTCATGTATAGATCTTTGGGAAGGAAGAAATAATATATTGAGTCAAAGACTCCAGCAATCTTTATCATGCTTTATAAAAGGTTAAGGTGCACTGATTGCAGGGTTTTTGTTATGTAGAGTACTCTCCATATAATAACACAGTGTCTACACAGGAAAAAAACCATAAAAAACATACCGCAAGTTAAAAGTCCATCCTCATACGGTGTGGTGTAGGAAAAGTCAACAAATTCCCTGGGAGAGATGATGTTCAAAAGTTGACCGGCAGTTGTGTAGCGCATCACACAGCGATGCTATCAGGTCAACGAAAAAAAATATATTAAAACAAAAAACTTACTCTGGATAATATATAGAGCGTGCATACATTGTGATAATGAAACATTGAGATTTCTATTCAAATAACAAGTATTTTGGTCTTCTGATTTTCAAATCAGCTGTATTTTAAACTCTGCTTAAGAACTGCATCCATGAGCCAACAGCTGATGGATATCAAAAAATAAGCAAAGTCACAGTCTGACATATTACACACGGTATAAACCGATGTTGGACTGATTATCTGCGATGACTGGACCTATATCAGGAAACGCCATAGAAGTAATCTCAACCCGTGATAATGTTTTAAATTATAAACAGCTTTATTTTTCCATCTTACACAAACAGAGGGGGAATAAAGAGAAGCCAGGAGCACCGGTAGTTAAGATTTTACAACTTACTACAAGTTGAGGCTGCTTGCGATGGTGTTTCCAAGCAGGTCTCGATTATTACAGATAATCACTTTATTTAGAAGAAGGAACCGCAGGCCACAGACTCTCCTGGTCACTAAGCTTCACTTCGTAGAATTAACTAATTTTTTTTAGTTTAAGCCATCCAGCTGTGAATGGTTTTCTTTTTCATAAATAAATTAATATTAGTAAAATCAGAACTTCAAAGAGATTGAAAAAATAAAATGAAGTATAATTATTTAGGCATTACATTTGAAATAATCTCATAGGTACACTCCAGACTGCTAGAGCAGTTTAACTTACTAAAGTGCTTTAGGGATTAACTGCATGTTCACCTTTTCCCAAGACATAAAAGTGCTGATTTCAAAAAAACTCTGCACTTTTATGAATTAATTTAGAAACATTACCCTGGCAGTCAAGCTGACAGCTAGGAGGACGTCCAGATTCACTCTACTTGTAAGATCATTCAAGCCGAACTTCAGTGAGAACTTCCATAGAGAGGCATTAGTCTAAGGATTCCTTATAAAAAGCATTCTATTGGTTAATTGTTGCATTCTCTGCATTTGATTGGTGGATTTGCAGGAGTTGCTGCGCATGAGCCAATATCGTTTTTCAGAGGTGAAGTGGAGCAATGACGAGAAAGCACTTATCACTGGAGAAAAAGTTAAGTAAAATGTATTTTTAGGGTGTTTGGGGTGCGTCTGGCATGTATTGAGTTGAAGGAGCACCCCAAACATTAACACCAAATATTGGTTCTTAGCATTGGCATGTTCCTTTAAGATATATATGTTATTAAAGTGACAATAGGTCCTGCTTAATCTACTAAATTCATGCTGCCCATTGCAAACTAATAACAACAATAGAAAAACAATTAGCATTCAGAAACTCTTTTTTCGGCATAGACAGACTGTATAGGGGAGTATTTTGTAGATTCTGTGGATTCATTGCAAATGCTACATTCTGTTTTTGGCTGCATTCTTGAAACAAAACCAGATAAATAATTAAATTGAGTAATTACTTAAAATGAAAAAAAATTGGTCCTCAAGAGCCAGTATTATCCTAGGAAAGCTGGGCACTTTCCCAATGCAAAATAATAAAAGGAGGGTCTTGTGGATCCTCATTTAACAAGGCAATAACATGAAGGGGACATTGAAAACTGTTAAGATAGTACTGAATGCCCTTCGTTCTTCCCATCATTGGACCAGTAGTATGTGAGGATAATATCTCTAGTGGGTTATGGAGACCTAAAACACTGATATAAAAACAATTAGTTCCATATATACTTGGCCAAAGTGTCACAGAGCCCACTGTCAATACAGCACTCAGTAATATATTTTCAGCCAGTATTCTACATGCTTCTATTTGGGTTGTGAAGTCCACTGTCTCTCCAGAGTTTATCCAAAAATCTGGTATCTTATATGCTTGAGCAAGGGACAGAGGATGCCCAAAGAGGGGATGCATAAACATAGGAGTCTAAAATAATAAGCATAATAGATAAAATGTATACATAAAACATGCAACGCAATTACTGAAACCTTCACAAATCCTCACCTTGTGTCCGTGAAAATATTTCTATAAAATTATCGTGTAGCATCCACAGGGGAAACGTAATTTTGTTTGTTGTTGTAAATATCTCTTTATTGAGAAAAGAAAATTGTCAAAATTTCAACAGGAATACAGATTATAAGGATGCGGAAACACACAGGTTTCGAGTAGAGGTGGAAGCATCTGGCAAAGTGGGATATGCAGATCCCCATCTGAACAAGGATAGCTGAGACATGCAGGTCTCACATAGAGAGTAGGCTCACAGCATATAGGTGTAGAAGCGTGTGCGGTGTTGGTGCGGGTGCGTACCAGTCGCTATGTGCGAGTGTATGATGGGGTTGTAAGTCCCCCAGCGCTAACTCTGAGTCAGTGGATATCAGAGTCTGGCGTGTAGGTGCCTTGGTCCCCTCTTGTTGTCTTGAGTGCTGTCTGGGTCCCCCTGGCTCATGGTGTGTGTATTGAGTCAGTTGCTGCTCCCCCCACCTCCCCTGTGCGTTTCGCCAGCTTCGGTCAAGAGTAGTGATGACCCCCCCCTCACCCTGTCATGCTCTGTGACGTGTCCCTCCAATGTCGGGGTAACGCACCATTGTATGAGTCAAAGACTCATGGGGGATCCTGTGTGTAAGGCACTCTCTGTTAGGCTGTAAACCGTGATTTGTGGGAAATGTACATTTTAGCCAGTTTGGAAATCTTCATCCATGTAGCTATTTTTCCAGCTTAGTTCTTTGGCTAAAACTCGCAATTCCCTTATTGCTTCCCATAATTTCCAGTTTACTGAATAAACCGCTCAGAGAGAGAGAAGCTGCAAGTCCTTAAGAAGCTAACAGAGTATGCTCTAAATCAAGCTTAATTGTCTATAGTCTATAATATGGAAACTACAGCATCAGTGTACTAAACCATATATCCTACTGATGGTGACGCACACCTACCTTTTTATGTCTTGTATACAGACATATTGAAGTAATAACAAAACATGCATGTATACCCTGTAGAAAATATCGATTCCATTGTCAAATGAGAAGATTAACTACCCAATAAATCACTTACCTGATCTATCTCCTTGATTATATCCATCTCTGTCATTAAGCTGTCCCACTGCAGTCTGTAAGGTCCGGGGCGGATGTAATCCACAATTCGGCTATAGACATCTTTAACTACGCCTTCACATTTGTAGCTGTAATACACAGAAAACTAGGTATAACACCTGACACATACCCGGGAAGCACCACATAGTTTATTATTTACTGTATTATTACAGCTTATCGTACAATTACTGCTCATTCTCTCCTTATACGTTATTGCATTATTTTACAGAGAGAGAGAGAAAGACATATAAAAAGAATGGGGGATACAGTAAACCCTGTATTTTGGGAAAATAAGGGGCTCAATGGTTTCTAGAGACATTATAAAAAATTCCTAGACTGATATTTAGGTTTTGCCCAAGATTAGGGTCCTCATTCATTACGGTGTACAATTAATTAGATGACCTCTCCATACACTATGAAATTTTAAAACATGATTGGTTACCAAGTAGAGCATATGACTTTGGGGTCAATACACCAAAACGTGAGTTGTGGTTAACTGAGAGACGACTTGTAAAATGTGTGGGAAAGAGTTAAGTCGTGGTGTAAATTTTGCCACGACAATTTGTCAGCGCAGCACAACTCATTGTTTAGTGAATGTCAGTCTGTCCTTCCGTCCACCTGTCTGTCTATCACAGCTCAAACGATTTTGTTTGTTAACAACATATGTAACGTTGTGCCGTGGTTAACACACTTACAAATACTTACAGCGAACCGCCAAATTCCTCAGAGGATCTCCGCCACACTGTTACATCACTCTGGAAAAAGCAAAAACAAGAGTATCAATCACTCTGCTTACAATTCATTAGTACGTCATTTATATTTTAAGAGCTTTAATGAAATCATTTATAAGAAAACCATTGAAATAATATTGTACAGACTTTGAAAAATATTCAGTAGGAATAACTACGATAATGAACTGAGATGCTTCTCTTCTTATTCAATATTATAAGGAAATGTGTATATATATATATTTTTTTTTTTCTGATTTGTAGCATTTATTTACAAGGATACATAGATAACAATTTAACAGTTCACTGGCTCACTTTCAGCTCTGTCAGCAGGTTTACCAACCAGTTATTACTCACTAAAGTGGGTAGTGACTGTTACCAAATGGAAATCTTAAATATATAATGGAATAAAATGGGAGTGAGCTCCGATAAGGGCTGTGCCTTCAAGCAATGGAACTAAATATAGTCGTAGATCCCTGCCTCAGCTTCTTTCTATTTCAGAATCACTACTTCTGGCTCAGCTTCATTTCCCTGTCTCAGTTTCCTTTTTCCTAATTTGGCTCTTCTTCCCTGATCTGCTAATTGTACCTGTCTCAGCTAATCTTACCTGTCTGAGCACATCTGTTTCAGCTTATCTCACTTGTCTCAGCTCATCTTACCTGCCTCAGCTCATCTTACCTGTCTGAGCACATCTGTCTCAGCTCATCTTACCTGTCTCAGCTCATCTTACCTGCCTGAGCACATCTTACCTGTCTGAGCACATCTTACCTGTCTGAGCACATCTGTCTCAGCTCATCTTACCTGCCTCAGCTCATCTTACCTGTCTGAGCACAGCTTACCTGTCTGAGCACATCTGTCTCAGCTCATCTTACCTGCCTCAGCTCATCTTACCTGTCTGAGCACATCTGTCTCAGCTCATCTTACCTGCCTCAGCTCATCTTACCTGTCTGAGCACAGTCTCAGCTCATCTTACCTGCCTCAGCTCATCTTACCTGTCTGAGCACATCTGTCTCAGCTCATCTTACCTGCCTCAGCTCATCTTACCTGTCTGAGCACATCTTACCTGTCTGAGCACATCTGTCTCAGCTCATCTTACCTGCCTCAGCTCATCTTACCTGTCTGAGCACATCTGTCTCAGCTCATCTCTTACCTGCCTCAGCTCATCTTACCTGTCTGAGCACATCTGTCTCAGCTCATCTTACCTGCCTCAGCTCATCTTACCTGTCTGAGCACATCTGTCTCAGCTCATCTTACCTGCCTCAGCTCATCTTACCTGTCTGAGCACATCTGTCTCAGCTCATCTTACCTGTCTGAGCACATCTGCCTCAGCTCATCTTACCTGCCTCAGCTCATCTTACCTGTCTGAGCACATCTGTCTCAGCTCATCTTACCTGTCTCAGCTCCTCTTACCTGCCTGAGCACATCTTACCTGTCTGAACACATCTGTCTCAGCTCATCTTACCTGCCTCAGCTCATCTTACCTGTCTGAGCACATCTGTCTCAGCTCATCTTACCTGTCTCAGCTCATCTTACCTGCCTCAGCTCATCTTACCTGTCTGAGCACATCTGTCTCAGCTCATCTTACCTGTCTGAGCACATCTGTCTCAACTCATCTTACCTGCCTCAGCTCATCTTACCTGTCTGAGCACATCTGTCTCAGCTCATCTTACGTGTCTCAACTCATCTGTCTCAACTTATCTCACCTGTCTCAGTTCATCTGTCACAGTTTATCTCACCTGTCTCGGCTCATCTTACCTGTCTCGGTTCATTTCCTCTGTCTGAGCTCCTTTTCCTCTACTTCAGCTCTTCTTCCCTCTACCTCAGCTATTCTTCCCTAAGTTTACTTTCTCTTGCACTCTTTTTTGCCCATCACAGTTCTACCTCGTTGATCTCATTTCATTGCTTTTCATCTCCTCTATCAGACAAAGTTACCCATTTACTTAACACCCTCCATAATCTTAAAACAGAACCAGAATATGTTCAAGAGAAATAATATGATTTCATTTTCTTTACTTTAGCATGTTTAACCTTCCAACAAAACTCATGAAATTGAACTTGCTGACTATACTTTTATATTTGACAATAAATGACATTGCAAAGCTTCTATCACCAGTTCCTAAGAGACAGCCATAATTTCTACACATAGGTCAAGATAATAATACATGTTTTCCCTGCCTGAGCTATTTTAAATCAAGATACATTATCTGACGTTCTAATGATAAGTGCCTGGGTGAAATTCTTATAGCAGAGATAACAGCTGGGCCAAGTACAGGTATGATTGTTACAGAAGGCGCACATGGAAGTCTTTGCACATTGACGTCTACACTGACTGTTAACACTGACCTTGGGCAGATTTAAGATCCTTGATAACTACGATAAGGAGCAAAGCTTAGTCATGGCATGGGGCACGAGGTTGGTTATTCATCAGTGGTATATCTATATTAAAACAAAGTACCCAATAGAATTGGGGAAAACAGTCCAAAAACACTCATGCTCACCGTTTTCTTGGCTAAGTGCCACTCGGTTTCTGGAAAGCAGTGATATTGAATCAGGGTGTTTTGCAACGTTGTCGACATTGTAGATGTTTCCATCTGATCTTCCATGGTTTGTCCTGCAAATTAAAGAACACCAATGTTACTAAATAAATAGAATATGCTAATAAAATAGTCATTCCTGACCTTTAATGGATTTCTTTTCACTAAACCCTGAGATTTAGTAACAACAGCTGATTGCTTAAATGATGGGGGCAATAGAATAGGGTAGTTGGGAGTGTGGCGGAACCAACCTCGCCACTGGGCATTGGAGAAGACTGATTGCCAGCCTCCTGCCCTGTGACTATGGCCCCATGTCTTTTTCCCTGCAGAAAGGCTGTTCGTGCCTTTCTGCGGACTGTTAAAGTCACGAACACCGCTGAGCTGCCGACCTCCCTCCGACCTGCAGTCAATTATCCGAACACCGGTCCATTCAGGACTTTACTGTTTAAACCATGCTACCCCAGATAGCTATGCCATGGAGCCCAGCCGTATACTGAAAGACTGTATGAAAGACTTTGGCTGAACTTTGGCTGAACTGTATGTATGTGATCTGAGCGCCATCCGGTAGTAATGGGCGCTCAGATCTAAGCTATCTGGGGATAAGTAGAATGTGTATGTTCTATGTGATAAATGTAACAGTATGTAATTTTATGTCTTTTATTGTCCTTTGTCTGCCATGTGATTAATGGAGTTTTGCCTCTGTCCTTGGAGATAATTGGATTACTTCCCAATTATCTCCAGGACAGAGAGGAGGGATTGTAATGCATTGTGGGATTGTAAGCTTGTGATTGGTCAATGTCCAATATGTTTCCCAGTCTTCCATCTGGTCCCCTAGGCGAGTGTCCACCAGGTGGGAGACCTGCATAAAAGCCAGGCAGGTAGCCCCAGTAAATCAGTTCTGCTTGATCCTCAAACGAAGTGTCGTCTCGTTCTTGGGGGGAATTGGATTGTATGCTGTTCCAGTTCGACTGCCAGGAGTGTAAACTGTTCGTATGGTTTTTGCTGTTTGGCTGTTTACAGCATTTGTATGGTTCCAGTTCAGGAGTTGGAGAATTTGTGTGTTTCCAGTGTGGGAGTTGGAGAATTCGTGTGTTTCCTGTTCGGGAGATTGGTGCTTGCAGTAGCTGCCTGTGCATCTGAAAGGGGAATATCGCCTAAACGGTTTTTAACCTCTTGTGCGCAAAACGGTCCGTTACAGGGAGTATTCTCTGAATGTTCTCCAATGTTGTGCCTTATGTCACAGAGAGCCGTCACTTACAGTTCTAACCAAGGCATGGCCGATTCAGATAGTTCACAGACTCCAAGTAATGTACTGCAGTTGCTCTGCTTAATGTATCTATCTTAAAGGCCCAGAGTCCATCAAACATGCACTGATCACTCCGTCCCTAAAAGTATTATTTCTTAAACATATGTGTTTAATCACAGTCTTATTTTCTTACTCAATTCTGCACACAAGCTTTAAGAAAGACAAATGTCAAACATCTATTGTAACTCTCTCTGAGACTCTCTTCAATCAGACAGCCTGGAACTTTCCTTCTTGAACTCAGCTCACCAAAGTGATTAAAGGGACTGAAGGTACCCAGACCACTTTAGCTAATTGAAGTGGTCTGGGTGCTGTCTCCCTATTGCACTTAGTGCTGCAATGTAATGAAAGTGCAGTTCCAGAGAATGTTTACAATGCAGCACAAAGTCTGCCCTCTGTGGTTGTCTAACAGAAAGCCACTAGAGGGCTTTCCGGAATCCATGGACCTTCAGCGTCAGGTTTTCCCCATAGGAAAGCATTGAATAATGCTTTCCTATGGGGGAGGGGGTCTAATTCCCATTGCCGCGCATGCGCATTAGGTCTCCCCGCCCGCTGACCTTGGCGGGGAGGAATGTGGGAGGAGCCTGACCCAACTCCGAGGGACATTGCCGCTGGCTTCAGGTAAGTAGCTGAAGGGGTTTTAACCCCTTCAGACCCACGGGTTTGTATTCCTGGCACTATAGGATCCCTTTAATTAGATGACACTTGCACATCAATGTAAAAAGGAAAGAGGCTGTACATATATATATTTATATATATATATATATATATATATATATATATATATATGTGTGAAACATAGAAAAGCAGTGGGTTGGATAGTGGACTATAATTATCACAACTGATGATCTCTCAGAAGGTGGAACAGAATGTTCTAGCGCTGGATTACAGCTAAATTTAATCTGTTTGTTTTTTGTCATTATTCTATTTAAAAAGGAGGTAGTAACTGTAACAGAGCAATGACCTCTATAATGTTAAAAAGAAATGTATTACATTTTAATGTTTGCAATGTTCCTTTAAGATGGTTGTGAAGGATTCCCTACAACCAGTTCGGTTATTTCCACTCCCTGCTGTTTTATGCACTGGAACCAATTCGTTTCTTTTTTCGTTGTTCGGTAAAATATTCGTTTTACCGAACGGAGACCACCCTGAGTACCAAATAGAAAACAGAACCTTGTATAACTACACGAAAACCGCAAGTTAATTGAATGCCCCTAGACGGCCGCCATTTCGTGCACACAAATGCACGTGGTGAGAACAATGGACGGCGGCCATCTTAACTCCCGAACGCCGCCAGCGGGACTTGGTCGTCGAGTGCCTGGAACTGTTTTGGGCATGGCAATCGCACAAACACCCGGTCCCTATGGAAGTCCCATACGAACGGTTTCCACATACGGTAGAAGAACGGCGTTCAGGTGTTTCAAACAGACGAACAAGGGGGAGCATTCTCCACGAATCATCTTTACTATATCTACGGCGGTTTTCATGCAAATCCATCCGAACGGAGACCGGCTCTTGCTACCAATTCTGTGGAACTCTTGGTCGGATACAACCTCGTGGTAAGCCGGTCAAACATCCACAAAGTGCCATTCGGAAAGTACCGAATGGATATTCGTGAAATTTGGATATGTTACTCACATCATCCTCAGCTAGCCAGGATGATTTTAATATGTATAACATATATTTCTGAAAATAGTGAAAATTGTTAACTTTTCTGGCCAGCAGATAATTGAGTTTAAGTATGTTGCTAAAACTCAATTATCTCGCTGGCTCAGAGGAGGAGCCTGTTATTGTATAAATTGAATGCCCGTGCTTCCCTTAAATCAGTCTTGTTCCAGCATTAAGCTTTGGCTCACGTGTGGATTATTTTGCGATACCAGCGATATTTTACTATGTAGATTATTGGCGATAATACTTTTTTGGGATAAGGGAATACTAGACGGTGATACCTATTCAGACCGTCACAATGGTTTTATCTGTCAATCTATCCATCTATCTATCTATTACAGACATACAGATATATGTTTCTTCCTCTCTTGAAGTCACACGGTTCCCACGATGCAAACAAAGCTAACTGGTGAGAGTTAATATGGATATCATTTAACATTAAAGGAAAATATACAGGAACATACAATGCTAAACAAGGATACGAATTCATTAGTTTCTCTGTTTTGCAATGCAATAGCCCAGTAACGAAGCAGAAAAAACAAAAAAACAGAAACAGAAACAAAATAGCTATAATTAAATGTGTGGGTTTTCACAGCCTTTGGCTAAAAACAGACTTTATCTGCTGACAAACATCAGGGAACTGACAGCCCATTCACACAACTGTCTAATGCTGACGTCACGTGGCCAGCCAGAGCTCACATTTAGTGGGAAGGAACATGTGAAGGGGGACGTGGAGGGGATTCTGTAATGGGACAGTGGGAGGGATTGTTTAGGGATGGGGGCTCTGCGGCTGTATCCTCTGGAGGGATGGGGGGAAGGGGCTGTGATTGGATGCAAAAGAAATGTATTGTTCTTGGAGGATTGTAAACTTACAGGTGCAACTCTCAAAATGTACTGTATCATATTGTTTCTGTATGTTCTGATTTGTTACTAGGCTCTTTACTCAGTGTGTCTGTCAATGTGGAATTCCATGATGCGGTATGGTAAAATATTAAAAATAATGTGACAAAGGTCTGGGATGGATGTGCTTGCTTTAGATTGTAAACTCACCCGCTATCTAGCACAGTACTCCGTATAAAATATAGATTTACGGGATAGATCTCTGCTTTGCCTTTTGTATTGGTCTGTTTATATTGTACCATCTTTTTTCCAATTGTACAGCGCTGTGGAATATGTTGGCACTTTATACATGTCAGTAATAAATATGCTAGCTCTGCGATGAATCATGGAAACTCTGCCTGTCTTTAGTTATTGCTGCAATGAAGTAAATAATAAAGCAAAATATAAATCGTCCACAGTGAGTAATTTATCCAGGACTAGTGTAAGTGTAGCATGCATCATTCTTATTATTAGGGGAGAGGTAGTAGCACTCATAGTTAACAGAGATACTAGTTAAGACTCCTTGTAATCTGTTTATTCTATCACTGAGCTCCCCTGGTATTTACAGAGCTCCCATCTTTTTTCCTGAGCTCCCCTGGTATTTACAGAGCTCCCCTGGTATTAACAGAGCCCCCCATGTATTTACAGAGCTCCCCTGGTATTTACAGAGCCCCCCATGTATTTATAGAGCTCTAATCTTATCTGAGCTCCCCTGGTATTTACAGAGCTCCCCTGGTATTAACAGAGCCCCCATGTATTTACAGAGCTCACCTGGTATTAACAGAGCCCCCCATGTATTTACAGAGCTCCCCTGGTATTTACAGAGCCCCCCATGTATTTATAGAGCTCTAATCTTATCTGAGCTCCCCTGGTATTAACAGAGCTCCCCTGGTATTTACAGAGCTCCCCAGCACTTTATGGACACCCGACCACCATGTCAGCCCCTTCATGTTACAGACATCCTGCCAGCTGTGAGATGTCTTCCTTCCTGAGATGTAACTGTCTCCTTCCTCCCCCACCACATGTATTACCTGTAACCACTGGGGCCGCAATATCGGACTGATTTAGCCCCTGGTGATGCTCTGGTTGCCCCTGGTGATGCTGTAGTTGCCCCTGGTGATGCTGTAGTTGCCCCTGGTGATGCTCTGGTTGCCCCTGGTGATGCTGTGGTTGCCCCTGGTGATGCTGTGGTTGCCCCTGGTGATGTTCTGGTTGCCCCTGGTGATGCTCTGGTTGCCCCTGGTGATGCTGTGGTTGTCCCTGGTGTTGCTCTGGTTGCCCCTGGTGATGTTCTGGTTGCCCCTGGTGATGCTGTGGTTGCCCCTGGTGATGCTGTAGTTGCCCCTGGTGATGTTCTGGTTGACCCTGGTGATGCTCTGGTTGCCCCTGGTGATGCTGTGGTTGCCCCTGGTGATGTTCTGGTTGCCCCTGGTGATGCTCTGGTTGCCCCTGGTGATGCTGTGGTTGCCCCTGGTGATGCTCTGGTTGCCCCTGGTGATGCTGTAGTTGCCCCTGGTGATGCTGTGGTTGCCCCTGGTGATGCTGTGGTTGCCCCTGGTGATGCTCTGGTTGCCCCTGGTGATGCTGTGGTTGCCCCTGGTGATGTTCTGGTTGCCCCTGGTGATGCTCTAGTTGCCCCTGGTGATGTTCTGGTTGCCCCTGGTAATGCTGTGGTTGCCCCTGGTGATGCCGTGGTTGCCCCCGGTGATGTTCTGGTTGCCCCTGGTGATGCGCTGTGGTTGCCCCTGGTGATGCCTGGCTGCTCTGGTGATGTCTGGCTGCCCCTGGTGATGTCTCTGGTTGCCCGGTGATGTTCTGGTTGCCCCGGTAACGCAAACCCTGCTCCCCGGTCGGTCTCTCCGCCGCTCTGCTATCAGTATTGCAAGCTCCGAGCTGAAGATTCAGCAGTTCCAGCGCCAGCCAATCACCACGCAGCTACTCGTCACGGGGGCGTGGCTACACAGAAAGCAGCAGACCACGCCCCCACCAGTATCAGCTGAATGAATGGCAGTCAGACTCCACGTGCTGAGAACACTGAGAGTACAGGACAGCCATACTGTGAGTACACTGAGAGCAGGGCACACAGGACAGCCATAATGTGAGTACACTGAGAGCAGAGCACACAGGACAGCCATACTGTGAGTACACTGAGAGCCATACTGTGAGTACACTGAGAGCAGAGCACACAGGACAGCCATACTGTGAGTACACTGAGAGCAAGGCACACAGGACAGCTATACTGTGAGTACACTGAGAGCAGGGCACACAGGACAGCCATACTGTGAGTACACTAAGAGCCATACTGTGAGTACACTGAGAGCAGAGCACACAGGACAGCTATACTGTGAGTACACTGAGAGCAGAGCACACTGAGAGCCATACTGTGAGTACACTGAGAGCAAGGCACACAGGACAGCTATACTGTGAGTACACTAAGAGCCATACTGTGAGTACACTAAGAGCCATACTGTGAGTACACTGAGAGCCATACTGTGAGTACACTGAGAGCAGAGCACAGGACAGCCATACTGTGAGTACACTGAGAGCAGGGCACACAGGGCAGCCATACTGTGAGTACACTGAGAGCAGAGCACAGGACAGCCATACTGTGAGTACACTGAGAGCAGAGCACACAGGACATCCATACTGTGAGTACACTGAGAGCAGGGCACACAGGACAGCCATACTGTGAGTACACTGAGAGCAGAGCACACAGGACAGCCATACTGTGAGTACACTGAGAGCAGAGCACACAGGACAGCCATACTGGGAGTACACTGAGAGCCATACTGTGAGTACACTGAGAGCAGGGCACACAGGACAGCCATACTGTGAGTACACTGAGAGCAGGGCACACAGGACAGCCATACTGTGAGTACACTGAGAGCAGAGCACACAGGACAGCCATACTGTGAGTACACTGAGAGCAGAGCACACAGGACAGCCATACTGTGAGTACACTGAGAGCAGGGCACACAGGACAGCCATACTGTGAGTACACTGAGAGCAGAGCACACAGGACAGCCATACTGTGAGTACACTGAGAGCAGGGCACACAGGACAGCCATACTGGGAGTACACTGAGAGCAGAGCACACAGGACAGCCATACTGTGAGCACACTAAGAGCCATACTGTGAGTACACTGAGAGCCATACTGTGAGTACACTGAGAGCAGGGCACACAGGACAGCCATACTGGGAGTACACTGAGAGCAGAGCACACAGGACAGCCATACTGTGAGTACACTGAGAGCCATACTGTGAGTACACTGAGAGCACAGGACAGCCATACTGTGAGTACACTGAGAGCCATACTGTGAGTACACTGAGAGCACAGGACAGCCATACTGTGAGTACACTGAGAGCAGGGCACACAGGACAGCCATACTGTGAGAACACTGAGAGCAGAGCACACAGGACAGCCATACCGTGAGTACACTGAGAGCAGGGCACACAGGACAGCCATACCGTGAGTACACTGAGAGCAGGGCACACAGGACAGCCATACTGTGAGTACACTGAGAGCAGGGCACACAGGACAGCCATACCGTGAGTACACTGAGAGCAGGGCACACAGGACAGCCATACTGTGAGTACACTGAGAGCAGGGCACACAGGACAGCCATACTGTGAGTACACTGAGAGCAGGGCACACAGGACAGCCATACTGTGAGTATACTGAGAGCAGGGCACACAGGACAGCCATACTGTGAGTATACTGAGAGCAGGGCACACAGGACAGCCATACTGTGAGTACACTGAGAGCAGGGCACACAGGACAACCATACTGTGAGTACACTGAGAGCACAGGACAGCCATACTGTGAGTACACTGAGAGCCATACTGTGAGTACACTGAGAGCAGAGCACACAGGACACCCATACTGTGAGAACACTGAGAGCAGAGTACACAGGACAGCCATACCATGAGTACACTGAGAGCAGGGCACACAGGACAGCCATACTGTGAGTACACTGAGAGCAGGGCACACAGGACAGCCATACTGTGAGTACACTGAGAGCAGAGCACACAGGACAGCCATACTGTAGTACACTGAGAGCCATACTGTGAGTACACTGAGAGCAGAGCACACATGTGGACAGCCATGTATCAAGTGAGCAATACTCCTCGAGAGCAGGGGCCACAGGACAGCCATACTGTGAGTACACTGAGAGCAGAGCACACAGGACAGCCATACTGTGAGTACACTGAGAGCAGAGCACACATGACAACCATACTGTGAGTACACTGAGAGCAGAGCACAGGGCAGCCATACTGTGAGTACACTGAGAGCAGATCACAGGACAGCCATACTGTGAGTACACTGAGAGCAGAGCACACAGGACAGCCATACTGTGAGTACACTGAGAGCAGAGCACACAGGACAGCCATACTGTGAGTACACTGAGAGCAGAGCACACAGGACAGCCATACTGTGAGTACACTGAGAGCAGAGCACACAGGACAGCCATACTGTGAGTACACTGAGAGCAGGGCACACAGGACAGCCATACTGTGAGTACACTGAGAGCAGGGCACACAGGACAGCCATACTGTGAGTACACTGAGAGCAGAGCACACAGGACAGCCATACTGTGAGTACACTGAGAGCCATACTGTGAGTACACTGAGAGCAGAGCACACAGGACAGCCATACCGTGAGTACACTGAGAGCAGGGCACACAGGACAGCCATACTGTGAGTACACTGAGAGCAGGGCACACAGGACAGCCATACTGTGAGTACACTGAGAGCCATAATGTGAGTACACTGAGAGCAGAGCACACAGGACAGCCATACTGTGAGTACACTGAGAGCCATAATGTGAGTACACTGAGAGCAGAGCACACAGGACAGCCATACTGTGAGTACACTGAGAGCAGGGCACACAGGACAGCCATGCTGTGAGTCCACTGAGAGCAGAGCACACAGGACAGCCATACCGTGAGTACACTGAGAGCAGGACACACAGGACAGCCATACTGTTAGTACACTGAGAGCAGAGCACACAGGGCAGCCATACTGTGAGTACACTGAGAGCAGAGCACACATGACAACCATACTGTGAGTACACTGAGAGCAGAGCACAGGGCAGCCATACTGTGAGTACACTTAGAGCAGATCACAGGACAGCCATACTGTGAGTACACTGAGAGCAGGGCACACAGGACAGCCATACTGTGAGTACACTGAGAGCAGAGCACACAGGACAGCCATACTGTAAGTACACTGAGAGCAGGGCACACAGGACAGCCATACTGTGAGTACACTGAGAGCAGGACACACAGGACAGCCATACTGTGAGTACACTGAGAGCAGAGCACACAGGGCAGCCATACTGTGAGTACACTGAGAGCAGAGCACACATGACAACCATACTGTGAGTACACTGAGAGCAGAGCACAGGGCAGCCATACTGTGAGTACACTGAGAGCAGATCACAGGACAGCCATACTGTGAGTACACTGAGAGCAGAGCACACAGGACAGCCATACTGTGAGTACACTGAGAGCAGAGCACACAGGACAGCCATACTGTGAGTACACTGAGAGCAGGGCACACAGGACAGCCATACTGTGAGTTCACTGAGAGCAGGGCTGCCCTGTGAGTACACTGAGAGCACGGCTGCCCTGTGAGTACACTGAGAGCATGTCACTTATCCTCTCTGCTCGAATCAATAGCCAAAACAACAAAAAGCCCCTCAATGTAAAACTTAAATATTCTTTATTACAGTATTTAAAAATAAAAGATTACATCTAATATAACCTTGAGATTTCTTTAATTGTCTTATAGATGACAGAAATGATATGCATATTTCAATGTAAAGCATATATAGTGGCAGGAACATATCTGCACACTTTATATTGTGAAGTACAAAAGATGTAACATGTCAGTCCTAACTATGGAGAAATAACAAAACAACTTTCTAAGAATAGTCATCGGCTTCGCCTGTAGTTGGCAATAAAGCATATGATCAGTGGGGGCTTACATAAATATAGAACTCGCCCCCAGCCAATAAAAAAAATTGCTGGCAATGAGCTCACTGTCCAAACATTGAGAGGCAAATCAGCTGCTAAACTTTTTTATTTTTTGGTTAAAGTAGTCTCAGGAGGATACAGGCACTGGATGGTATGTCCAATTGGAAAGACAAAATGGCGGTACTGCAACGTGTCCATAGTCACAGGAATTTGATAATTCCTCTCCTTGTTAAAGCCGTAGAAATATAACGTGATGACTGCTATTGTTGGTAGGTCATCCTGCAGACTCCATGCTAGAGTTGCAACCTTTGTATTGCAATTTGCAATTCTTGTAAGTCACATTGTAATGCACACCTGAATGTGCAAGTGGCTGTAGAAAGGGGGGGGGAGCAGGGACACCCCTCGTCCTGGGTGGCTGTTTCTCTCGTGTAGAGAGAGCGTCCTCCCCTTGATCAATGTTTCTCAACCTTTTACAGAGAAGTACCCCAGCAGGTCTAAAACATTCCTAAATACCCGTGCCTTGTGAAAATCATTTCTATTGATTTAATTTCAAAATGAAACATGTAAATACGGATATTTAATTTAATCTAAATATGTAGAACAAGCCTGAGTAAAGGTAGTAAATAATATTTTTAAAATAAATATGACATAATGTGAATATTGTGTATGTAAGGAGGAGTTTATAAACGATTAATCTGAAGTATAAAAGTCGCAAAAT